TTGATATCGCTGTGCTGGAGAAATCGACAGTTGTGCTGACTTGTGCTAGGCTAGCACAACTCAGATATGCAATATTATCTTCATCGGACAATTGAAAAGCCGAATTACGGACATAGAATCCGAGCGCAAGGACTCGCGCTCAAGAGTAAAGTGCCCTTGATATCGCTGTGCTGGAGAAATCGACAGTTGTGCTGACTTGTGCTAGGCTAGCACAACTCAGATATGCAATATTATCTTCATCGGACAATTGAAAAGCCGAATTACGGACATAGAATCCGAGCGCAAGGACTCGCGCTCAAGAGTAAAGTGCCCTTGATATCGCTGTGCTGGAGAAACCGAAAGTTGTGCTGACTTGTGCTAGGCTAGCACAATTCAGATATGCAATATTATCGTCAGCGGATAATTAAAAAAAAAGTTATGATAAAAAAATCAATATTATCTAAAAATGATTTTTTCATCGTAACTTTTTTTGTTATTATTTTTTTTAAATAATATTTTAGCACAATGTTAGCACAACTTAGCACAATTCAGCACAATCGCAAAAATTGAAAAAAACGAAAAGTGGGGGGCTGACCTAAAAATTCGTTTTTCTTCATTTTCTTTCGTATTTTTCATATTATAGTTATAATATTCGAGCACAATATAGCACAAACCTAGCACAATTCAGCACAACCGTTAAAATTTATTAATTCGAAAAGTGGGGGGCTAACTTCTAATAGATGTCAAAGTTGTATGTCAAAGATTATTTGAAGATTTACTTTAACCTTTCTTAGAATATTAAACTGACTTTGAGATATGTTGTTTCTTTAAAGTGATTATGTTAAAAATACTCAAAATAATATCATTTCTAAGAGACATATACAAAGTGTTAAGTTATGAAGTTGACATAAATGTAACATCTGAAAACGTTATAAAAATAATAATATACAAGTCGTATGTTAATTTTACATTAAAGTACTAATCAAAACGTGGTCAAAAGACAAGAAAATTTTAACATATGGACGCACAATTTTTTACTGTGTATACTATTATCAATATCAAATGAGCTAGATATAAGTGAAATTCAAATTTATTTTAATAAAATTTTTGTCTAAGAAAGAGAGAGAGAGAGAGAGAGAGAGAGAGAGAGAGAGAGAGAGAGAGTGATCCAGTTAAAAATTTAATTTGATGTTTTCAAGAATTATGTTTCAAGAATAAGACTTATGCGTCAGGGACTGAAAAGTTACAAGGTATTTGATGATACTTTTATCGAAGAGAAATACATTTTAACTTTCTTCATCAATAGCTCTCATTGTTTATATTTTTGCAAAGTTAATATTCCATGTTCAGAATTACAATATAATTGATAAAAGATTCAAAAATTCTATAGTTTCTAATCCAAAAGACAGTTATGTGGGAGAGAGGGAAGGAGGGAGAGAAATTTTGACAATTAAATATAAAGAAAAAAGAAGGAAAAATACGAGGTATCAATTTCACGTTCCTTTTGCAAAAATTTGATAATAATTGTCTTATTTCAAGTTTAATTGTAATTATAATATTTCTTAATGAATTTCCTGAAACTTTCAAGAAAAAAATATGCCAGATTTTCGGAAAAAATATATGATTCATGAAGAATCCTTCTGAAACCTTAGAATTATTTAGTAAATTATTTAATATAACACACATCGAAATATTAAAAGTAAAGCACTAACTTTCGAGAGATCAAAACATTCGGCGCGATAAGTTCTTGGATGTATCTTGGATTTTCAAAATTTAACAGATCAACAGAATGAGGCATCATTCGTGGGAATTTGTTTCTCGAGTGAGAGAGATTAACTCGCCGCACTCCTTCACTCAATTTGCACAGTATTCAAGCGTGTCATTGAGCTATAGTTCTCTCGCTCTCTCTCTTTCTCTGTCTCCCTTTTTCTGATGGCAACGATATATCGGGACGGTAAAGTAACAATACGGGTCGAAGTGTCATCCGATGTATCGAAAAAGTTGGGTATAAAAAAAACGTATCACGATGAAAATATTGCGGCGACGACCTTCTGGAATTTTTAGAGATGAATTCTAACTCGAAAATCTGAGGATAAGGATCTATCGAGGGATAAGATCGCAAAGAGAGCGAAGAGGAATGAAAAGAAAATCTACAGAATAAATAATGTATATGAACTCTTGCCAACCTGCATCGCAGTTTGGATTTCAGATATTCCGTTGCAGATATTCCGTAGCAATTTTTATTACCATACAGATAAACAATAATCATAGGACACGGTGCATTTCTTATTTGCGGAATGGAGTAATTACATTGTGTTGCAATTTTGTTATTGCGTAGAAAATGATAATGAATTGAGGTAAGCTTTACATATATTTTTTATTGCAAACAATATATGGGGAAACCTCTGAATAAGGATATACTAGTTTCGAAAGTATAATTTGTAGACGGGATATTTCACAAGTACTACGTTGAAATGTGGTAATTTTTATGAGTACTACTAAAATCCTACACACACGTAAATTCTGGACACTGAACCACACAACTTGGATTCATGAATATATACTGAACTTGACTCCCACTTCTATTTGTTTCCACTCACCTGTCGCTGTTTACGAGCGGTAATGTCATTTCGCGCTATGCAATGCTCGATATGCACGATAATTTATTGCACTTGGTTGTTTCGAATCGATAGCGACACGTAAAACTCGCTAAAGTCGAAAAACGAGCTCAAATATTTCTTCGTCCTTAAGAAAAGTTATTCCTTTCCTTAAGAAAGTTATTTATCGAATAAAATATATTCTTCAATTCGAGAAGGAAACAATGTTGCTATTGCCACGTTGTTTCCTAAAGTAGCACAAAATTTATTTCATGCATAACGTTTAATAATATTAAGTAAATTTAATTCGTGCGTTGCATAATTAACATTTATATATTGAAAATTATATCATATTATAAAATCAATCTCATGTAAATTATTACATATAAAATAATGTACTTATAACATTTTTCGATTGGACTTTATCAACAATTTATTTGATAGATAGATTCATCCGACAGATAAATTTTGTATATCTCTCTTCACAGATATATGTGTTTGCAATTGTGGCTGCAATGTAGACAGAGAGATAAAAGGATAGTATCAACTTATGATTAGAGTCAACTCCGATTGGAAAAACTACGGGCACTTTATAATGCGAGTTTTATTCCGTAAAAATATTCACATCATAAAAAGATAAATGCGCGCTCGGCTGTTTACACTTTGTTATCTTGCAAAACGTAAATTCATAATTTGATTAACGAACCTTGTAAATTATTGGGAAAGAACCTTCGTGCCTTTTGACTCAATTCGCTTGTGAAATTAATGCTGATTAGACTTTTCATATTCGAATTTATTACGGTGGAATTACGGATTCCCTTTCCATGTATATTTTTGCGATTTATTGCTTATCTAATTGGAGAAACGTCGACATTTTTTTCCACCAAAAAAACGTAATTAAGTACAACAAAAATAGATACAAGAAATAAATTACAAAGTTAATTACAGATTAAATAAAATTTAATATATAATATCAAGTGTAAAAGAGCGATAAGAAATATCTCAAGAAAAATTGAGGAGAAAATGCAAAACATAGAACGATCTTTAATTTTCCTATAGAAAACATGTAAAGAAAGATATGTAAGTGGAACTTGGAATAAAATTATCTCGAATATTACACACATATAAGGAGAGATAAAATATGAAAACAGGTAGAATATTTTCGTAAAAAAATTATTTAAGTTTCTATCAATGTTAGAATCCACAGTTTGAATGATATCGAAAGAAATAACTGTTTGAAGGAAGAGAAGGAGCAAAAGAGATTGTTGCCGTTTTACTGGCAAAGGTGAACGACATCGTCTGCTGCAAGGTGGAGGCCTGTATTCGTGCCGCGTTAAAATCCATGCTATGGATTTGTGGGTCAACCAGTAGAGTGGAAGAGTGAGTCGTTTGACCGCTACTGCGGCGTATGTTCGAAAAATTTAAATATCCTAGAAAATTCTTAGCATTTTCGCGAAATTGCAAAATTCCACATCATTTTTAAAAAATACAGAAAAAGGAGAAAAAACTGAAGAGAAGAAGCTGCCCATAAATTTAAGAGGACAAAAAATTTTTAAATTATATATATATTTTTTCCCACTTCTTCCTCACCGACGAGAAAACAACTGTGATAAGTTAAGTAAATATCGTGCTAGGTGTTTTTTTCAAGCAAAGTGTTATGTCACACTTATAAAATATTAATTATATCGCAGAAATATCTAAAGAGTTATTTGGAAAGAAATGGCAGATTCTGATTTTTATTGTGCGAGACAATCAACTCTAAAGTGTCAAGAAATCACGGGAAAAAGGAGTTGGAAGAGAAGAATTTAGAATACCCGCTCGATTATTTCGAAGAGTTGCTTTCCTGGAACGAGTTTGCATATTTTCTGATCGCATAAGTCTTGGAATAATTTAAATACGCATCCGTAGTCTCAGGAAAAAAAGGCGTGTTCTCAAGAGAGAACAGGAATACTGGTTCGAGAATTCTGGTCGGGAGTGATAGCGAATTCCGCGTCGATTTACGCACTATACGTAATATTGACACGGGATAGAGATACTTTGATACTTTGCCCACGATTCTTATCTCACAGTTAATTAACAGGTCTGACATTGCCTTTTTCTCTCTCGGTTCTTCTTTATTTCGATTGATCACCAATCGTTCCCTCCTTTTGACACACCTTCCATTTTATGTTCAACACTATCATGCTTCCTTCGCTAATCAACATTCGCGATATGTTAATTATCTCGATGTAATAATCATACGCACATGCGTCTCATTATCAGCGCTGATTGCATTAATGCTTATTTAAGAAAGAACACATTGTAAGACGGGCAAACAGATATGGAAACAAAAAAAAAAGATAAAAAATTAGTTCGTTGATGAGTGTAATAAAAAAAAAATTTTTTTTCGTACATTGACAAACTTTGCATTGAAAAAAAGTGGGTGAAAAAAAAGTATGACAGATAAAAAATTGAACATTTCCTTCTCTCCCATATGTCATTAATATCATCTTTAGTCGATCGGTGGCAGTGTAGCTTTTTCTTCCAAGCTCCCCATAAAAGCCGCTATGTTTTTAGTTCCCCTCGATACGGCTTTGTTCAGATGGCGGTACGATGGATGCACGACATCGACGGGAATTCTCGGCTACACGTGGCGGAATTACGTACTTAAATACTATGTCGCGCAGACTAGAAGCGTCACATCGCTCTCAGGATCACAGTAGTGATCTCTTAAGTTCATCTCGCGTGACAATCGTGGGTTCTCTCCTTCGCATAAGCCCGACGACGCCGCTGGATATCCTAGACACAAATTCAACGAAATTAAATCCGCGCATTCTGGTCGTACTTTGCGTACATTGTCGAGTGTAATTGATTACCGGCTGTAAATCTCTCGTGGATTGTGGTTGAAATATCTAACACGTACACACACATTTTTATTTAAATATTACTAGTCATGTATTTTGTTGCGATACTTGCGGATAATTCAATGGAGGAGATAAGTTATAGAAAAGATTTTTTTTTTTAAGGAACGACACGTTAAAAGAGGAAAACTTAGCGTGTTTGAGAGCGGTGTTTTAATTTTTATATTTGATGTTCCCCAGCGATACGGCGGCAATTGTGAGACGCAGCTGATCACATGTCACGCGTCTTCCAAAATCACACGTGTCACACATCTGTCATATTCGCGGACGCAGCGCGAATATATTTCATATGCGTATTTTCATCAAAGGATATACAATAAGGAGTAGGTAACGTTGGACATTTCAAAATCATGTTTTTCTTCTTACTTCCTCTTCTTATCGTCACCATTGTCTCTTGGATTTTCAATCTTTATATTTATTTTTAAGCGAGTTTGATTGATTAAACAGTGTACAGCCACATGTGGATAACCTCGACGTGGCTTCTCTCGCATGACATAATACGTTGATACGTGTATTGCGTGTGTAAACGACATATATACAAGATACCCGGTAAATGAGTATTCGATAGGTTTACTAAATGTGAGACACAATCGACAAGGACGTGAAAGAATGAGCAAAAATTGTAGAAACAAATTTTCTTCGGTTGCAATTTCGAAAAAAATTGATTTTAGCGTGCATGTATCCGATTACGCATATGTATCGATTAAGAGATATATCTTGAATTAAGATATATCTCAATTAATTTCATAAATTGTATTGTTACTTTTAATTAATTATACATTATAGTAGTAATAATTATAGTAGTAATAATAAATTAATTTATAAACTGTAGCTTTTGAAGTAATTAATTTGGAGTAATTAATTACATCATCGCAGCCTTTTAACGCTTATGAATGCATGATAATGTTTTGTAATTGCTATATATATTTCGTAGTTTTGAGATCAACACAAAATCAACAATCGACAAAGATACCATATAATAGTTTATTATCTACCATATTTTTCGTAAAAAAAATTTTTCAAAATCGAACATAACAAATATTTCAAAATTCCACATTGTTTGGATAAAATGCCAACAGTAAAAGCCGGCAAAAACTGATCTTTTCTATTAAAAATGTCAAAATAAATAAAAAAATATTTATTTTTTTATCAATATTCGTCAATTGAGAGTTTTTTAATTGAAGTTTTATTCAAAATAAAATCTACAATAAATCAGGAATTAATGTTGCAAATAAGTTAGTTTTTTGTTAAATATTGGAAAATCAACGCAAATCATGTCTATAAAAATTGATAAAAATTTTTAATTTTGTCATTATTATATTTTTCTTATTATAAACTAAAAATTAGTATAAAAATTAATAATAAAAAAAGTAAAATAAAAAAGTATCTCCAAAGTTGTCTTAAAAATTTCACGTATTAATTTGAATTAAAAAAGACTATTATATTATATTGATTTCCTAATCAAAGCAAAAAATCTTTTTGCATAAAGTTGTATAAATGTAAGTATTTCAATCTTACACATTAATTATTAGTTATATAAATATAAGTAATTTAATCTTATACATTAATATTATCGTTTTAGTTTATGCCGATTTATTTTATTGGGTAAAGTCCGGAACAATAAAAACCGGAATTTATTATAGTTTTTTCCACTCGCTGGACTTTTCCAGTTAATCCTGTGGCTTCCACGCCCACAAGTGTCCGATATTTGTAATTGAATAGACTAGGCGTAAACGCGCATAAATATGCAAAATTATTTTTCTCGCCCGAGAGAGATACGCGATCGAAATTCGAAAGAAAAAATTTTAAGTACATCTTTTGCTCCTTCTTTTAACTTTCTCGCTAATGATCAAGAGTCACTAGACACATTGCATTAACAAGCATTTGGCGTTAAGATCGAAATGGCTGCTATAATCGAGTGCTAAGTAATAATTAATCGCAGATTTTAATATGTTCTAATATGTGTGATTTTCAGATACTGCAAAATGGAAAATGTATCGATGTTCTTTGGAACGAAAAATCCCAATTGTCCGGAGCATCTTTGACGAAGCTGAGGTTGTTAATGCCCTCATCGATCATGGATTGTGTAAGTTTCATTCACATGATCCACGTCGAAGCTACAGGGACACAGGTTCATTTGGACACAGTCACTTATATCGACCCGTGCTTAGGATATCTAGATACGATTGACCAATCAAAGAGTCTGTGTTTAACTGATAATAAGTAATGCATCCAATTGAATGCCATCCAAAGTAGCAGACTAATCGGATATCGTTTGAACGCGGTGCGGAAACTGGGGCTCCCAGTCGAGATCCCAGGATCACAACTGATTACAAGCAACTGGCCTTGAAGACGTCATTAAGAAGTGGCTGCACTTGTCATAATTGTTTCATTATCCTCGATCTAAGCGATCTAAACGAGCCCGAAGAACGCACGTGTCACGTAAACGATTGTAAATCTCGAATTATCGAGGGAGAAATATCGATTAAATCTGGAACGTACGTACCTCCCGAAGGTACAGAATGCGATTTGTACGCGCGAGGTTATCTTCATATTATCTCTCTGATGCGATACCACGCTGACGAGCATAATGTGACGTTCTCGATAAACAATTTCTTTTTTTTTTTTTTTTTTGCGATTCACGCCAACTATGCCGCAATGTATATGTGCTAATTGTATCATCGATAGCGTGTGTAATAGAGGTGCTATTAACGGTTATATATCTTCATGGAACTGTCGCATATATTAAATTGCTTGCCCTCTGAAACTCTTGTCAGTATAGTGGCAATGTTTCTCGATAACGCGTCAATTAATAGTGCAGACAATAGTGTTGGAGGAAACGAACGGCCAGTGTGTTTATCAGTAGTAGTACCATGTATGCGATGCAATTGCCCAAGTCAGAAACCGCAGCAGACTCGCTGCCAATTATTCAATGGCGTCAAGGATATTATATTTGAGCTATGTCTTCACTCGCAGAAAGCACAAGAGATCTAGCGGTAAAACTGGATGACACTTTCATCGACGTTCCACGGATATCTTCTTTAGCAGCATTATTTCTTTGATAGTCAAACCAAAGATCTTTGATGAACATCTTTGATGAACATCTTTGATGCGCATCTTTGGATCCTTGAAGTTTAGGAAAATTAAGATTCTAAATAATTTACTTGAAACATTGACGTTAAAATAGAAACCGACGAGGGTGAATTTGGGGGAAAACCTTGTGTATCATATAAGATTTTCGCGTTTGATATCTCATGTAAATTCTTTTGAGCCTTCGCGCTTATTTTAGGACATGCCGTGACTACGTAATTCATACATAACTAAATAATACTACGTAACATATTTTTTGAGAATATTATGCAATTTCAATACATCTTATAGTTCCCTTAGTCAACTCGCAAGGCAAGAGCGAGAAACGTAAGACTAACCTTTAAGCAGCGGCAATTGTTGGAGCTCTACGTCTTGTGAATTGCGGTAACGGGAGGAACCCTGCGACTTCTTGGATTTCTTCTTCAGGGATCGCTTGGCGAAGGGGTCTATCCGGTCGACAAAAGTCCCTGACGACATTTTGGCATTAACGGAGGCACTGTAAGACTATCCTGGTGATGTGTCAAAGCTCTCAACGAGGGCTATAGCGGCTCCTGCGTCTCTTTCTCCTAGATATCCCTAGATAACGGATCGTCTCGCGACTAGAGACGAAGATCACCTTCACCCCGAGGAGGTCGCATTCCGTGAACAACGACTGCACGACGACGACGACGACGACGACGACACTGCACTTCACGAGAAAGAAAGGAACACACTGATACACGATGCACGTGTGACGGTCTCGCGTCGCATTCGTTCGTTCTCTCCTCCTTCTTCCTTCAACACGATTCACTCTTGTTCACTCTGCGCCGAGGGAGAACAAAGTGGGCTCCGCCGAGAGCGTCCGAGGAGCATAGCACACACACGTCCGGAGGATTCTTCCCTTTTTCTCCTCTCCTGTCCTCCAGTCGACGACGCTCGCGGTTCCGCAATTTCCGAATCGCGCACCGGCTACCACCGGGAGGAAGGGGCGCGATGATCTCTAGGCGTTGTCGCACACGCGGACGCACGACCGTGTCCGTCCTCTTCCGCTCTCCCACCTACGCGATTTACGCGAGGCACCGTGTCAAATATATATACGCTGCGAAATACGGCGACCGGCAGCTGCCCTCTTGGCAGGAGGAAAGGGAGAGGGACTCTCCTTGACTCGCCCGCGACAAACGACGTAGGGTGGATTCGATCGACGACGGCGGCGCCGGTCGGTGATGGGTAGCCGCTGCTGGTTCGTTGGTTAAGTCGGTTGATCGGTCGGTCGAGGTCTCTCCTCTCCAACGATATATGCGTGTCGCGCAGGCACGCACGCACGCAGGCACGCACGCACCGTCGTGCTCTCGCCGCTCGTCGTCGTTCTCGCGCGTCGAGTCCAGCTATCGGCCGATCGAGAGAGACGGAAAGAGAGAAAGAGAGAGAGAGAGAGAGAGAGAAGGAAAAAGCACCGTTACGAAATAGAAACGATTCGATTGCGGCTGGTATAGCAGCGCACGTCCGTGTAGTAAGTATGGCCGCGAGTAATGTGGTCGCGCGCACACGCAGCGGTATACGCGATATCCTGTCTGGAGCCTTAATGCGGATATATAATAATCCGCACGATCGGGGCGTTACGTGTATGCGCGCGAGGGCGAGACTCGGGCGCGGGTGTCGAGTCGCTGCTACCTGGGTGTCCCTTTCGCGCGGCGGCCGTCCAACACCACCGCCACTCGCGCCGCCCGGACGCCCGACGACGTTAGGTAGACGTGTACGTTAAGAGCAGCTCGCAACGCAAGAGCGCTCGGCCGCCATCAGCTGCTCGCTGCGACGTGGGGGCCTCTCTCATCTTCCGGCGGAATGTACCGTGCGGACGCGACCGAGTCAGGCGCCGAGAGTCGCCGGGACGTGGCCCGACATCGCCCTTGTTGTCGCTGGCCGCCGCTGCTGCGCGTGTGCTTTTCCTCCTCTTCGCCCTCCCTTCTTGATTCTTCGTCTTTCGCCTGGTTCACCCGCTCGCCGAGAAGCCTCTTCTTCCGTGCTTTATCGCGCGTGCACACCACCTACCTCCGTCCGTGTTCTACCTCTCCGACGTCGAGGATCTCGCGGCGAACAATCGACCGCCCGATGATCGCGCGAGGCCGACAAAAAAAAATGACCGATCCTATCGCGCGCGCTCACCGCCGCCCTCTTCACTTATTGAAAATCCGTCAAGAGAAGGTGCCTTGGGTGCCTGAAAATAGTAATGCGCGCTCGGCAATCATCGGCCGGAGACGGCCGAGCGTCGACGGGACGCGCGACCGGCCAGATGGCGCGGGCACATGCGCGACGGACCTTTTGACGCGCGCCGCGGCCCCGCCGCCGGCCAATGGCGCGCGCCGACGGCGCGCCGGCGGCGCGCGCCATTGGCCGGCGCTCGCGTTCGCGATCGATGCGCGGGCCAGTGCGCCGAAACGGAAGACGGCGGGGCGCATGGCTCGATCGTTACCGACGAATCACGTTATCGCTTTGTAGATGCGTACTGACGGCATTCGCTCCCACTCTTTCTCTCTCTCTCTCTTTCTCTCTCTCTCTCTTCTCCCTCTCTCTCTCGCGAGTTTTCGATCCGTTTTCGAGCCGCGACGGAATTCGGGAAAGCGTCTGTAGAATATTTGAATTCATGAATTTTTAAAAAATTCCAAACACGTAATGGACTTGAAGAATCTAGTAGAATGTATTGATTTCAAACATACGAATATATAGAAAAGAAGAGATTGCGCGATTTAAAATGAATCTTCTCGAAAAAAATGCAGCGACGTGCGAATTTTTCTTCGCTCCTTCACGGAAGATGTAATATGCTGAAATAAAATTATGTTGAAATAGGCAAATGTCGTATGACATTTTCACTTCTGCATTATAATTCTTATATATGCAACTCTGGTTATATACAGGGTGTTCGGAAATATAGCTATACATCCATCTCAAATATTTAAAAAAAATTATTCAAAGATTATTTTAGCAAATTCAAGGAATATATCAGAGTTGGAAATTTTCAGCGACAAGATTAGACAAGTTAAGGCCTGTTTACATGCTTATGGAGGCCAGTTAACATTTTTTGTGAACAAAATCTGTTTATAATGTTTTTTTAGTATTTAAAATAATAAATGTATATAATTATTTTCCAAATACACTGCATAATAATTTTAACGATAATCATATCGTTGCAATAAAAAATCAGATTCAAAGATCTCATTTGTGTGTGTGTATTTCTTTATATAAATATATAAGCATATTTATTTATAAATAAATTCATTTCACTTCCGTCAATTTTATCGCGCTTCCATAGATTATCGACAAATGCGACATTATCGACAGAATCTTCATAAACTTCGATAGTCAATGACAGTTGTCGCAGTTGTCGCTTGTGCAAAGTTGACCAGTTGACATGGATTGACATATAATTCACGTATTTGAAAGCAAGTTGAACATAAAAAAATAAGATCTTTGTCATTCAAAATGGGTGAAAGACAAATTCGATATACATGTAACGTTTAATGTTAAAAGAATTCAAGGAGGTTATTGTGTTTCTCGAAGAAGTCAAACGCTCTTTAAGTAGCAAGAAAGATCCATAAGAAATTTGACAGAAAAAAATGTAATCTTTTAGTTTAACCGAGATATCAGCAAAAAAATATAAAATAAAAGGAACAGATATCGCTGAGCGTCACGTCATGTAGGTTATTTTTCTATGGGTACTTTAACCCTGACCTGTATATATACATATATATATATATATAAAATCTAAAAAAAACGTAGCCATGAACACCCTTACACGGTGTCCCGGATTGTACTGCGGCAGAGAACTGTTATCGGACGGCAACTGGAGCGAATGCGGGGCTTGTCCTCGCGGCTTCCGGGCCAACGTATCCTCGGCGTGCGTGCCCTGCGACGATGCGCCAATGTTCTACGACTGGCTTTATCTAGGCTTCATGGCTCTGCTAGCCCTGGTGTTGCATTGGTTTTGCATTGACATGGTGTCCATGCGCCGGAACATACCCAAGGAAGTGATCGCTCTGCACTTGTCCGCTTTAATCGAAGTAGTACTGTCATCTGTCATAGTGCTACAACTGACTCATCCTATCGGAACGTTCAATATCAAATCATGCAGGGCGAAAAAACTATCGGACTGGTATACGCTGTTGCATAATCCCAGTCCAAATTATGAAGCAACGCTGCATTGTACACAGGAAGCCGTTTATCCCTTGTTAGTTCAGTTATAATAGTTTCTATTATGCCTCTGAAGTATGCAATTTTTTTTATCTATAATATTATTATAAGTAGCAATGTTTTTTTATCTATAATATTTTTTTTATCTATAATATTATTATAAGTAGCAATGTTTAAAAATTAACAAAATCACGACATTTAGCGATAATATATGTGTATATTTTTTTTATGCTTTTTAGAAAAAACATGGTTTTAAATTCTTGTCAATCATTCTGTTAGCACTATTGGCAATATTTTGCTTAAAATATTTTGTATTATATATATTGTATGTTTTTAATATACATTGTTCTATATGATTTCAGATATACTATGGTTTTTGTCTTCTATGCCCTAGGAATAGCTCTAATGTTATTAATAAGGCCAATAATAGCCAAAAAATTTTTGCCAAAACAAGGCAAATTTTCTATTTATGCTGCATTGTATTTCTATCCAATTCTCGCACTACTTCACGCTGTGGGTGGAGGTCTAATTTGTATGTATATCTTGAATTTTATTAAAAATTAATTATATTAATTTATAATAATAAATTGATTATATTAATTTATAATAATAAATTGATTATAAATTAATTATTTTAAATTAATTTTAATTTTATATATATAGAATATGACACACTATTTATTCATGATACATTTTTCTCTTGCAGATTACTCTTTTCCATATATCACTATCATTCTGTCTGTTCTATCAAATGCAGCGCATTTTGCATTTAAACTGAATCAAACGATAAAGTCGTTGCTGCTGAGTTCCATTTCGAATGTAAAAAATGTAATAGTCATTCTGGGTCATTGGTTGTTACACGGTTACGGAGTGATAGCGGTTGCGACTCTTCGTGGAATTAGCATCCATCCCGGAATGTTAGTTCTAGTTGTACTACCTGCCTTATTTTATATCATAACGGCAAGATTTACCGATCCACACAAGTTGCACATTGAATAAGCTCCTTTTCAATTGTACATATTAAATCGCACATATCGAAAATTAATCTATTTAAATTATTTATTTTTGTTCAAAAATTTTACGCGCACCTGCGCATGCATATAATATTCTTTTTTTAATAAAAAAAATTCAATTATAAAATCTGATTCAGATTAAGTAAATGAGTACGAAAAGTCACAAATGAATATCAGGAAATATCAATAAACAAATTATTTAATTAATAATTTACAAAAAAATTACTTTAAAACATATCTAAAATTGGGGTTTTAAAAATTTATTTAATGCACATATTTTGTCCATTGATATTCATTTATGATCATTCAATTAGTCTATATCTCGTATTTAATATTAATAACATATTAATATTAATATGATCTAAGCAAGAATTTATGTAATTAACAATTCTTTTTTTTATGATGTTTGCTACATGTATTTATTTCATCAAACAAAGCAGTATATTCTTTTTATTACAGTTGCACACAAAAAATAATTAATTTAAAATAATTTAATTTATGTATATTACATATATTATAATTTCATATTATTTTCTTTTCCTGCTATAATTTTAATTTTTAATTCCAGTATTTTAATTTTATTTTTTTTTTATATAATCTCCCATTATATAACCTCTAAATACCTTGTATGTTGAAGCAAAAATGCTATTATATGTAATCGATTGTTTTTGCATTTAAAATATCCTTATCGATTACTCCTTTGGCACAAATGTTAAGATCAGTGTGCTCTTTGGTGATATAGGTACTTTGTTTGAATATAACTTTGTCCTGCAAAAATAAAGTTACAATTATTAAATAAAGTTATTAAATAAAATATTAAATAAAATCATATATAACATATATATACATATATGGATATGAAGCATATGGAATTTTACTGAAAGATTTATAAAAATTCTTACCTCACTTCTGGGTCTCGAATGTAATTGGGACTACACGCAACTACAGTGATTTCTTCCGATATTTGCGGTATCTCAGACAGATCTATGATCGCTGACTCATTTCCTGTTTGATATGCCACCAAATACCCGGGATTGCCGCTTCTTACCCTACAAAAACAATTCAAAATTTTTAAGTATACACAATACATATATGCAAAACATATATACTAGAGGTGAGATAAGAATGTACGATGGGATTGTATGTATACCATTAATTCATATATTATTTTCTTTGTATGTCATTAAATTCTTACAATGCAAAGCAGGATTGCAATATGTTAGTGGTACATGCACACTTACCAACTTCTGTTGTATATAAGGAAGCATGGAATAAGATAAATTAATCTTTTGTTAATCTATTATGCTGTGTAACATGCAAGACATTTCAGTTGTCAAATATTTTTTCAAGTCTGACACCATTATTTATATGTAATGAATTTATATGAATATATATGAATTTAATGAATTTATATGTATATATTACTAGAAGATACAATATATTAGACTATGTACCAAAAGCACCGTGAGAATATGGGCCAAGATATGCAAGATCAATTCAATATCAATTCAATTGCACAAGGATATGTGTATGAGAATCTATTCAATTATCCAATTAAATTTGATTTCATTCATGTATTGTAAGTATACATTCATTCTTAATTTTTATCGTGTATAAAAATTAAAGATATTTAAATAGAAAAATGAATAATGCGCGAATATTTAAAAGAGATTAGTTTTTAAACCTATTTAAGATAAGTCTGTAATATATATATTATTGAGCTCTATAATGAGTCGCTATATATTTTTTAAAAATGGTTAGCATATGAATATTTCATTTTATTTTCGTTAAACATTAAAATTAATAATTATTACAAATGAATAAACTCACCTCGCATATACGAAGACAGTTTCGTTTATTACTCTAAACGTCGTACTTCCATGAAGGAATGTCAAGCCTCTTCGAGCATTTGATAAGGTTGCAAATGTGTCTTTCAGAGACATGACATCATCTAATCGTAGAATTGGCGTGCCCGGCAATAGCATTGTCATTAACGTGAAGCTATCGGCGACATTAGGCATACGATGTTTCAAAGACTGTTGCTTACCATTGAGCTGAAATAAAATGACAAAAATGTGCTTTTATTTATATAATTTTAATAATTGTTACAGACTCTTAGGAAAAATGAATGGAAAATATTTTTAATTTCTATAATATCTCAACGAAATTAGGCGGTAAAAATAAACTGTAATAACTAATTTTGTCAAGGATACTCACATCCCATGCAGGCCATGATGTAATTCTGAGCCACTGTGATATACTTCTACGCAATACAGTCGCATTGATGCTCGCATTGGCAGTAGTAAGAAAATGTGAACTTTGTGGTAAGTCAATTATTGCCTTCTTTTCATTGTAAACTTGCAAGATATCTGCACTAATGTCGTCTTGTAACGCGAATAATCTATCATGTAAATATAACATTATAATTAGACGAGAGAGAAATGATATGTAATCACAAAGTAACAATACAAAAACAAACATACCCTTTACCATCAGTTTCGTTACGAACTATTTCTTGCCATTTTGTTAATATTGCAACGTTCTCTGGACGATTGCGCGTATAAACGTGTACCAATGATTGATAATTATTTCTTTCTACAGGAAGAAGACTCGGATGCTCATCACGAAGATCTGGATCTTCTGTTAAGAACGATGTATTCGCTAAACGAAAGCCGCTAATTCCCAATTTCAGCCAATGAATTAAGATATCCTAAAATAATATATAAAATGTATATCAAAGAAAATAAAAATAAATATATCAATTAAGTATACAAAGAATAATAAACTTACCCCAAATTCTTTCACCATTGCTGGATTGTTGTAATTCAAGTCAGGTTGTGACTTATTGAATTGATGAAGATAATATTGTCCTCTTTGTTCATTCCATTCCCATGCAGATTCACCATAGACATTCAACTGTAAAATATATTTGCTTAAATATATTAAATGCAAGTTTTTTTCTGTTATCAAATCTTATACAAGCATGACTAACCCAATTATTCGGAGGATTTTGTCTTTCTTTCCCACCATCAGCCCATACATAATAAGAAGTATATGGATCCTCTTTCTCTACAGATCGTTTGAACCATGGATGCTCTACAGAAGAATGATTGGGATCCAACTCCAAAAAGATTTGTTGATCTTTTTCTGTTGCAGCTTTGATGAGATTTTCCAAGTCACTAATGTTTCCTAATTTTGATTCAAGAGCTTTGAAATCTTCGGTTGTTCCTATAATGTAGAAAAAAAGGATTTTCTTATTAATATATATTATATTTTATATAAAATATACATATTTATAAAATTTAATTAAGAATGTTTTACATAAAGCATACAAACAAATATTATATATATTTCTTGAAAATGTGTATGTACCATCTGCATCTTCCTTCACTATTGATGAGAGAGAAATAGCTTTAATGTGTCGATCTTTCAAGTCACTTAAGACAAGTTCCAGGCCTTTCAAATCATTGGTAGGAGAATCTAAGATATCCAACTGAATAATTGGACTTTCTTCCCAGAATTTTTTTGGCTCAGGTGCTGCACATTTTGGTGCTATCACAACGATAGCTATAGCACCAGCCAACATGCCTATCCACAATAGCCAAAAAAAGATAAACAGAGCCCATCTCAGTCTTACCCAAAATGGATCATTGGCAAATTTCATCAATTCTTCCTTGCTCATTCCTACGAGAGTATCTTTACTCGGTTCAATATCGATTTTGACATCACCATTCTCAGAGATAAATTTCACCTGTTAGAGAAACAACAAAGTAATTTGAGAATAAAAATTAAAAAAACTTTAAAAAAACTCAATACAGAATAATTTTAGAGAATAATTTATAGAATAATTTTAAAATGTCAACATTAATAACAAGTTATTGCAAATGTTTCTATAAGAATGATTTATATTTTTTATATATTGTTGTAATATATTTCCTCTAATATATAATATTGTATTTTACATATTGATTCTACAGATATAAAGTTAAATTAATTTGTGGGATTATATAATCAAGTTATTAAGAAAATTAAATATTTTCTTAAAATTAAATATTTTAAAGAAAAGAAAAATTAAATATTTAAATATTGCAAGTGAGTTTCAATATTGAGGGTTCATGAATGTATATTAGAATATACTAGAATAGAGTTAATATATTTAATCTCTTAACATATATACATGATGCAACTTCTATGAAAATTTACACATCTTTGCAGCTTAATTAGTTTGTTTTTTTTTTTGTTATATAGCTTCGTGAGATACAATGTATTTTGCATACAACAAATTAAAAAAATTACAAGTTGCATAATCTCATACAATTTTAAAATTAGCACAAGCATGAATTTTGCAATTGTAGAATAAAGACAAATTGTGAGAATAACCGGGCGATCGATATTCAACAGTGCAATGGCGAGGATAGGCGTGTCCATTATAAGATATAAGTATATTTAGAATGCATTAAGATAAACACTGAGATACATACACGTACAAGTATTTTTCACGTATAATTTCAAAAATATCTCGAATTATCAAAATAAATAAAAAAAAGGTTATCGTTCTCGAGAACGTTCGCATGTGAAGGCTAATCACAAGCATCCATTTTAGCTGCCTCAAAAGTGCTTGCAGAAAAATCTACCAGAATTTATATATATTCCTTGACGCCTGTAGCAAATAAACGTGCAATAAAAGTTAAGAAATAAATTTTAAGCATATTTTTTTTAATCATTAGACGAGATTTCTCCTGTTAAAATATCGATAACCAAACCGACTAAAATAAGCCATATGTGATATTTAAGGGTTCAATTTTCGCGACGTGTAGCGTCTCTCTCGTGGTAGCGTCCTCGTTTACCTCGATGTTATCTTTCTCGGTGATCTTCGCGTTGCCATCGTCCCCCTGGAGCATTCGCTCTTGCGCACCCTCGTCCAAATCCTCGTCGTTCTGCTTGCCCATGTTGGTTACGTGCTGTTGCTGCCTTTCGTCACGAGGCTCCTCCGACTTGGAGTTTTTAACGACTGAGGACGGCGTTTCTTTCACATCGCCGTTCACCTCTCCGCCGTCTCTCCCACTCTCCATCTCGCGCGAATCACAAATAATCAAGGATGAGATTATCTCCTACCTGTCCACTACTCTCTCGCAAAAAGCTTACGCAGTATACGCACTACCTATAGACATATATACTTATCCGCGTAAGAGATCCTGCAATCACGGCAGACGCGATAACGCGGGAATAATGGCAGTTGCTTCAAGAATCGCGATGAGGGACGCGGTGCGGGAATCCGGAGGAAGAGCGCTGTCGATAGGTCGGCAAGATATCAGGATGTATGTATTTTGATAAGAGGTCAAACGTGTCAAACGTATATACTACGAAACATACTGAGTTTGCTGACAGCTCAAATTTCGCGAAACTTATAAATATTTTTTAATTAAAATATATATATAGTATATCAATAAAATATAAATATATGCATGTTTATATAGTTATCAATAATATGTTTCTGTAAAAATTTCATATTTATAATTATTATTTAATTTAATTTAATTTAATTTAATTTTTTAATAATATTCTCTTCTTGATATAATTTACAATCCAAGCTTTCATCCAAAATTATTGGGACAAACTCTATTATTTATTCGATTTTTCCTTCTCGTACTTTTTTTTACATCACATGCTATACATATGTAATTTGTCAGTATCTGACAGAAAAAAATATGTTTCTATTTTGTAGATATATATATTGAACAAGTGGTATAAGATATCATCAATAGATATCATATATAAATATCGATTACCTAGAAAAAAATTTTCGATAATATCGACTGACGATAAGTGTTTTTGCTATCTTAACTAGACTACACGTGGACAACAGGAGAAAGATGCTACATGATACATTACGTATCTATAATAAATGAAGCGTATATCATTCTCTGCTTTGTTTACTAGACGACTAAATGACTCAAATATCTAAGTTAGAAATTAACATCAAGCGTCTTCTAACGCGCTGCGAATTAATAGCGAAAGATGATCCGCATAAAGACTGGAAATTGGAAAAGGTGCTCTTCTAACCTTCATATTTCTACATTTTTATTTAATGCGTATATTTAATATGTTTAATCTGATGTTTCATTACAAATATTAGAGTAATTTTATATACAATAATTGTAAAAAATTAAGATATATATATATATATATATATATATATATATAAGAATTATAAAATATTACATTTTATTTATTATAGTTTAAATATTTACAATTTATTCATATAATATTTATAATATTTACAATATATTGTTTAATTGTTAGTATTTACAATATATTGTTTATATAAATTTTTTATTTATCAATTTTTTATTTATACTGTGGGTAACTGTTTATTTGATGATGTAGCACTATATTTTTTAAAAAAATATGAGACTAAATCTATATATCTTGTCATATAAATTTATTCATTTATACATATAAAATATATAAGCTATATTTCATAGTACTAGAAGTATAAATTTTTTTGTTTCAGTATATACTTGCTCTGGATGAAATGATAAACAAATTACAAACTCTACCAAAGTAAGATTTTCAATTACTTACAACATATTATTTATATGTTATTTTAAGATATATTCTTAGGTATTTAGTATTATTATGATTCCAGATATTGTAGTTATTTTAATATTAAAGACTTAATTTTTTTCTCACAGTAAACCATCCAAAGAAATTATGATAGGCTATACTAAACGGATAGATTTCTTGAAAGGGATAATAAGTGCAATGAAATTATCAAATCCAGTAGAAAGAGTAGTTGCTGCACAATTGTTATCAAAAAATTCAACTTCTACAAATGATTCTACCAATACAAATATCACAACGCAAATACATCAAAAGACCATTGCAAAATATAATCGGGAACTACGAGCAGAATTATTTCACACCGACAAAAGTGATTGTTTATTATTATACATAATTGTAAAAAGTATATGATTTTGTATATTGTATTTTGCATTAAATCTCTGTGTTACAGCTACAGATAGAGATGGTGTACGACAACGATTATCAAATTCTAACATCCAAGATGAAGATTTAGATGCTATTTTAAAGTACAATCGAAACATCCAGGAAAAGATTGCTGAAAATATGCTTTCCATGACCAGCAATATAAAGGAACAAGCATTAGTGGCAAATGCTATCATAAAAAAGGACATTGGTGCACTGGAAACATCTGACAAATTAACTGATATCAATGCTGTTAAATTAAAGAAAGAATCTCTAAAGTTAGAAGAGCACACTAACTCGAAATGGAGATGTTGGGTGTGGCTTATGATAGCTTTTGTTTTGGTTGTATTTTTTAGTAAGTATTTAGATACAACACAATTACATAGTATTTTTTAAGATAATACAATTGGGGATTCCTCTTTTTTTTATTTATTGCTTGATATACATTTTTAGCTTATATTATTTATATGTACCATTGATTATAAAACTATCAGCTATCAAATTTTAACTCAAATTCACTTTTATTTCAGACATGGTATTATTTATGAAAGTGGCAAAAAAGAAGATTTAAATAATAATTTATGTATTTGAACAATTTAACTTCTATATAAAATGCCGCGAATACATTATTGTGAACTCAACCATATGACTCATTGGATTGATATTATATTAGAATTACACAGCCATGAGTGTGCTTGTAAAAACACCTGTACCACCTAAAACCACCTGGAAACCTGGTAAATATATCACAAAATAGTGATATGTGAGTTAATAATTTTGTCTGAAAATTGCTGTATGTAATTTATTATTTTATTATGAATAATTCGATAATGATATCGAAATATTTATTATACAATTCTTGAAGCATTCCTTGTTTCTAACTGAATGATTATGTATATATAATGAAAAAAATTTTTGACACTTATATGTACATGTATGGATTTATGTATGTATGTATATGTATCATAGATTCTGTATTTGTTATGTTAATTATGTTCAAGATATTTCTTGCAAATTTAATAAAATTCTAATATACAAAAGTTTAAGGTTATATCATATGTATCTTAAGCTCGTCTGTTTTAAAAAAAACTTCATAAAATATAAACTATGTACTTGAATTATTATACGAAAACAGCAATAGTCTAAAAGAATCATATAGATTTTATTATAATTATTAAAAAACAAAGTATATTTTGCGTAATAATTTTCCTAATTATTATAAAAAGAGGTTAGAATAGTAATTTATTAAATACATATGTGACGTACATTTCTAGTGTTAGCATAATTAATTCATAAAAGTTCTTATTTTTTGAATAAAACAATATTTTTAATATATAATAAAATATATTAACACAACATTACATTAACTTTAAGGTAAGGTAAAAGTGGTCAGGGCATTATGCAAATACAATGCGCAATGTGTAAGTACATTTTATATAGTAATCTATTAGTCCAATATGCTTCTCGAATCTGAGAATGCATAATTAATGCATAATTAAATTAAATTCTTTTTACAGGCAGAAGAATTATCATTTGATGAAGGAGATCTATTGTATGTCTACGACAGAGATACCAATTCAGATTGGTGGAGGGCTAAATGTGGAGATCAAAAGGGACTTATACCCGCCACTTATGGTGAGAAAGAGTACAAAAAAATTTTCTTTATTCCTTTAATATTACCTCTATTATTTTTCACCTCAGTGGAAGAACAAACGCAAGAGATCGAGTTGCCACTGCATGATGCTGCTAGACGTGGTAATGTTTCCTTCCTGAGAGAATACTTGAAGCAGGGTATATCGGGGACTGGTTTAGACGCAGCCGGGAATACGCCGTTATATTGGGCAGCACGTACAGGTCATTTGGAATGTGCGAGCGAGCTTCTCAATTTGCCAAATCCTGTGATAAATGCTCAAGTAAGAGAATGTACTTGCATGTATAATTTCTCTTCAATGTTAAATGTAGTTGTATAAATTAAAGTTCATTGTAAATATTACGCGATATTTTCTAAGTAAAATTAGATACACACACTTGTGTTAAATGTGAGTTATATAAATGGTTCATCCTTTCATTACATTATCTTACTTTGACACATATATCATCTTTTTTTTTTTAAACATATCTTTAACAAGGAGCCCTATTTTTGAATTTTTGCTTTTTTCCATTAATCATAGAATAAAATGGGCGACACGCCACTTCATGTGGCAGCGAATCATGGGCATTTGGAGATGATAAATTTATTGTTGGAACACAATGCAGACACAACGTTAAAAAATAATGATGGTTTCACTGCAGAAGAATTATCCTCCGATGCGTCCATAAGAAACGTAATACAATTGCATCAACGTCAATATGATAGTACTTATGGATACGGCGATGACGATTATAACGACGGTGATGATAGCGATTAAAAAATTTCAAGTAAGATAAGAATTGCATATTATAAGCAAAATAAGTATTCACACAGAAAATGAAATTTTTTTTATATATCAAATAATATTGTTAATATTTAGGAGATCTCAAATATGATACTCATATGTTTTAAGAATCATTCTTTATATGTATGTGATGTATGTGATATATATATTCGTTATTATAATTATGATCTATTATATATTATTATAAAAAAAATGTACATTGTAAACACACTTATATATTATATTATCGTTACTGCCATTAGCATCATTTTTCAAAATAAATATTTAAATGTGCAATAATCTATAAAGAATAATATTTCATATACACAAATGTATTAAAACTATGTTGATCATAAAGATTATTTTATTGACTGTAGTTACTGAAATTATAAAAATCATGCATGAAGTTGTAAAAAATATAATATAAAAAAGAAATAAATTTTCGAGGAAATATAGAAACATATCAAGCAACCTCTGTAGAAGGGCGTACAGATTAGGATGTTTTATATGTAAATTAAAATTCTTGTGTTTAAAATTTATATTTTATCATTAATTAATGAAAAATATTAATAGCTTTATTTAATCTTTTGTTGTTTTCGTATGATTGGATTCTCAAAACAAATCAAGAAAGCCATATTTTTTTTTCACAATATTATACTAGCATTTATTCATAATTTCTTAGATTTCTTTTACCTTTCAGATTTTTTTACTGAACCATCTATTGAAATCGAGTCTCAATAACAATCGAGCCAAGTGTTCTCCACAGGGTTGTGCACGTACTCTATTTAATGTTTTTGTCAACCAGTCCATCACACTATCGAGTGTTTCACATAATGTTTTGAGTTCCTCTTTCTCTGTTAGAAGCAAATTGTCAACTTCCCACATGGACGCTTGTAAGATGAAATCGTCGCATAGTCGTAACAAAAGATGTATCAACATATTTACCTGAAAATATTTATAAATATTGATATCAAAGCAATGCACAAAGTGTCTCAGAAATGTTATATTATATTATATTTATGAACTTCTTAAATCTCATATTGATAAATAAAAAGCAATATTAATAATTTTTATATTTTAAATATGTAAAAATTTTTCAGAAATTAAATTACATAAATATAAATAGCAGATCCTTATTCATTAATTAATGTTAAATAAATTTTAACAAAGATTTTCGTAGTTTTGTTGAAAAAATAATATCAAATATTAAAAATATACTTAAATAATGATGATATTTTCATTATAAAAGATTTTACATTAATCAAAGAATTCATATATGAAAGATAGATTGTTAAATCTACGATATTATTATATACGGCATAATTATAAGTTATGAGTGATTTTGAGAACCTACAGAATTTTTTTTTCGTGTTTCATTGCCTAATAAAAAGGTTTGCGACATGACATTAGCCAAGAATACAGAATGCGCCTTCTGTATATCCTCGAAATTTCGTGTGCTTTTCATACTTGCTTCCATCACAGCATATTGACTTTCCAACACATCCACTTGCAGATAATATTGTAAGTTATCGATAATGAAAATCAAATTATTTCTCAACTGGATTACACCAATATCTCTGCGAATAAGAAATATTTTGCATAAAGGAGTAGCAAAAATCTTAATTTTACTCTAATTACAATAAATGTGATTTACATGTTTTTATGATGCATGTGTTCACTCCAAAGATTCCATAAATCTATCTGAGTTTTTTTAACTCTCAACAGAAAGCGAAACAAAATATTATAATCGTTTAATACAACTGGGCTAAATAACAAATGTAATGGCCAAACAACTTTGTACTTCAATGTGATAAGACCCCATCCACGTTTCTCTAAAATAAATTCAAATTTTTGTTAACTATCTTGAAAATAAAATACAATGAAATAAAGTATTATAAACATACCATTGGGATCTTGTCTCTCGTTATTAGGAAGATCAGTGATATCTGTGTTCACATCTTCATTTTCAGGAGGTGGCACGGGAACCACGAAATTAAAACTATCTATAGCGCTTTCGTCATTTAAATGCATTTTTCTCAGTGCTATTTGAAATGCGAGATTGATGTCTCTAGATGTGTGACTTGTTGGTGCTTTATTTAAGATATGCGCCGTAAGCTTGATAAATTCCAAGAATAAATCACCGCGACCCATCAGGAAGAACTCCTTTACAAGTCTCAATTGTTGCATTAATTGTGCCTCTTCGACGGCAACATTCCACAGAAGTTCTGTTACGCACTGTTTTAATTCGTTGATAGTGCGGTCAAATTCGACGATATTGAAAACGGATTTCGCTTGCAGATTCTGAAGTTTTCTGAAATACTCGTATTCCTTGTCGCCCCATACGGAATTCTCCATTTTAGACATCATGCTGAAATCTAAAATGTTATCAGATATTTATTTTCATAACATTTATGTATTATAATTCTTGAGGTATAGAGGAAAATTAATTATAGTAATATTCTTGAAAGAAATTGAGATCGATTTTTTATTCATAAAATTACCTTTTTTTTGCCTGGGATCATTTCCAAACATAATAACAGTCTGACCAATAGTCAAGATTTTGTTTGCCAACGATGGCCTTATATAGGATGGAAGCATGTCCATTTGAACATTATAATCCCACATATCGACACCAATATTTTTGCTATTTACCAATTGATCACGTATATCGATATCATTCTTCATATCCTCATGCACCAAAGTTTTTTCACAATCTGATGCTTTCTGTATGAAAAATTCTCTGTAAACATCCTCCAGATGTCCATACAAGAGCCAGCTTGTTAGATGCTTGTAGAAAACAATATGAACAGAGTGAGTCATCCTAAGAAAGAATATATAAATTAAGATTATATTAATACTATCCAATTTTATTAATAAATTTCTTACAATTCCAAAGTGGAGCTGATTTCAGGTATGCCAGTATGCATACGCTGATGTAGACATTGCAACAATTTACAACCATGGAGTTTTTGTGTTTGAATCTAAAATAAGATAAAGAAAATTGTTTTTAGTAATCTCTCTTTTTTCCTCCATTCACCTTGTGCATAAATTATATTTTATAATAATTAATCAATTCATTTTTATTCATATAAGATCATAAATATGTTTTGTGTATTACTTAGATTTTTCCTTAAACTGTACATGCAAACATTAAATGTAAAGCAATTTATAATCACCTCACGAATAATAGAATGCAAAAGAGAAAATAAACAAGTGTATTTTTCAATATTGCAGAGAATTAAAGACAAAGGAGTATGACTGTCATTTAAGACTGTACGTTCCAATTCAATTATTTCTTCACGAAATGGTTCCAATGCCTGATCCATTCCATCACACAGAGCACGTATGTACAGACCAGAAGCAACATATCCTAGATAGAATGTAAAAAAGTTGAATTATGCAAGAACAATTATATGTGTACAAAATATTTTATTTCTAAAACCTTTTTCATCTTCACTGTTCACTGTATGTATAAAATTTCGTATGACATTGCATTCCTTCACAATATCTAATATTTTATTGAGCAATGCCCTTTCCCCAGGATGTAAGTATTTATCAAGATCTATAGACTATAAAAGAGATTAGTAATATATGTAAAAAGGTAACATATTTCAATTATAGCTAATATCTCATTTTATTTACAATATACACTTACATCTGTTTCTATCATTTGTGATACGCTGGTTGAACATCCCCAAAGTGATAATAAAATCTCATGCAACATTTTGAATATCAAAGATATCTATGTGGTAAAAGTTTATCTTAAATAATTGTAAGTCCATCAATTCGATGCACAAATGCAATTTGACATGTTTGTATTATTTACAAACAAGATAACTGATCATATTGCATTTATTTTAATTATTGATTTATTTTAATTATTTTAATTATTGTATATGTGTTCGCTCATTCTCATTTTATTTTTCTTGTCGCTCTATATATTATTAATTTCAAATTATGTAATATATAACAAAAATTTTGTTGAAATATTAATTTGTTTGTAAATAAGCATCTGCTTCGAATAGCTCGAAATTATAACTTTTGTTCATTTTTTAAAAAACAACAAACTGTGATCACAGCGAAATGTTTATTTTTCCTACAGAGAGAAGAACGAGAAATGTCATGATCCGCTTTTAGGTGATCTTTGAAAGCGATGCATCCTCTATAAACATAAAAACGTGATCATGAACTACGAAGCCAATACTTACGAATGTTTTCAGTGGGTAACATACAATTTCAGGTTCTGTTCTATGCTACGAATATCGACAGTACAAATGTTCTAACGCAAAATATTTGTATATATTGGATCAGTGCAAAAGTTCGTGCCCGATTCGTACATATGGCACTGTTGAAGTTGCCTAGCAACTCTGTTGTTGTTTACATATGCATAATATATATTATTGCAAAAAATAACAGTCATAGGTGTCATTTGAGCATTAGAAATTGCTTGGTTTGGTTAAATTTAAGTCGTGAAAAAATCATTGAAGATGGACAAGGAAAAGTTGCATTTTCGACATGTGATGCTTTACGAGTTTCGGAAAGGAATAACTGTTGGCGCTGCGACAAAAAATATTCAGGAGGTTTATTTGAACCGTGCACCAGCACTTCGAACGGTGAAGAAGTGGTTTGCTAAATTTCGTCGTGGTGATTTTGACCTCGGAGACGAACCTCGTTCTGGGCGTCCTTCCGACATCGATGACGATGTTCTGCGCGCATTAATAGCAAACAACACACGCATTTCGACGGAAGAGATTGCTGAGGTCTTAAACATTGATCGATCAACCGTGTTTCGGCGTTTAAAGAAGATGGGACTCACTTTAAAGCTCGACACTTGGATACCGCATTCGTTGTCCGAAAAAAACAAGTTGGACCGCATCTCCACAGCCGTTTCTTTGCTCGGACGATTGGAAAAAGAGGTTTTTTTGGATCGTTTGGTGACTGGCGAGGAAAAATGGGTGTTGTATACCAACGTCAAACGCAAGCGTACTTGGAAGGAAGCAAATAAACCGGCAGATTCAATTGCCAAAGCTGAGTTGCATCCAAAGAAGGTCTTGCTCTCTGTTTGGTGGGATTGCCAAGGTGTTATATATTTTGAGCTGCTTCCTGTTGGTCAAACGATTGATTCAATCAAGTACTGCCAACAACTAACCAAATTAGACGCAGCAATGAAAGAAAAACGCCCGAGCTTGGTTAATCGTAAAGGCGTTATTTTCCACCATGACAACGCCAGACCACACACATCGAAAATGACTCTGGACAAATTGAAACAATTAAAATGGGAAATCTTATTGCATCCACCATATTCTCCGGACATCGCACCCTCCGATTACCATTTGTTTCGGTCATTACAAAACGATTTAAATGGCAAGAATTTTGATTCTGTGGAGGCTATCAAAAATCACATCACCGCGTTCTTTGACGCAAAACCACGTGATTTTTTCAAACGTGGTATCCATACATTGGTTAAACGTTGGAAAATGATTGTCGAGAACGGTGGCGAATATATTATTGATTAATAAAGGCGGTTTTATAACAATAACAACTGTTTGATTTTTATTTACAAATCGGGCACGAACTTTTGCATTGATCCAATATTAAATAAACTTCTAATATACAATAAATAAGTTTTGGGTGGTCTCTCTCTTTATCTATTAATTATAATTAGTTATTAAAATATATTATCCGATTTTATTATATATTATAATCACACATCATCCATCATCACCATCGCCATTAATACGTAATTTAGTATAATTTTTATTACATTTTTATTACAATTCACGATTTATCATTGAAAATAAATTATAACACAAAAAATATTCTAGTTTATTTCTAAATGTTAAATGCTATAAATATTAAAATTAAAACAAAAAATTGACTCAAATAATAATAATTAAAAATTAGACAATTGACAACTAAGAGTCAGTAAAAGGCGCAGTAATTGGAGCACGAGAAACAACCTTTCTCTTTCTTTTAATTATTAATATATTTCATTATTAATATATTTCATATTTACAATTATTAGTATATTTCAAATTACTCGTCACAATACATGCAATAAACACGAACGTTTCGGTCATCTTTTTAATCTACTTTCAACATGATTTAATATTACACGTTAGAGAAAATATTAGACAATAACATATGAAATTATATAAATCAGATGGAGATAGCATTGTAATATCTGCATGTCGATTGTGAAACAATTTATATAATTTCATGTGTTATTGTCTAATATTTTCTAATGAGTAATATAATGATACGCCGTTAAATTTCTTTTCTAGATACCATTGCGATCAACATCGGAAAATTATTTATTATAACAATATAACTAATTAATTTTTATAAATAACACATAATTAATATCTATATACATATCGCGACGAAAATTCTCGAATCACATATTTCATAATTTATTCATTTAATCAACTAAGAATCATAGTAACAGAAATCTAAAATAATAAATTATTATTTTGATATGAAATCGATTTTTACGAGCGGAAATTATTTCTTTAATATTTATAGATATTTATAGAGTCGAATATATAATATATCTGCGACGTTTTATCGTTCTATTTTTCAATCATTGAAATATAATTCGGATTATGAGGACGCGCAGTAAAATAATTGAATCGTGTTGATCTAAACAATTAACATAATGTAAGGCTCTATGATACATCATACAATCTTTTAATAAATAATCATATAATTAAAAAATCTATATAATCTAAAATACTTTTTGTATATACATAACATATTCCATGTATATACATATATGTTAAAAGTACGTAAAATATTTCGATGACGAACAGACAATAACATCAACCTTGGCGGCATAAACAATAGCACGCTAATGTTTATAATTTATATGCCATATAGTCTTGAAAAATGTTTTATAACTATATATATAATAGCAAAATAAAAAAATAATAATAACACGGTCTTTCGGACTAATTTTTTCGGCTCTATTATTATTCGTGCGACACTCAAAAAGTAAAGTAGTAGTACAAGACGCTTCGTTAAATCCTTTTCTAGACGCGATCGCGATCAATATCGAAAAATTATTTGCTGTATTAAAATACGTAAAATATATTTCGATATAAGGAACGGATAATAACATTGCCTTGACGACGTAAACAATAGCGCGCTAGTGTTTATACGGCCTCGGTAAGGCTCGGTATCATTCACGCGGCGACATTCGAGCAATAAAGATAGCAGTGAGAAATACGTCGTATAGAAATATATCGTTATTAAATTAATTATTAATTAAATGATTATTATATAGAATATTATGACTTTCAATTATATTAAACTTTACTATGTAATTCGTATTAATATACATGTACTGTATATAAATATATATGTCAATAATGAAAACATTTGTAACGAGTATTTAATTTGGATTGGGAGCGCCATGTAAAATGTCTCGCAATCGTTTCTATATATGACTAAATATAATTAATTTGTTTGTTCGCGAGTGAATATGAGTGCTATGAAGAAACAACAAAGGAAGAATGAAGAAGAAAAGAGAAGAACATCTGGAAAGGTATTGAACAGTCAGAGAGCAATGAGAAAGCCAGAAGAGATAAATTATATAAACTTTAATAAATTGAATTTTATTTGCTAAAACGATTTTAGAAAAAAAAATTATAAACCATTTCCAGGAGACGCTACATAAACATCACATTTGATACGCAACATATACAGAGTGTTTTAGAGCACTATAGTATACTAAGCGCCTATGAAGAGATAGAGCGCAGTAAACTGAACACAAAAGTACTTATACCGTTTTACAATTTCCGCAATAATAATAGAAATATTAAACATTAAAATCGAGATGAAAGAAGCGCTTGGCCGCTCGAGCTATAGCATAGTCAGACATTTTGTCAGTGCACGGTAAAGGGAGAGACCAATGGCGAAATAGACTTTTTATTGCTTGTTAATTAACAATCTTATTACAAATACTTGAAGCACTTTTCACAGTAATTTTATCTATTTGAACAAACTATTCGATATATATTTTAGTATATGCTCGTAAATAAAACAATTGATTTTTATATTTTATAATAATTTTGATGGAGCTCTTTTATTTATTTATTAATGATGAGTTTAGAAGCTCCTCGAATTTTGTAATTTTATATTTTTTTAATATTTCCGGACAATTTTATATATGCTTACTAGTATTTACAAAACAATGGAAATACAGCTTTCTTCTCTATCCACCTTCGTCCAAGGATTGTAAAAGAAAGAAATAGGACATAGCGGTATTCATGATCTGACAATAAAAATAACAAATTATTGTTATATAATTAATTTATTAATTAATAAAACTGAAGAATCAAGTCGTTTATTACAAAAATATTTCTGCTTAAAAAATTGTAGAACAATTACGTAGAAAATAATAGCATTTCAATAAATTAATATTATAGATATCAGTAGCAAATAAAATTTACAATTTTTAAATTTTACTTAAAGCTATTTTTCAATCTTTTCTTTTTAATTAAAAGTTTTGAATCTTTCATTTTCTTCACTTTTCTCTTGTTTTTAAAAATTTATTTTAGTTTTTCTTTTTTCAGAAACAAGGGATAAAACTTATTTGCTTCTATAATAAGCATAAAGATACGAAAGTGATGAACATAAAAAAAATAATTTGTTCAAGAATTTAGACTTTCACTAAAATTTGTTCGGGAAATTTGTTATTTAAATACATACTTACATTAATAAACATGTTGACATTTACGGAAGATATTTTTAATGTCTTTATAATCATCGGTTTTTGCATCATCGACACAATAATGTTCGCTCTTATATGATGATCGAGACTAGAATTCGGCCAATCGCTAAAATAAATTCCCTCGCGAAAATATTCGCTCTAAAAAATGATTTGCTCTATAAAACAATTAGTTGTGAGTTGCAACAGTCGACTATCTAAAGAAACACAATTTATCAAAAAACAAATCTTACCGCACTTGTGATGGAACTGCCGTTCCAGGCATATATGAACGTTTGCAAGAGCTTTAATGCTATGAAAAAGATGAACGAAAAGACCTCATTCATCGTTATGTCTGTGAACTAAAATCACAATCTCTCGCGAATTAAGTAATGTAATTGTTCTTTATATATTATATATTATATATTTGATATATTAAAAATGATAAGACTTGTAAGAAATTGTATCGCATTCTCTTATATTAATATTATTAAACTTTGTTATTACAAATTATACAAATTTTGTTGCAAGTGTTTTTTTCAGTTTAATTAATAAAAAATACTTAGTATCAAAAATGCATTATTAATTAATGCATTTTTGGTACTTGTAATTAAATTTAAATGTAAATTTCGCGAAGTGAATTTCAGTATTAGTTCGAATAATATCGCTTCAAGGAATACCTGGCTTGCTTCAAAGATCAATGCGCATATAACGCATGCGTTAGTGACAAGCATCCGTAAGATTATCAATTGCCAGATATCTTCCAATATGTAACTGCATTGAAGTAATCGGCCATGTATCTGTATGCATATCTTCAGCACTTCACGAGATCGCAGATTTGACCTCAGTTTGATGGACATAGCATGCAGTATTGAGGAAATTTGAAACGCATAGAAGCCAAAGAGACTATCGACGCTATTAATAGTGAAGATTACCCACCAGCCGATGAAAAAGTGATATAGAAAATGTAAATAGAATAGGAAACCACCGTTGATTGGGACGATCCATGGAAACTTCGCCAAAAAAGGCAATCTGTATCCTTTGGGTTCGATATGACGAACACTCTGATAAATTATAAATATTAGCGGTGGACAGACATGTGACAGGATCAAAGATGTCGTAATGAAGAACATTATGTAAGATTGTCTATCAAACGCGTGCAAAATTGCGAGTGTGGTTTCCTGATCCTGTTCCAGTTCCCGCTCAAAGAGATCGTTCAATGTTTCATGGAGCTCGAGCAGTTTCTCACGTTTGATTAGAAAGCAGGCTGACTAAAAGGAGAGAACAAATACCGATTTTTTTGTCGATCGAATAGATCGGCTGATATTCTATTTGAAAAAAATATACACACACATGTACATGTATATATTATTAATCTTCAAAGAATCAGATATTTCTTCTGCTAAAAAAATTTGTAGGCAATTTCTCACAGTGATTTTTTCGCAAACTTTTTTAAGAGGAACTCTGAAGAGATTCTCGAATATATAAATATTTGTCAGAGATTGCGAACATTTTTACTAGAAGAAAGCAGTAAAGTCTAAGATTTATATTCGATTAAACACACACAAAATATAATAGAGCTTGTAAGAGTGAGATCTTCTGATATACAATATGTATAGTTAATATTTTACGAATGATACCATTAATGCAGGTGCGATGAAGCTACTCATCTGGCCGAAGCACTTCACCATCAACGTCAAATTGTCAGCATAATCCCTACTGAAATTTAACAAGAAGATACTATGACTCAGACACATAAGGATTACCAAGAATCCAATGATATACGTTCGAATCACAGAATGTGTCCGATCTTGCAAAACACCACCGAGATAGAGCATCGTACGAACGCGACGACTGTATGTGCGATAACGGATCACCAAAGCATCAGTTGTTGCTTGCTTCTTAAGGTCATTCACTTCGATGGTATCCATGGACACTATCCAGCATAAAAAGAAATGCACAAAAAAATTCTTCCCGGATAGCGGATGATATATGTAATATTATCGGAAATTGCTTGACAAGGCTCGCACAGAGAATTACGTCCACGTAACACGAGGGGACGAACTTGATTTCATATCTCTCTTTGGAACTTTTCACCCATTTACCGGATCGAAGACGGCATCAGACGAAATGATTGCACGTTGTATTGTCATTTTGAGCTTGTTAAGTATCAATAGATGATACTTTGGAGCTTGTTTCTTCAAATTACCTCTCCTTCATTATCTTCTATCCAGTAATCGAATGCAAGTTGTGATTGTAAAAGATTAATCGCTAATTCAGGGATCACGACCGTTCAAGTAAATCGGTGAAGATAGGTAAAGGTCTTTACATCCTTCATAAAACGTCATATCGAAGCATCGTCAGTATATTGAACATACAAAGTAAAATTTTAGTATCATGGTCTCTTCCGCTTTAATTTTGAGTCTTCTAATTTATAATTATCTTAATATACTTTTTGATTGGTTGACTAAGCTGGAAATAATTATTTAATCCTGAAGAGATGAATTATTCGCTGGAGGATTTTGTACCAGAGACGCAAAAGTTTGTAATTATTAATTTTGTGATATTTATATTATTATAAAAAATATGTAATTGTTAATTACAAATTACATATTTTTTCTTAAAAACATTTTACAGTTTATGTAAAATTAAGAAATAATTTCAAGCCTCATAAAATAGCCTCGGAAAATACTTAAAATACACTCACACAAAGTTTTTTTAAAATCGATGATGTCGTGTACTCTCTTTGTTAGATTTAGTGTTAAGTCAATTTTGATTTTTGCACGATTTGGTTTCAATTTTAATTAATTTTAACTTGTTTTTTCAAAGTCAATCCACCTGAAATTAATTTCAATTTTAATTTCGACATGAATTTAATTTTTTAATGACAATATATTTTTATTCTATCTCAAAGTATTTAGTAAATTTCTTTAATTACATATATATTGTAATATGTTCCTAAGAAATGATTTAGGTATTGAAACATTAAAAAAACACTCAATAAATATGTTAATTTTTTTATATTATATTTTATATTTTTATATTTTTTTGCAACGCGCGAAAGACCAGATCGCCGCAAGATCTCATATCTGCCGCCGCACGAGTCCACGAGATATTTAGTTTAGATAGTGATATACCAAAAAAACCTTACAAAGGTAAAAAATATACGCCGAGTACATAAAAAATATTCCACCTTGTATGCAACAAAACGTTTGATAAAAAGATATCCTTATAATAAATAATTTATTAAAATTTTCCCTCAAAAAATATATATAATTTTCCTTAAAAAAATCATTGTGGTATATCTGAGTAGTCCGGATACGAACCATATCACGGACATGAACCATTTACTACGTTTGTTACCGAGCAACGCGTAACAATGTAGTTTATATCTATTTACCCAGAAGGCGCTTCAGGACATGCGTCTGTTGAAGCGGGATGACCGCTTTCAGATTTCTCTCTATTTAAAAGAAGTAAAAAAAGTCTAAGTGTACAAATTCGCTATAATTCGCAGCCGGAATGGCAGTTGGTTCGACTAAGGTCGTCCAAGTGACGAATATTGCGCCCCAGGCTACCAAGGATCAGATGCAGACTCTTTTCGGTTACCTGGGTAAAATCGAAGATATCAGGTTATATCCGACGATCAGAGACGTCGCCGTACCCGTGCAATCCCGCATATGTTACATTAAATTCCACGATCAGGGTTGCGTAGCTGTGGCGCAACATATGACCAATACTGTCTTTATTGATCGTGCATTGATAGTGATCCCCTATCAGAATGGAGATATCCCGGACGAGCAACGTGCTCTCGAGCTTACCAACAATGGCACAGTTGTGCCAGGTGAGAATAAAATATATAACACAATTGTCTTAATTGTTTTAATTACAAACGCATATATCTTTCTGTGTTAACGATGCTGCAATATCATGCAATATAATGCTGAAACAAAATTAAATAGACAAAGATAAAAAATTAATATATTAAATATTTAACATATTAGGTTGTTACTTGAAACATTCGATATAAATTTAATCTTGATTGATTCTTTCAGGTCTTTATCCATCGGAGCCCAAGTTGCCCCCAAATGTAGTGAATGCTATTGAAGGTATCCCACCGAATCATGTGATCACCACGATGGATCCCAAATTGGAAGCGAATGGTCTACCACCTTATCCGCATTTGCCAGGTCACCTAGACAGCAGACGTATCGAGGAGATTCGACGAACGCTTATTGTGGCGAATCTGGATTCGTTGGTGAGCCCCGAGCAGCTGTTGGATTTTTTCAGCAACAACAATGTCGAGATCAAGTACCTGCGTATGTGCAGCAGAGACTCTGACAGCGAGCATTACGCATTGGTGGAACTGTCGGAGCAGGCGGCGGTGATTGCGGCGCTTCTGCTCAATGGAAAACCACTGATGGAGCGACCGATCAAGATTTACCATTCGACGCAGGCGATAGCTAAGCCGGAGGCGAAAAGTAACGAGGCAGCGCAGAAAGAGATTGAAGAGGCAATGTCCCGGGTGAAGGAAGCTCATAATCTCATCTCCGCTGCGATCGACCCGATGATCGGCATGCTGTCCAAGGATAAGCGCAGTAGAAGCGGCTCGCGTGGTCGCAAGTCGCGTTCTCGATCCCGTGGTCGCAGTCGTCGCTCGAGATCGCGTAAACGTTCGCGCTCGCGTCACCGACGCTCGCGTTCCCGTCACCGGCGTCGATCCCGTTCGCGCTCCAAGCATTCTCGATCCAAGGATCGCCGGCGCAGCTCGCCTTCGCGACGACGCAGCAGCTCGCGCAGCCGCCATCGTTCGCGTAGCAGATCACGGCGATCGAGGTGAGACTGATCTGATCAATTTTCAGAATTGTTACGTTAAATATTATATATTATATATTATATATATAAACTATTTATTGATTCGACTCATAATCTGAATAAGTAAAATATCTTATTATTAAAAAAAATTGAATGCGATACTGCATATATGAAAATAATCGTATCATATTATTATGTATATTAAATCGTAATTTTTTTAGATCACGTCGATCGCCCTCGAGATCAAAGGAACGTAAGAAGAGATCACCGCGACGTCGCAGCCGCTCGCGCTCGCATAGCAAGCGCTCCAAGTCCAGGTCCAGACGCTCACGCTCCAAATCCAAATCAAGATCGTCCAAGTCTAAATATTCGGACAAGTCCAAGGATAAGGAGCGTGAAAGGCGTAGCAAAGACAAGTCGGATAACGGCAAGAGAAGTGATAGCGATCGGGAGAGACCCGAGAAGGAAAGCAGCAGAAGCGAAAAGAAGTCTAGCAAGGAGAAACGATCCAGTGATAAGTCGGAATCGAAACAATCGGAGGAAAAGGGTAGATCCGCGTCGGAAAGCAACGACAGCAAAGACAAGACGACAGAATCAGAGAGCTAGAGAAAGACTCGGACACAGTCAGTCCCATTTGCATTCGAAAAAACTATCATTTTTTCGTCGCTACGTGTATTGATACAAGATACAGAAATACACGCATTTATATATATCGAGGTTCTTCTTTCAAAATATTAATTTATTCATGTTGATTTTTAACTCACATTGATAGAAATATCGTTTAGGATCGATAGGCTATCGTTTCAGGGATCGACTTTTACTATCTTCTTTTTTGGAATAGGCGGCGGCTTGATTTTGTTCTGCTCGTCGATCATTTCCATTTTAGACGCGCTTTTAGATGATCTACAAGAAAAGAGTGAATATTATGCATTATTATATATTCTATGATATATAATACAGTCTTGGTCATAGATAAGAGCGTCTTTAATCGATAATTGTATTATTTATGTCAAATCGCTCAATAATTATCGTTTAAAAATAATAGCGATGTTTTAAGAATGGTATTACTCATTGTATATCAATAGTTAAATTATCGCAATCGACTATGAAAATTTAGTTGTAATTTTTAGTTTGCGAATATTAATCTTTTTTGATTTACTACAATACATTAAAGGTGCTTCATACTTTTGACCAGAGAACTATAAAAGAGCAAATTAATAAGTAATAAAGCACGAGAGTAATTAATCATGAAGAAAAAATATATTTCTATATAAGAATAATATATTAAATTATCGTTAGTTTTTCAGAAGCAAGTATACCCTGCTATGTTCTGGTTCTCATAAACGGCCACGTCATCGTAGATTTCCATTTTCACGGGAACTGGTGCACGGAAGAGCGATTTTTGCGCGTTTTTTATGGTCGATCTCCTCTTTAATACCATCTGTAATTTTTTTATTATGAATTGTTTAACTATTGTGTAATTTAAAAGTGTTTTTCTTAATGTTTTATTCATCACCATTCCTGCGTTTCTATCTTGCGAAAAGGTAGAAGTCGAAGTCATTTCCATCGAATCATCTATGTGTACTTTTTTACGCAGTATATCGTCCATTTGACAGCTTCCTGTCGATTACAACAAATATAATTCTCTATGAGATGTTTTAAAAGTGAAACACTTTTGTGGGACATTTCATAAAATTGTTATAAATTACACAATAATTAATGTGCTTACGCATTATGCATTCATCGTATTGACCAAGTGGATCTATTTCCAAAAATGTAGATAATGTATTTGGATAACGCAAGTCCATAAATATCATTATAATCGCCAGAAGAACACAAAACAAACCTGCAATTAAATATATAGAAGATAATGCTCTGAATATCGCGGAAAAAATAAACAAATACAAATATTATGAGTCTTACTAGAAAAAATAAAGTGAGTAAATGGCAATAATCTAATTTGATAGTATTAATATTGATAAACTTTAATTCAATATCAAAATCGGTAATTTTATTGATTATTTTGACAAAAATTTCAGGAAAGAGAGCGCGCAAAGAAAGAAATTAAAATTTTCATAATTAAAGTAATAAGAGAAAATTTATGAAAAAGAATTTGATGGGAAGAATGTGGAAATTGAAAAATCAGCATCCGAAAATTCACGCGTATTCAAGATCTACAAATTATAAATAGCGAATGAGATCGACAACCATTAATCTAGATAATATCTAAATTAATTACCGCATCCGAAAGTCATCCAGAAATGCAGACCTAATGTCATTTTAATGACACCGTCTTCGAAAGGAATTACAAGTGGGATTGGATTATGTACACAGACCCATATTAGACAAGTTAATAATTGCAAGCCGCCTATCAAGCCGGTTAAATAGGCGACGTACCGGCTCACAGACTGCAGGAATATGTTAGCTAATATCCAGCATGCGAAGGCGGTCCTGCAAATCATCGTGAATTTTCGAAATATTTTTATGTGAGGAAGAGGTAACTTATCTTAATTTTAGACTTGTTTTATCGCACCAATTAAGAGTGCAATTTGCAAAAAGTAGATACATTTTATGCAGGGAATGCAAAATTTGTTATTTCTTTTGTATTTATATATTTTTATCTCATACTTTTTTATACTGACCACAGTAAGATGTGACAGTACCACCCGGCAGTTCGATAAAATCTCCCGAATCGAATACCTTCTCCATCAATAACAAAATACTCGGCAATCCATAAAATGGGAATAGGCAAACCCTTTCTTTGTCCTTCGCGGAAGGTCCTTTGCAGCAGTCCGGCTATAATTTTATTTAAATACTAAAATATTTTATTTAAATAGCAAAATATAATAATTTACAATGTATATATACCATAAGGTCCAAAACCGATTCTGCCTTGGTCCCATGTCCATGGAAATCTTTCATTATAATCAATTGTTTCCTTTGCAAGCAGTGTGCCTTCTTCTGGATCAGCTAAAAAGAATTTTCAATTAGAACGTGATTTCAAATTTTATTTGCAAGAAACGTGCATTAAAGAATTTAATCTGTAAAATTAATATACTTAAATAATCTTTTGGAAAAAGTTTTTTAAATCTATAAAGAATATTAGATTTCACAGATTTATTTTACGAAAATCATCTTTTTGAAAATTATTTTATCTTATAGAAAGGTGTCTCTTTCTTATCGCGTATATTGCTTCTAAAAATCATCTTTTAAGCTATACTACTATTATTCATTTAAGTTTAATGAAGTATGTGTTGCTCTCGAACAACTTCGCATGAGCATATATGTAAAATTTTCATTTGAGATTGTCCTTTCATTTATTTTCGTTCACAAAACAGATACTTATTTAACGATAAAATTCTTGAAGATGTGAATCTTGTATCTTTTTATTTTTGACTAATTTCCATAAATTACCTTTCAGCGTAATATTCACCGATCTCAATCCTATCTTAACTGTCATTTGAGCCTCGATCTCCTGGTTTGCGCCAGCTCGATAAGGTGTTTTGCTCTTCGTACCACCGTATTCCCATTCCTGACCAAAGTTCTGTACTGCAAGTTAACATTTAACGATGAATTCGTATATTTGGCAAGTATAATAAAAATAAAATCTCCTTTAAAGGTATTTACCTATTAACAAGCATCCAATTACGATGCTGAAGCCGATTTTTATAGTTACATAGATGCTCTATGTGATAATGACATAATTATTTCATTAGTATACATAGAATTTATAGAAAAAAATCTGCAGTCAAAACATGAGCGAAAGAAATTACATAATTTCAGCACAATAATCTTAAAATCTAATACTTGATACAAAATTCGAGAGTTGTAATTAATTGTAATTATATTATTTCAAAGATCTAAGTAATGTGATATATCGAATTAAATATAATGTAAAAATACAGTTAAAATACAGCTCTTTCATACTCTAAGATATTATTTCATGGTATTCTAAAGTAGAAATTTAGATATTAGATATAATTTTTCGTTGGTGTGCATAAGAAAAATAATTTGTCTGAATTTATCCGCATAAATTTAATAAAGAATTTTTTAGGAAAACATTCTCATTATTTTGAAGATGATATTAAATATAAAGAAATGTTACGTATACTCAGAAAACGTCTGAAAGATCTCGAATATCTTTCGGAGTATTGCATTATTTGGGGAACATTTATAACTGGAATCTTTTCATTATATTTCGATCTATACTTACTTGCTTCTTGCGATAGCCCGGTATAATACTGATATAAGCGATCGAGATAATTACGAAAATCGCGACCAGTATGGTCTCGGTCACGTCTATTGTTACTGGAGTATGATGCGCGGAATATTGCGAGGGAAAACCCTCCGATCGCCCGAACTCAAACATGCCTAATTTTTATTTTCTTCAATAAATAATTCACTGTTTTTTTTTTAGATTTGATGACTATTGCGAAAGAGACGTTTGATAACGCGTGGATACAATTTAGAAATTTTAAAAGGATGTTCGTGCCATAAGAAATCCATCAATGTAGCAGCTTTATCTCAATCCTTTTTCCGGCTATCCTCATACTTGGAGCTGAATGACTAAAACTTCAACTTCTCTTATCGCTAAACTTCCGCATGAATTAAATCATGTATGCATTAAATCACGTATAAATTAGTATCGAATAACTATATCAGCATCAAATAGATACAATTTTTTTCTTTTAGATTTCTTAAAATTTTCCAAGAAATCTCTAAATTTTTAAAGCTGTAAGATTTATGAATTTTCTATTATGCATATTCTTATTATTATGTATTATACATATATTTATATTATTTTTGTTATATAGATTTATATTATATTTTATTATATATTATTTTTATTATATATATCATATTTATTGTTCTTTTGATACAAACACATTGTTTAATTAGTATAATAATTAAGATAATATTTTTTAAATTAAATAAATAAATAAATATATATATATATATATATATATATATATATACATTTACGTTTATACAATTATAACTAATTATTTATATTATTATTTATATATATAATAGCTATTATATTAGAATATAGTATCAATGTTACTCTTACAATATAATTATTTCATATAATTACATTTATTATTATAAAAATGACTTTCATAATCGCATGTATTTGCTTTTCACTTAATTTAAACTTTATGTATAAATAATATATGAATTCTCTGTTCGTTACACATTCATATATATCTTTACATATTTTTTATTGTTATAATATATTTGAATTTCGTCGTTCTTCGCGCGTTATAATGGCTGAACCTAGCAAAAAAAAAGTACAAGTGGTACATCTTGTATCGAAAAAGTTCATGAATTACTCACGTGTACATGACATTGCGATCTCAGGTTAACCGCTTGTCACTAATTCTAATGTCATTTACTGTGAGTTAGAGCAATTCTTAGCAGGAAACACAATCAAAATGACAGTGAGTTTTGCGAGTCTTTATAGTCACATTTTTTTCATAATAATTGTTTATTTACAATTAAACACTACTTTTATAAAGAAGATTTTAACTGTTTGAGATACTCGTATCATAAGTTGACTTAAAAATAATATAAAATTCTCTTATTTACATGTCATCGTTATCAGCGATGACTTGAAAATTATAAAAATATATTCGCTTTTGAGTATCTGATTTTTATTCTGCAGACGAAAAAAGGTAAGATATTAACCAAAGGAGCGAAGCAAATACAGGAGGAGAATGTTTCCACGCTGAGTTTCTACACCAATATGGCATTAGGAGCAATGGGAATTTATTTCGCTGTAACAATGATGCTATTCGAATTAACTGCATTAGCGATAGTAAGTTCTATATCTGATAAACTCTGATTCAAAATATATTGTAGTTATTCAAAAACATTCCTTTTTAATAGCATGTGTTGTTATCTCGTTACAGACAATAATGATATTTTCTACAATTGTATATATAGGAAGCTATCAATTCATGGCCTACATGGCTCGTACTACATATTCAGAATCAGGTCAACTCCTAGACTCTGGTGTTGATCTCAATATGGAAGGTGGTATAGCAGAGTGAGTATATTTAGATAGAATGTTTTTGTGTTTGCTGTTATGTTGTACTCTGAGATTCTTTTACTGCTTATAACATAAGGCTTTTTTTATTTTATTTATAGACATGTTAAGGACTTAATCATATTGACATCAGGAGTACAAATCCTGTCCCTCATTTCAAACTATTTCTGGCTATTGTGGCTTCTGGTAAGCATTCTAGCAAAAAGTAATTATTTACGTTATTCTCTTTATTCTACATTACAAAATATCTGCATGTGCATAGAATTCTCATTGATACAAAAGTTTTATGATATAAAAATTCCACAGGTACCATTGAGAGGAAGCTGGATGCTCTGGAAGCAAATCTTGGCTCCATGGTTTTTCGCCCAACCGCAAGAACAGCCTGAAATAAGCGATAAAAAGCAACGCAAATTAGACAAAAAAATGGCTAGACGACACTAATAAAATTACCAAAAGTTGTCACAGTGCAATACAACAATTGCATAATAATTGATTCAATTGGGAACTGGAAAAGTTTGAGTCTGGGAAGATAAGAATATTAAAATATAGATCTTCCTTTTGCTTCAAGATATGAAAAATTGCTATAATAGAATACAACTTGAAATCGAACGAGGTTTTGAGATTCGTGCAATTTTACAAGGGACAAGTATGAAAAAAAAAAAGAAACAGTTTTGCAGAATTCACAAGAATCACGAACTGAGAAATAGATTTCGTTCTTACTGGAGCATTCCGTAATTATTTCTATAGATAGACGACATTGATATATAGTCTCAAAATTAAAAGGATTGAAACAAATTCTTCTTGTATTTAGTAATGTCTACGGACTTATCCCTATATAAGTCGAAGGTAAATAATACTAAATAATCATTAGAATTTAATAAACATAACACAAATATCTTAATATATACTTACTTGATACTATTACATATTTATTATATATTTTAATAGCTATTATCATCTTTGGCTTATATTTATAGGAATAAAACCGTTAGACTTGATAGAAATCGTTAGACAGAAAATATCTTGGCGCTTTCATTTTTACTTGTTTAATTTTGTTAATTATAATGCTAAAGTGGACAGTGTTTTGTAATTATAACGATAGTATTACGGCAATGACTACGGTGACTTCGTCTTAAAGATCTTCCATTGTGCGTGCGAGAATTTATAATAAAGTGGTGAATAGGTGCCTTTACGAAAACGGAGATATTAACAATGTCAAAACGCGCGTTTAAAAAATATATAGATGAAAGTCAAACAAGGTAAGAGATAATGATACTTGTGTATTATAGTTTGAAAGTTCAATCATTCTCCTTCCAATGTAAATGAAAATCCGACTCACAACATCATATCATTATTCAGGAATGTGTATATTACAATTATATTATTATTTAATGTCACATAAATATAAATCACGTTATTTATTAGGTTCTGAAAGTTGACAAATTGACGCATCACAGTATTCCATTTAAGTCTAATTTTATATACATGTATATATAATCATATCTTTGTATAGGAATGTGGAAATTTACATGAATTAACAATATTTCAATCTTTGTATACACAGCTTTACAGTTTTTTTAAAATAATAATTATTGGACTCTATTCTTGTATATATTGGTCACGAAATGCTTAATGTGCGAAAAATCTCTTTAAAATTAGGCCAACATTTGTACTTCTTATCTAAACATGTTCATTTAATTCACAGCTTTTATTTTGGCTTTCACACATAAACGCCTCTGTTCAGTGAAAAATTTGCAATTTGTATTTATTAATTAAAACTTATTATCTTATTACTTAAATTAAAACCAAATTCCTATTATAGTAATTACATTCCTATTATAGTAATTACTTAAATAATAGCGAATTTTATCCGAGAGACGATTTTAAAGAATCCGCAATCGAAAATATTCAGAAAAATGCAAATTTACTTGGTCTACAAAAAAACTTCCTTGGAAGACTTTAGCATTAAATAAAAAATATTGAAAGAAATTGATCTTAATGCAGTTAAATTAAAGGAAACAAATACACATGTGGAACTAATTTATCTCGATGCAGACTATGAGAATAAATTGTATGAAATATTTTTCAATTCTATAATATTATAATTCAACACAAAATATAAGTTGAAAGAATTTCAACTAAGATAAAAAAAAAGAATATATTATATACAAAATTATTGATTTTATTTATATAAAAGCACACTGAAATGCATTAAATTGTAGAGAAGTTATTTGCTTGTACTTTAAAAAATTTATAGAAACATCTTAGGGACATACTTTCAACGATGTAATAAGTAATTTCTCAGAATATCTACAAATTTTTATTACTACAAATGCAAATTGAATGATATATCGATTTCACTGAACAGCAGAGCGGACGGTATCGTCAAGTATAGAATCTAATTAATTAGCAAAACTAATATCTAGATTCCATGTTTTTTCAGTAAATGTAAGTGTTTTGCAATTAGAACAATCAATATTGCTCTGTAACTAGAATATAAACCTTTAATTTCTAGGATCAGAGATTATATAATATGCAACAGTTATTTTCGTTAAAATCCAAATCCGAGAAGTATTGAATATATTTACCTTCATTTATTTTGCAGCATATCGTTTGTTCCAATTGCTGGGTATTAATACAGAAATATACACAAACCAATCTAATTACTTTGAAATGTAGCATGGAATAATATCTCTTAAACATTACTGGTATCTAAGCCTTTTTTCTTTCTATAATCATATTCTGATTGATAACTCGGTGGATGATTGTGATCGTGCACCCCTGTCGGCATAAACCTCTCAGCGATCACTGAGCATTTGCCGCGGCAACCACGATGTTGCTCTGCGCAACGATAATGCGAATTATTATATATCTTAGAACGGGAGGTCAAATTATATACATATCCTTCGTGAACTAATTGCGGTTTGCCTCTGGCGGATAGCCTATATATCACTGGTTCCACAGCTGTAAATTACAATTTTTATTTCACTGGACGTTTAAGGATTATTTCAGATTTAGTAAATAGTGATGCTTGGATCTGTTTGGTTCATGGAAATTAGTTCTATACATATATCGGAACCAACTTTTTTATTGAAGTATTTGATCTTTAAAGCTCTTTTTTTTCAATAAACAAACAATATAAATGTAAATGAATATTTACTTCGAATTTTTACAATGTATACAAGCAACATTACTTTTACTCACTGAATGCACAATACACCTATGTTTTTAACAATTATTACATCGCGTACTATATTATCATCTGTTTTAATCTATTGCAGTTGTGCAATTTTTTAAATTTCTTCCCGATGTTTCAATCGTATTTATAATTTGGATAAAGCTCTAATACTTCCCATTAAATTCGGCAATTTCTTTTTCTATATTCTTTAAAATTGATTCTTTAAATCCTCAAGAAATATAATCAAATCTATTTATAATACAAGTCTAGATATAAAAAGATCCACGTATCATCAGACAAGAATATAAATAACTGACATAGATAATTCTATAAAATATCATACCTGATTGTATCAAATTTTCTTCCAAATTTGGTTCATTAGGCAATTCAATTATTTCTTCATTATCATTATTAGCATTGCTAGTCGTGTCATGTTTGACATGACTAGCAATGTTATCCTTTTCACTTTCAGAGTCATTAACCTCTTTCTCATTATCATCTATTAAGAGATGATCCTTATTGTTGACATTTGGCTCATTTTTGGAATCTTTTACTGAATTGTTGTCATTTTCAACCACATGTTTCTTTCTCTTTTTTATGTTTCTCTTGGCTATCTTATGAAAATTTGGAGATTCATTTGAGACATTTTCTCGTTCATTCATGGCATCTGATAAGATAGTTACATTCTCAGAATCATTTTGCGAATCCGACACATTGACATAATTGTTTAACATCGGTATAATTTGCCCCTCGCCACCTTCCAATCCTTTTATCTGAAGCATCTGTGCCATTTTTAAGAAAGTTGGCAGATCTTCCTGTCTTACATTCACTTCTCCTTGGTACATGAATCTTAGCAAAGCTACAATTTCTGTATGTTTTACATCTTTCAATATTATTACTGGATGTTGGCAGGGATTTTCCTAGCAAGACAATTCCAAATTTATAGCTTGAAAATATTTTTTGCAAGATATGAATAATAATGAAGTTGTACCTTAAATATATTTTTGAAGTAGGGACTACACACAGAAAGGACTAGTTTGTGGGCAGCCAATAATTGTCCCTCCACAGCAAGTGTTACATCAACTAAATCATTCTCACTCAAATGAGAGAGAAAACCAGAAGATAAGTTGTTGGAAAAGTTATTCCATTTCAAGGAAAATTCCTTCGCCGATGATGCTGTAGCCATGTTTTCTTGTGCTAAGGTAATTAACCTTTAAAAACATGCAAGCTTTTTAAAGTTAATTATTAAAAAAATTAAATATTAAATGTATAATATTAATTAAAATATTTTATATAATTTCTTAACATTTATATATATATATATATATATATATATATATATATATATGTATATTAGAAATAATTTTAATAATATTGTCATATCTTTAATTAATTAAAATGAAAATTAATATTCCTGAAATAAATTAGAATTTAGACATGTGAAACAATAACATTTATTAATATCTTTCAATTATTATAATTGAGTGTATAAATTGTACAACACATTCTGTTACTATATTTCGATAATTAATATTTTGAATGTTCTTATAAAATATTTCTGATGATTAACATTTTATGAGTTTAAATATTTTAATCATCTAAAGATTACGATAACTTATATCGCTGGATATAAATAACGAAATTCATTACCAGTTTATATTAAAACGTGATTTTGTATTGGAAGAGAAACGCACTTATTTCACCTAATTTACGATAGCTGTCAACAATTCTGTGTCATAAAAAAAAGGAATAATGATACGGCTGCTTCACATCAATTTTCATCATCGTCTGAAAATTCCGAGTTTTGACGTTTCTACAACTTGAAATTAGGCACATTCGGAATATACATGAAGCATGCGCATCTAGATTATTTTTATATCGTGGCTCAGAATTGCATCTGACGATTTGACAGATGGAAAAAATTTTAAACTTGAAGTTAAAAAAAAAAGCAATTTTTAATATGTATAATATATTAAACTGACTGATGGTATTATAATTTTAATAATAAAATATATGAATATCATGATACGTATGCATCGAATGTATCTAATTTTTTTTACAATACAAAAATCGATAGGAGCGAGGAACTTGCGGAATCGAACCATCGGACGGTCACGCGGGTAACGTAAACAAATTCATGACGTTTGTATGACTATAAAATTTACATAAAAGGTCTAGCTCGCGTTCGTCTTTCCTTCTCTTCCTAAATATTTAAAAAACTGATAGTAATAAACTCCGAATAGAAAATGTATAAAGTGGACACGGCTAGCGCGTTGCGCGAAGCTACGGAGCCTGGTGTGATAACTCAAAATATACTTGTTTCCCTAGCGATCGACCAGGGACCAAGGAGAGAAGCCGGCAGATTGTTCCTCGAAGACGGAATCGAATTGGACGGATTGAAAGAAATTCGCATCGAGTTCCTTAGTAAGTATTTATAAATGCTTATCTCTTTCGTGAAAATAAGTTGCAGTAATTTTTATGAAAATTTTCTACAAATTTGTGAAAATTGTAAAAAATATTTACAAATTTTTTTTTACGAACATTTTTGTGAGCTATATATAGTAAGTATTGTAGATTATGTGAAAAAAACTAAACTATTAATATGTAATTATAGAAAAACGACAAAATTTTTTTTTCATAAAATAAAAAACTACATATAATAAGTCACGTAAGTTGCCATAAACATTAAGATAGAAGTAATTTAAAAAATTATTATAACATAAAAATTTTATTACGTCATAAAAATTTTACTACATCATAAAAGTTTCAGTTACACAAAAAATTTTAATTTTTGCATAATTTTCGCGTGAAAAGTAAAATTATTTCCATTAGGGATACACATACACACACGACATTATATACAATGATGTGAATTTTCCAATATTCTAATTTGTTCGTATCCGTTGTAGATATTCTAAACATTGATCATCTTTGGCCGTTGAAAAATCTAGTCAAATTATCACTATCCCATAATGTTATCGAGAGAATCGAGAATCTGGATGAACTTGTCCATCTCAGAGAATTGGATCTCTCCTTTAATCGTATTAAAATTATGGAAAATTTGGATAATTTAGATCAATTGGAAATTTTGCTTTTGTACAGTAATGAAATCTCTATTGTACAAGGCATAAGTAATTTAAAGAAATTGATAATTTTGAATATTGGTAAAAATAAGATCATGGACTGGAAGCATGTACGTGTACATAATTAACATTCTTGCTCTCCCCTTTTCTTTCTTACACTATACATAATTGCTTTTTTATTATAAAGTTCTATTCTTTATTTCATAAAGTTCTATTATTGATACAGGTCATATATTTACGTGATTTTAAATCATTGAGAAGTTTAAACACATGCAATAATCCTTGTACTGAAATAGATGGATACTTGGATTATCTGTTTGCATTTGTGCCGCAATTAATTTACTATCAATATAGAATGATATCTGAGAGTGAGCGTCAATCCGCCATCGATAAGCATTAGTAATTATTTTAATATAAAAATATTAGAAAAATCTTTACATTTTACACTTATATTTTAAAAATATTAGAAAAATCTTTACATTTTACACTTACATTTTACATATGCAAGTAATTGTGCTACTTTATTTTTATAGTCGTATTATTAGTAACCTCGAGGAAAACGAGACAAAAGTACAAACAGAATTAGCATTACAACAAGAACTTAAAGACAGGCTTGCATTACTATCTGCATCATATGTGGAGTATCTCGATGAAGATTATCTTTTTGAACAAATGTTTTCTCTCGATGAAGGTAGATTTATTTTATTTTTCCTTTAGTATGCATATATTACATACACTATATATTTATTTAAACATTTATGCTATATTTATTTAAACATATAATAGTTGGCAGGAAATTATACACAATAAATGAAAATACACAGAATGCATTTGAAGAATACAAAAAAACTTTTTCTGCAATATGCCATGAATTATACGAATTAGGTTTACAGGAACATGATAAAAGAACAGAGGAAATAAGATTATTTGAATGCGTTGTTAACGAAGGCAAGGAAAATAAACAAAACGTAGCAAGAAAGTAAGAAATATAAAATTGACAAGAACTACAACTTTATTTTTAAAAATAATTTATAATTTTCAAAAATTAATTTTAATTATGTTAATCACATGGGTGTGATCAATTTTTATTATTAATATATGTTAATTATTATAATATGTATATAATATGTATATTATAATATGTTTTATTATTAATAATTTTATTATAATATGTTTTATTATTAATAGATATGTTTTTTATATTATTTAACTTTTCTTTCTACAATTTATTTGTTTAAGAATTGTGGATGAAGTATTCGAGAAAAAAACGGAAATATTTACAAACATAAAAAATGTAATGACAGCTTTGATAGAGGGACGAGAGGGAGAAGCCAATGCAACTCATGACATTACTGCGAAAGCGACGGAATTGTATAATGAATTCAATAATTTATTATTTAAAGCACGAAATCAATTAATGTCTAAAGAAGTTATATTACATGATCAGATGGAAGTACGTGACATTAATTTATAAAAAGTATCACGAATAAAATTAATTTGAAAATTAGATTGAGAAAAATTTGTTTTCTTTCATAACAAAAGGATATAAATGAAGTCTTTAGAATTAATATGATGGACATGATCAATTTATTCTTAGAAACCGCACGAGGATATTTTTCTTTATTACGAAAGTCGCAAGCTGAATATAATAATACTATAGATGAATTAATTTCACATTATATAAGCGGTTTTGCGGATGAGGTACATATACCAGCTGATCTTAAAGATTTGTGTGGTGATAAGGATACTTTGATTACTACGCTTACCGCGTCACACGATGTACACTTGCAAGTGAGCATGGAAATTTTCAAAACTATTAATATAATTGATAAATAAAATAATAAATATTGAAATAATTGCAGGTAATAAATAATCGAGAAGAACTGATGGTAAATCGACTCAATAATTGGTTTAAAGATTATATGAATCAATTAATTGTGTAAGTAATTATTATTCTTATAACATTTTTAATATTTTTAATATTATAAATGAATGCGCGTTTATTCTTGGATACTTTATAAATAGAAAAAATTTTCTAATTACATAAAACTTTTAATAAATAGAAATGAAAATAAAAGAAATCATCAACAAATATTGGAAATATCGCATTTCTTTGGATTTCTAGAGCAAGAATTTAAATTGCTAAGTCCATCACAAGAATTAGGCTTGACTGATATTGGCTTAGATGATATATTGGAAGATTAATAACATGTTACGACATTTCGTCTCTTTTATTTAATATGAAAAGTAGATAATTTAGAAAATAAAGTGAGTATTTCACATATACATATATATTTATTAAAATATATTCTGTAACAAAATATTTTGTATATAAGCTTATATATATATATATATATATATATATATATATATATATGAAAAATCAAATGAAATTAGGAAGAAGTTCACAAAGATACAAGCTCAATCAAAACAAAATTACAGAAGGCTAAAAACCAAGCGCCAATGTAAAAGCGTGAAAAAATTATATATTTATTATTAATAAATCGTATTAAATATAATAAATCAGAAAAAATACATAATATATATAAGATAATAAAGCATGGTCTTTAAGACATCTTTAGACGTCATCTTGCTATCTGAGTATATATATATATATATATATATATATATATATATATATATATATAATATATATATATATGTATGTAAATACTTTTGATATGGAATTCTTTCAAAAATTTGCTTGAACTTCTTGGCCTTAGATAATAATTATATTCAATAATATATTTTTTATATGCTTGCATATATAGAATAATTTCAGAATACCTAAAACAAAAATATTACCCTTTACAGAGATATTAATATCTGTATTCCCAATATTCAAAAAGATAACTTATATTTTAACTATTATTTTAATAATATATCCTGTCAATTTGTTGAAATCAACTTCCTTATTTCTTTTCGTCCACTGAATTAAATTATTTCACATGAGCGCAGGAAAGAGATGATTCTATTCTGAATTTATTTCTATTCTTTTTCTTCTTAATATTTTTTCTCTATTTGATAAAATGTGTTCATTTCATTTTTTTTTCGATCGATTCTTTCCTTTATTTTTTTTTTTTGACAACATTCATATTCATAATAATTTAATTTTAATCATTTCTTATTCATAATATTTTTTTTTCAGACTGCATTGCAATCATATCACATGGACAAGATGCTATTTCTTTTTTTGTATTGATATTTATTTCAATATTTGAATATATTCAAAAATATATTTGAGTAAAAAATCCTCTAAGAGGAAATGAGATACCAGAAGCTCGTAAACGCTAAAAAATGCTAATAAAATAATAAAAACCCAAATACAAATTGCTATGTCTGATCTTGAATGCTTATCAAAGCCGATCCTTTTCTTCAAATGTAACAAATTTTTTTTTACAATAAAATTGAAAACGGGAAAAAAGATATGTAAAAGCAGGAGAGAGGAAGAGAAGAGGAAATTTGTGGAATTGAATTATCATGCTTTACACAATATATATTTGTAAATGCAAGCACACATGGGAAATTTCGAAACTATTAAGATAAGTGATAAATATAAATGATAAAAAAAGCACGGAAAGCATTTACAGGTGATAGATAATCGAAAAAATATCAATCAAAAATTAATCGCGTAAGTATTATTATTCTAATAATATTTTTAATTCATAAATTTGTTGTATATTTTGTAATAGAAAATTTTATGATTATATAAAATTTTTATTAAATGGGATTATATGTATATATATATATACATATAAAATAAAAAACATTGTCAACAAATGTTAAACATATCATTGAACATACATTTTTTAAATTTTAACAAAAAAAATTTCTATTAAAATCTTCTATTACAAACATTAGACTTGACAGATATTGACCGGTATTCATAGTCTAGTCTTACATTTGAGATCATCTTAAGCTTTCATTCCATCAATCAATAGCTGCATTGTAGCTATTTGATTGATTGAATGAGTTCTTAAAATGATCTTAAATGTAAGACTAGACTATGAATACCGGCCATTAACTTATTGTTAATTAGATGACAATTAGAGATATAATGAATGATATTTTACGAATTAATGATATTTTAGTTTGCCCATTTTAGCAATATGCAATAAAGTTTGGGAAATAAAGTTACACATACATATATATTAAAATGTATATTCTAACAAAAAACATTGTATAAATAAAAGTTCATAGAAGTTTCATATATATATATATATATATATATATATATATATATATATATATATATATATATATGTATGTATAAAATTTTTCTATCAAATTCATTTTTTCAAAAATGTAATTTATAATGAGTCTAGATATCAATTATAAAAATATTTAATAATACACCTTTTCTTTTCTACATATATGTATATGAATACTTTTTTCTTGAATAACAACAATATTGTTCCTTATAAAAATATTAATTATTGTTTTCGCTTCAATTGTTCCATATAAAGTTTAAGACCATGTTGTACTTTTGGTAACTGTATATATTCTACGAATCTGTTAACGTCAACTTCCTTATTTTCTTTCATCCATTGAATTAAATCATTCCGCATATCGAGCTTAGTTATAGTCCCTGCTGTACCTTTATTGAAAACAATGAATGATTATTGTAAAAGTATAATTTTGCAAAATACATAATTAATATATTTTCTTACTTTGTATATTATTGTATGATAATATGTAATTTTTACACTTTTCAATTGCATCAGTTTTATCTTTAGCGAGCTCATCCACGAGTTTAATTTGCAATGCTTCTTCAGGTTTAAACAATGATCCTCTAAAATATTACATCGCACATAACATCTTATTATATAACATGTCACAGATTAAGCTTACATACCTTAAAAGTGCTAATTCAGCTTGTCGATAGCCCAACAGTGAGACATAGAGATCTTGGAACCATTTAGGAGCAATCATGCCTAATTGAGTTTCATTCAATCCTATAGTGTGTTTACCTTCAACGAAAACTCTATATTCTGTAGATATGGCTAGCAAACAACCTCCAGCAGGACTAGAGCCCTAAAACAAGGGAGTTTTGTTTACATCAAATTATTAGAGATATGTACATGGTATAACACTTGAAAAAATATCTGTACATTAATAGCAACAGCAATTGGAATATTCAAACTGTAAAGAGTCAACCAAGTGTCTTGCAATGTGCTCCAAAAATCAGTAATTTTTTTTTTATCATTAGTAAACATTTCTGTGATATCTAATCCTGCTGAGAATATGGTTGGCAAGGATGATGTTAGTATGACTCCTTTACTGCGATTACTTTGAGCTTCCAGTAAAGATGTTTTTAACGCACTTAATAATTCTGTGTTTATACTGTTCACAGGTGGTTTTGCCATAGATATGATGTCAATCCCTGTTCAATGATTGAATAAAATAAAATTAGAAAAATAGCCATATATTAAAAACACATGACAGAAATTGACACATGAAACAATATTGTTACCTGTATCATCTCTTGTAGTTTCAATAAGTTTCGGTGTTGTAGCATAAAATCTTCTGAGATATACCTGCCTTCCAGCAATTAGAATTTTTGAAATAGTCATTTTGGAAATACTGAAAAATAATCCTGATTTTAAATATAACAATTAAATATAACAATTAAAAATTAGATATTTTGAAACTGCACATTTATTACTAATTTACAACAAATAAAATAAAATAAAAAACAAATTTGTGTGCACCTAAAATTACGTAAATCTTGTAAGAATGTATTTAAATTTCAACGAATTCAGCATGAATAAGCAGTTATATTATAATCAGTGAAAAAATAAATCTATTCAGTTTTTCTTGCCAGCGATGCTTGTTTTCGTACTAGATTGCATGCGAGCATTACGATGATTTAATTCTTTAATATTAAATTACGATTGGTCAATTAAGACGCCCACATGCGATCTAGTACGAAAAATCGTACGGTGTGCCGCAGGCTTTATTTACTTCCAGAATTGTAAATAGGTTTGTTCTTTTCAGCTGAACTGGCTGCACTAGAAAGTAGGAACGTTCTTTTTAGCAGAAGTGACATGTCAGATGCTGCTGTTCTTTTTGGCTGTGTTCCACATAACGATCGCAACGCTCGCAGAATCATCTAATCTTTGTTGTTCGCTAAAAGTTAAACAAAGACACATCATGTTTATAAGTGTCGCGATCATTAAGTGGAACGCAGTCTTTAGCAGTGCAGTGCTACAGTGCAACAATTCACTGCACTGCCTGGGGCCTGTTCTTTTTAGCTACACAGCTGCACTTAGTGCAGCATAAGTTAGAAAGAGACAAACATGTTTTCTTTCACTCTAACTAATTGCACTAATGCAGCAGTACAGCTAAAAACAGGTCCTTGAGGTAGTGCAGCGGTGCAGTTCAATATGGCGATGTATTTAAACACAAACAGCAGTTAACTTTTAATTAATAATGCATTAATTGCAAAAAAAAGAGATATAATAGTCAGGTAAATAATAATATATAATAATGTTAATATAAATTAATATAATAATATTAATATAAAGAATATAGATGAAAACAATTATTAATTAATAGAAAAATTAAAAAAAATTAAATTTAAAATAAGTTTTTAATTAATAAATAAGTTTATAATTAATAATATAAATTAATAATTAATAAACTTAAAATTAATTTTCCTACAAATTTGTAATAAATAAATTTCATTACAAATAATTGAAGAGTATTGATATCACCAACTATTTTTGGTCATTTATTTTCAATATAAAGGTATAAGTAATAAAAATTGAATGTACGAATTTTTTCTTAATTATATGGTATTTAATGATCCAAGTTTTTTTTATATTCTTATCATATATATTGTTATTTTTAAATCTTAATCAATCAATTTTTAAATCTTAATCAAATTTTAAATCTTCAACATTTTATAAGCGAGCGTATTTTTATCAAAATCTAAAACATTTTGTTGATAAGCAGATAAATAAAAGTATATATAAACGCTAATGACGTAATAATAGCGAAACTATTTTTATGTATGATCGTATCCACGTGTCAATCTGTGAATTACTGTTATTGCCATATACACATATGTATATATTTCTCCTGAGAAATCGTAATCACACAGAGAGAAGTGTTGAATCTAGCGGTTTTCGAAACATCTTTATTGATCTTTATTGTGCCAGTGTTCGGAATTCTGAACAGATTCTAATTGCGGCTTTCGCCGCCGATCATCGGTGATCGTGGATGACCAATCGCGGACTGGTGCCAACATGGCTGCTAGTGCACTGCCTGCTCGTCTTCTCGTGACATCGCCCTTTGTCTCGATGGCGCTCCTCTAATCGACGAAAAGCGGGAAGTCACGATCAGCGACCGGGAAAGAGTCTGAGAAAGAGACAGAGAGAGAAAAAGAGAGAGACGACGCTTTAAATGGAACAGCAAACTTCAATGGAAGACTTCAGCTAGCAAAAATGTCAACCCGGTCGCAACTCACGAAGGATTTAAACGGTTCGTCTCCAGTTCGTAGTGTTTACGTTCCCGTCTACGTAGATCGGGCGAACTGTCATCCATTCCCTCGAACGATCTATCTCTATGTATTGGTGACAACTAATCTTACTCCGCCTTACATTCTCTATTTTCGCGAGTATCATAATTGATTTCATCTGTCATTGTATCTTTTAATTAAAAAAAAAAAGGAAAAAAAAAGCGCGACAAGTGTATAATTCTCATGCTCACTTTTCGCTTAGTAATTTATCCCGCGTACGACTAAGTGAATTATTCATTATTTGCAGAATCGGTGAAAGCGTTACTTGGCAAGCATGTGAAAATATTGTTAAAAAACGTGGTGAAATTAGAAACAAAGCAGGATAAGCAAGAAAATCGTGTTCTCGTGAGTAATCTATTTTTCTCTGTCTCTATTTTTTTCATGATAATATGTGTCGTATTTTGCATTAAGCTAAATTGATTTTTTTTTTTCTACTTAAGGTGTTTTCACCATGTCGCCTCTTTCTATTATCGGCCAAAGTACCCACAAGAGTAAGTCGAGTTGTTTGTATTTTTCTTGGTTTTCTGTTATGTACTTGTAACATGACATTTGAATTTTTATTTTTATAGATCGACTGCCATTTTCATTACCTAGAAATAACGGCCATAGAATCGAGAAGAGCCAATCAGCTATGTTTGACAGTTGGAGAACGATTTTACAACTTTACTACAACCAGTATAGGCGCGGATACTACAGAAGTGGATGCCATGATAGAGGCCTTACATACGGCAATCCGAAATATCTTTCCTACAGTACCATTAAAGTATGTCCAATTTTACAACTAAATAATCAATGTTTGCCTTAATGATATATTAAGATATATAATGATATATAGTTTTTTGTAATCTTGTTGATTACAAATCTTTGAAATATTATTTTTGTAGTTACATTATACGAAAAATAGAGGTCATACCAGCTAGCAGATTGCAAACTATAAGAGGGAGCGAGTTAGCTAGAAGTACTGAGGCCACAAGACACACAGGGCCATGTGGTGGCTTTTCTACTCAATATGCATGCATGTGTGATTTGCACGGTGTACCATATAGGGAAGAAGTGGCATGGGTGAGATTATTGCTCCAATTTTTGTACTACTAGAATTACCTACTTGTATAAAAATCTTATTTACAAAAATACCAATTTCAGGACGTTGATACAATATATCTTTCACATGATACCAGAGAATTAAATCTGAGAGACTTTGATCATTTAGATCAGAAGGATTTAGTACCAATTATCTCGGCCTTGGAATATAATACTTGGTTCACAAAATTAAGGGCATCTCATCTCAAATTAAGTCACGAACCTTTAGATAGATTATTACATGTTATGCGAAGATCTTTATCCATTCAAGAACTCTATCTTGATAATCTCGGGATTAAATGGTAATGATTCCAGCGATGCATATTATAGCTTTGTAGGAAAAGAAATTTAATGGCATTTTTATAATGTACAATTATTTTGGTTTTAAAGGGATTTCGCTCACAAGCTGTCATTAGCTCTAATTTCTAATGCTAATACGATGCTGCATACAATAGATCTATCGCACAATATGATTGAGGATAAAGGTATATCATTAATTAATTCTAATAATTTATATTATATTGTATTTCCTTTTATATTTTAAATCTTTATCTGCACTAGACCCATTAAGTAAATCTCCATTTGCCAGTTATTAGCCATAATTTCAAAACTATCCTGAACAGTTTTTCTTTATATTTTTTGTAGGAGCCTCTAGCTTGTGTGGGATAATAGCCAAGTTAATGCAAGGTGTGCCAATAACCATGTATTTTTATTATCCCTAGTAATTATTTACTAATATTTAATATGCTTTTCACACATCTAGTTTTTCTTTCTCTTTTTTGTTTTTTTTAAATATTGCACTTTTATATTTTTATATTTTTTATAGTAATTATCCCCTTATATTTTTCCTTTTATTTTAAATAAATAATATCCTATACATATATTTGTTGCATAAGCATATCATATTAATATATAAAATAGTATTAATATCTTAAATCAAAAATTTTTAATTATAAAATGTATTGTGTATATGTTATTATTAATTCGTTATTCTAAATTTGTGATGTGTGTTTTTAAGGTGCTACACATTTGAGTGGTCCTATTGGCAAGTTACCTAAAGGTTTACAGAAATTAAATTTGGCCCATTGTGGATTAACTGGAAAAGGTGTAGGTCAAATAGCTCACGCGTTAAGCTTGAATAGGAGTATGCCGACTAGCTTGCGATATCTAAATCTTTCAGAGAATACCTTGAAAGATGATGTTAATGTGAGTTTGTAATGAATCATTAATTGACCTCGACAATAAGTTAGATGTATCTTAGTCGCGGCTAGAATACTAATTTGTGCATTTCATAATTGCAGAATTTGTGCAATTTCTTGGCACAACCTAATAGCTTAACACACTTAGATCTTAGCGGTACAGATACTACTTTAGAGTGTGTAAGTAGTGAATATTATTTTATTTTTCGATCACATATTTTTGCTATCATAGCTTGATCATTCTTATTATTATTCTTTATGATTTGGCATTAGCTGTTTGGTGCATTATTACGGGGTTGTGCAACTAATCTAGTCCACCTGAACGTCGCCCGAAATTCTTTTTCGAGCAAGAAAACCAAAGAGATACCTCCGAGCTTTAAACAATTTTTCACGGCAACTCTCTCACTGAAGTACTTAAATATATCTTCGTGCAAATTACCATTGGAGGCATTAAAGCATCTGTTACTTGGCTTGGCTTGCAACGAAAGTACAGTTGGCCTAGAGCTTGACATGAGTGGAAATAATCTGGGTTCCATGGGCGCACATGTTTTGGAGTCGTGCATTCACGGAGTTCGATGTATAGCGTCGTTGGATATATCAGACAGTAGTATGTATAGTTACACATCTCAAGATAATGTTATTTCAGAAATGGAAAGAGAATTATGAAACTTTTCCCTCCATTTTAAGTCTTTTTTGTATTAATTTTCAACTTGAAATGATGATTTTGTACAGAAGGAATATAGAGTGAATTTTTCTATTTCACTGCTTTATTCATTTCGTAATTTACTATTCTTTTATAGATATGGATGTCGATTTGGCGCAAGTTATAACGGCCATAGGTAAAAATAAGTCGATTAAGCAGTTGTACATGGGACGCAATACCGCCAGTATGAAAAGCAAGCACATAGCTGTCGTGATGGATGCTCTGGTGCAGATGCTTCAGGAGGATGACTGCGTGCTTCAAGCGTTGCATTTGCCCGATTCGAGGTTAAAGGGCGATCTCTACAATCTGATCAACGCCCTCGGCAGCAACACGTGTCTTCATACTTTGGATATTAGCGGTAATCAGATAGGAGATCCTGGCGCAAGATTGCTGGCGAAAGCACTGCAAATCAACAATCATTTACGGACTATTATATATGATAAGAATAATATCACGTTGCAAGGCTATGCGGATATCGTTCACGCTCTAGAGAAGTATGTGCATCGAAATACATATGTGTATCGAATACGCGGAAGAAGGATAATAATATTTATGAGAAATTTATTTTTGTAGAAACTGTAGCGTGCGGCATATGCCATTTCCGATTTACGATCTACAGCCTTGTATGAAGACTTCTGCGGAGAAAACGGAGCAGTTAGGCAAGAAAATACAGGATCTGTTGCAGAGAAACGTCACGCCGTGCAAATATAGTCACGGGCAAGCATTCAGATTGCAACAGGGATTTCTATTGAGCTCCACGCAACAGATGGTCGACAGACTCGTTGTTCAAACTCAGGACACCATTAAAACTCTCGCGGCAGAGAGCTGCGACGCCAACAACGATATCAATTACGCGACTGGACTTATACAAGACGCAGACAACTCTAAACAAGTACGACAATACAGAAATTAAATTTATTTACTTTTAATACTTGACCTAGATTTTTTAAGACTCACTTTTATAGTAAGATTGAAAAATTCGTCAAATAAAACTTTATCTTTTCAGTTACTACCGAGATTACACGAGGTGCTTCAAAGACGGGACGAGAATAATCCGATTGAGCTAAAATTACACGATATGGCGAATGAAATTCACAAAGTTGTGACGTTGTATTTACAGGTATATAAGTCTTCGTGAATATTTATATGTGCTCTTTCTCTCAAAATAATTATACAAGATACGCTTATATAATAATAAATGTACAAATGATGTCAGGATTCTCTGGACGCGATGTTGAAGTGCGCGAACGAACAATGTCCCACTATACTTTCACAAACGGTGATCAGAGGTGATGAGAGTGAACCGATTGCAGTGCAAGATGATCTTCGTAATACTTGCAAAGAGAAAAATCAAATCAATAATGAATTCATACACACTACTGTTACCGAACAAGCTGGCGCAGATATCGTTAACAGAGTCAAGTTAGTGTTCTAATAATACTATTGATGTATTAATAATCGACGATCTATTATTTTATTAATAGTTTTGATCTTTTTAAATATCAGCGAGCTTAACTTGGCGGTTGCAGCGCATATATCTGATAGAATTACGGATGAGGTAATCGAATCGTTGTCAAGAAGTTATAAGACTTTGGTAAGTTAAAAATATTATGTACATATATGTGGATATATATGTTGTGTTATATTTTATATAAAATTTTAAAAGAGAAAACATTTGCCAGATAATATTTAGTTAGAACAAAATTGATTCTAAAATTTGATTACAAGTTTTGAAATTTTAATCATATTTCATATTGATACAATTACAAACTCGTCAAACATATTAATATGGTTTAACATGTAATATTATATTGATAAATTTCTCCTTAAGATTTCCTGAAGATATATATTTCGATATTTTTAACAACAAAGCGCTAATATAAAACAGAGAAAAATCGCTAAGATAAAACATTTTCAGATTGGTGATTGCGATAGTCGAACAAGGAGCAGTACACCAGATGTTTTACGACCTAGTGCCGGCTCGATGAGCAGTGGAAGCGTGATAGGCGTGACTAGCGCGAGCGGTGTCTCCATAACTCTACCTCCCGGCAGATCCAGTCTCGTATCCGAAGAGGAAACGCCGGAAACGTGTTCGTTGGCAAATTCTATCGGTCCATGCGTCAATGATCAATCACCAATGGTAAGATTTTTCGAGTTCTTTAATATTATACGAGACAGCAAAATGTCTGTAAAACTTTTAAATGCCAATATATTTTTTCCAAAGTACTAATATATTTTATGTTTTATTCGTTGAAAGCTGCTAAATTATAAGCTCTTTTTATTTACATGCTAACATAGAAATTGGATTATCTTAATCTGGTAGGTATTTACAAAAATATACGAAAGTGTAAATGATTGCATAAGTGTAAAATACATATAATTTATCGCGATATAATATTAATATTATGAGATGTGATATATATTTTTTTTTTCGATATTTAGGCGACTCCACATTTGTCGAACAAACGCAAAAGTCTACACGGAAGGAAATTGAGACCCAAGTCTGTGGTAGATTCGGTAGAAGGACTTTCCGCCGATGACATTCCGGATCTCTTACCATCATTACCGAAAAGTCAAGCTGAAGGTTTGTATAAATTAAATCTTCACACAGATCTATCATCTTGCAAAATGTATAATTATTGTTCCATAGCTATTTCAGAAACCGAGCACTCATTGACAGAATCCTTAGACTCCGTCTCAGAATTGCCCAATACTGTAGGTCAGCAGTTGCAACATCTAGTGAAGTCCAGACCACGTAGAACGAAAACGCGAGCGCCCACGAGGCCGATGTTGAGACCGGATCAACCCATCGACGGTCTCGCTCTGGGTGAGGGTCTCGATGTATTTTTCCGACCCACCACACCGACCACACCTTTAATATCACCTACGAGCGATGACAGGTATAAATAACGACTGATTATATCCATACATAAAGTATTCTGTATTTTTGAAAATATATGATGACTTTATGATTTGTTTGCAATCAATATGCAAATTATCGAAATTAATTTTCACCTATTACAATTTACAGTTCTTTACATACTTTTCCAACGGACGGAAGTCCTAATCTATCATTGACTAGTCACAAAAGCATTCCACCCGATATGGAAAAAAAGCATAGTTGTAATTCACCGATGCTGAAAACACTTCTGGAACCTGCGCCGCGTTCTCGATCCAGCGATAATTTGGAGAAATTTTCCCCTCTCGTTGGCAGAAGATCTCAAGGCGATTCTCCGCTGACGGCGTCGCCGCTCGCTCGGAGAAATACGACGGACAATGCTCAAGTTCACGAGAGATCCAAAAGCGAAACTCATGCAAAGGAAACTTGCAACAATGATGCGGGTGATGATTCTAAACGTTGCATGCTCACAGACGCATCTGGCATGAGTTCACGCAGCTCGCACGACATCAATGATAGCTTTGGAATGAGCATGCTGGAAAGGGACCAGGAAAATCGTAAAAATATCGCGAAGAAATCCGACATGGACAAGTCTGTCAAGCTACGATCGACCGGTCATGATCTGAGAAGTCCCATAAACGGTAGCAACGGGGGTAGCAGTACCAAAAGTACATCCGATTCGACTAAATCACCGATATTGAAACCGTTGGTGAAGAGTAGCGGATCTACGAGCGACGGAAAAAGCAACGGCGCCCTTCTGAAAAATAAACCGACTCCACCGGCGACGGCGCCTAAACCGCGACCATGGAGCATGGCAACCGATCGAAAATCCGGTAAGAGATACTTTCGAGTCACGAATTTTTCTTGCAATTGTAATTCGTATTATCCCTTTGCTGATACTCTTCGATTTTCGAGAAAATTTTAATTCATGCTCTCTCTATCTCCCTTTCTATCTCCTTGCTAATTATATATTTTCTTATTATTTTAAATCATTTAAAAATGAAAGACAAAATTCCTAACATGTTTTTAAATACGAAGATTTTATAAACATTCTATGCTTTAAGGCATTCTATATTCGATATAGAATCACTATCAAAAACTATTTAACGTAGAAAAAAATGATCAAGTGATTTATAATATATAAAGATGATACTTAATCTACCTAATTTCTTATAGGAGAATTTAGTTTATTAAGTGATGGCTCCAGCCCAAACACATCGGCTGGTAATACACCCGATTCCGGCGATGCTCTTGATGAGTCAACTGATAGCGGTGTCAGCGGTCCAGCTTCTTTGCCGCCAACGTTATCGGCAAGCAGCACTGCGAGTTCATTGAGCAACACGAGCGTCGAAAAGAGATCGGTGAGAGAATTGGCGGCGAGCTTGAACAAGAGCAAGGCTGACAAAAAGGAGAACGGTAAGTATCAATTTTCAGTTCAGCCTTTTCCGTATCGCATGGTTAATTTTTTTAGCGTACGCATCCTTACGCTTCTTATAGTGTAACAAACATAAAACACGCATGTAAAATCCTTCGATGTGACAACCCGCTCCTATTACCTATTATTTTAGAGCATACCGCACCTACAGCATGGCGGTCGCTGCTTCAACGCTCTGTCGACCGAGCAGATATCAAGGTATATTTTATTTAATTTTTTTTTCCTTCCTGAGACTCTATTTTAATTATCCTCTCAGAGCTATTTTTTATTAACTGCTCATAGTTTATTATACTATATTATATAGAGAATTGGGCAAAGAATAATCTTATTATATATAATAAAATGTAATACTGTACTGTAATATTTATTACATAATATAAAATTAATTCATACTAAGTAATAATTATTGATATATGAATTAATAATTATTGAGTAATTAACAATTCATGAGTAATAGAACTAATGTGTGATTATTTCATTAATCACAAGTTGAAAGAATAGTAATATATATAAAAGTATAATAAATTATTGCCCGATACTGATATAAATCTTTCATTTATATGCTTTTTTAATATTAGATATAAAGGTCATAATTTATGACACTTATGCAATTATTTTACCCCACATTACATATTAATCTTGCTTATAATTTCAATAAAATATATATCTTAATTGGATTTTATATAATGCAAAAAAAAATCTGTTATTACTCTGGCATTGCAGGTAACGGAAGTGCCGAAAATGGTTGAAGATAGTCGTCTCAGTTTTAAACTTCGTCGCACGTCATTTTTGCGCGATTCGAATTTCAACTATAACAACAACGATGTCGTCGACGTTTGATCGTGCTGTGACAGGTGATCTGCATTACGCATTATGCCGATTAAAAGTATGCCGATATCTGGCACATGAAGTAATTTTTCGTCTTTCGTGCCATAAGGGAAATCTTAAATTGTGTACATAAGTATATATAAATACATATATATATATATAATATTGACCGATTTTAACTTTAGAGACAGGGTACTGAAAGTTTTTGCAGCGACTAAAGTACTAATCTCTCTCTGCTCTTAAGGTGTGGCATTAGAGGATCTTATACTAGTTTTATACGATGTTGCGTTTTTACGCAGCTCTATTTCGACTTGGTCGTATTCACGTATTATTATCCTTACGCTTCGTTATACATTTCGTATGTGTGTACCAATCTTAATTATTTTTAATTGCGTTTCATTTTTTTAGATATTATTAAGATATTGACTTTCGGTCAAAATAAGTGTCATTCCTCAGTCAGATTCTTAGTGAGCAATTTATTACACTAAGATATTAGACAGAAAGAGTGTTATATTCTCTCAAAAATTTTTAATGTGTATTTATTTATATATCATTTATCTATGTGCTTTAACAGCGCGAAAATGTCTAGAATAGACGAAACCACATCACAGTTTTAATGGAAAATAATCTGAATCGATTTTAATTCAATCGTGTAGGGAATGTTGCAAGTAGCGGCAACTTAAACTAGCATAATACGTTGAAAGAGGTGTCTTCCAAGATATTGTGTAACAATTAATATTTTGTGCGCATGTATTTTTCATTTATAAGAATAACGTCCACATTTTGATTCGTATTTTTTTTATTATACGCGACTTGTTTTTAATCTGTGATTAATTTATAGAAAATTTACGCGAGATCTTATCGTACAGCATAATGTTTTTTATTATATATAAAAAGAAAATTGATTTTATAGTTAAATTTCTGCTCGAATTCTCAAAGGCAGCTTTTTCGTATTTAATTATTTGTCTGTGCAGCTAATGATAGAATTGATGATGATAAAACGACAAACTCTTTATTTTATCGCATACGGAGATGTCTATTATGTCCATTATTTTTATTATATATGGAAGCTCTAAAATGGATCTCTCAACTTCTAACATCGTGATATCTGAAATTTTTTCACTGCAAGAATTTAAATTGTATCAAATGAGTAAAGCACGTTAAAATAATCATTACAATTATAGAATTAATCATGGAGAATTTGTATATGTGATTATAGCTCGCGTTTTCGATACATATTGTGTGTGTGATAGAGGATATAAAATTCTCTCAACGTTCAATTGAATGAGACTAACAATGCAAAATTATCTATCGGAATTCTTCGTGCTGCGAATTTTTCGAAAGCATTTTTTTGTAATAAAAAAAATAGATGTTCTTTACAATTCTGATGATAAAGATCAGTACAGTTTATATAATCCTTGTATCTCAAAGATGCATTTGTCTTTTTATATTGTGGCAAACGCGTGTACATATATATGTAAAAAACTAAAATAAAGAGGACTTACGTATAGATGAATAAAAAAAGATATGCCCGCGATTGAAGAGAGGCGACGCGAAAAGGTCTCAAAAACGCGTCTTGTGAATTTTTTTACCGCTTAATTGTTATCACGCGTAATATAATATTGATATCGATCCCTTGCTACATGTGATCACAATTGTAGTTTATCATGACGTGTTTATTAAACGGGGACTATCTCCTCTGACTGCGAACGAGCATCACATATTGAAGCATCACATTAAAACAAAATTTGCGTGCATAAATTTATATCTGTGTATGTGTGCGCGCGTGCGAAACATATTTATATCGATGAAACATGAAAAAACGTGAAAAAACGTGACATATGCGTGACACTGTCATGTATCTCTACGGATCTATATAAGATATCTTTAGGCGTTAGAGCCGTTGGTCCTAAGAAACGCGCGTACCTCTCTTAATTACGTATATATATAATAAATTAGGAAAGGACGCGTTTTGTTTGTCGCTAAAATCTTGTATGGTCTACTAGATAAACGTAAGGAAGTTTTTCGTATATATTAATCTAATCCGATTCGCGAGAGGCGAAGCTACTTGTAAGACGTCTTGCGATATTTACTTTTAGGCACATTTCTGACAATTTATCGAATCTGTCTTAGAACAGAATAATATTCCTACAGTCTCGTGTAACCGACTAAAAACTTACACATATATTATAATATATATATATACACATTTACTGTGTGCGCGTTACAAATAATTTTTATATAAAATATACGTATGCGCGGTATTATCTTATTATAAGGAAAAAAAAGTATGTATTTGGAAGGGAAAAAATTGACATTCTCGCACATGTAAAATGACTCTGCCGAGTATTGTGCCAAAAAGTCTATAGAGTGCACATTGTTTATACAGTGAAAAAAAGAAACAAAACAAAAATTATCATGCGTTCCATTCTCGACAAGCTTCTGCATCATTTATAATCGCATCATTTGACTCTTGCCTGCAAATTATTCGTAAATATAATTGAATAGCATTGTAAATATAACTGAGAAACTAGCGATTCGCCTCTCATTCCATAACGTTACTTACTAATGAACAAAGTTGCGTTACATTTACTCGTGTATATGTGTGTATATATATTTATACACACAATCTATATATAAAGAGAGAGAAAGAGAGAGAGTGAGAGTGAGAAGAAGAAGAATCATGTGCGTGTGCATGACACGTGTGTGTATATCGTATATATTTAAATCTTCCCCGATACACATTCCTGTATACATATACGAGAGAGAAAGAGATACATTCTATATACATACAATGCGAAGATACACATGACGTATAGGCCGAAATATATTGTAGATATTAATATCATCGCAAAAATGTGTAATTGACGATGTTAACATTTGCAGTCTATTTTGGTGGATAGCATAATAGAAGCGCGATATAATCCGTTAACGAAAATAAAATAACTCGTATCCACACAAAAACAAAAAGGCGTATATGTGTGTATATATGATTTCCATTCTCCCTGAAAAAAAAAACTTTCCCCATCAAAATCAATTTTAAAATCTCTTTAGTTGTAAAAAAATATTAGCTTTCAAAATTATTTCAGTCGTCGAAATAATTCGATAATTTTCACGAATTTTTTTTTTAGCATGACGGGGAACTATCCCTATTCTTAAACATTCTTTATTCTCAACAACGAAAATTCCCGTAAAGTTAATTTCTTCGCGCCGCTTCCTCCACTTCTCTTTGCGTTTTCCGGAAGCGACAGGGACTGTCAGCCCTGTCATCGTCATCTGTTGCGACCGTGTCGTGTGACACGGCCGGTGGAGAGGTACGCGAATAACGGTTTGACACATCGCGTTATTCGATGATCGTCTAGACCGCGATTCCGATTCGGAATATCTAGATCGCGAGGATGTCGCGCATGAGAGCGGAGAAGAACGGGAACGGGGGCAAGTGCGAGGTTAGCGTATGGACACGTGCGATTACGGCGAACTCGGAATGGCCGGACAAGGTAAATATAACCTTTGACAATTTCTCCTTCGAAGGCGCTCTTTAAAGGAAAAGAAAGAGGGTGAGAGACAAAACTCTTCCGAAATCCTTTCATTCTTTCTCTTCGTCTCTCGTGTTGCAGGAGGAATTTCTCGATGTTATATATTGGGCGAGGCAGGCGATCGGTATTATTGTCGGTGTAGGATGGGGCCTTATACCTCTGAAAGGTTTTATAGCTCTATTGTTGTAAGTAAAAAAAAAAAAGATAGAATCTCGAGATGATCATTTTGAGTTTGTTTCTCGCTCTATTAAAAATCTCCCTTGTGTGATTTATATTTCTATAATATTCTTGTTTTAGATTCGTAATAGTCAATGCGGGAATTACATATTTATACTTTAGCAGTTTTCAACAAATAGACGAAGAAGAATTTGGTGGTATATGGGAATTGACAAAGGAAGGCTTTATGACTTCGTTTGCTGGCTTCCTGGTAAGTCTGTGTCTCACAGTGGATTCAATAATTTTATGTTAATTGTACGACATGTTGTTATATTTGTCGATAGGTGACTTGGATTATTATATACTCTGGATTACATTTTGACTGATTTATATTGTAAACTGTGGATACACAAGGAGCAATAGCTTTTCATATAGATCATTGCCGCTGCCAAATTCAATGCAATAGTCATTTCCTCGCAATAGGTATCGTTACATATTGAATTCTTGCATACTGTTACATATTGTTACATACAAGTATGATATATTTGCCTGTATAAAGATCTTCTTACCTTCTCAAACATTGTGTTTTGATTCCATGACCAATTATTCGAATTGCAATCAAAGCACTCGTGCAATTTACATTCATTCCATCAATGTACAAAGTTCAGTCGCATTTTAAATTCAATGTATGTTGCAAATTACAAACGTAAGTTTATACACCTCGCATATTCTTTGGAATCGTAAAGAGTCACAATCATCGAAGACACTACCATTTTTTCAGCCGATCATCAAGCGCTTACGTCCTCGCGCCTGTACCTGCTTATACTTGGCGAGCACTTGCTCGCATTGACTCTTGTTCTGATAATGCTTTTGATAATGGTGAAAAATGCGAGAGAACAACGTTGGCACTTCTGAATGCGCACTGAGCAGCGATCGCTCAAGAACGTACAAATCGACCGCCTTATCCTCCACCGTGGAATCCAGTCGAGCCAATCCGAAGTCTATCATTACAAATCGGGTCTCGGCTATGAACAGAAAAAAGGACATATTGCCATAACGGAATCGAAACTAGAAAATCGAAAGATATTGCGTGTACCTTAAGTACGGCAAAATTCGACTGTACTTTTGCAACGTGTTTTACAGGCGCGTCAATAAAACAAATATATGGTAAGTGAAATGGTTTTCATTTATCATGTACACTAATATTTATCGAACACATTATCACGAAAGTTACCTTCGGATTGATCGTTGTAGGACGACTCGACCGAGTCATTTTTGAATAGTATATTCGACGTAGTCAAGTCACCGTGGATCATGTGTTTCGCATGCAGTTTGGCTATGAGCGCGCCCAATCCTCGTCCTATGAACTCCACCAGATCATCCACATCCGTCTTTCCCGAAATATTCTCGTCTATGAAATCCTTGAGCACTATGGCGTTTTCCACGTACTCCATGTATATACTGCGTCGCTCCACGTCCACCAGGTAAAGGGCTGGCGTTGCTATTCCTTGAGAAAACAAGGAGAGATAAGCGCGAGTTTTGCGGACAGAGATCGATTTTTACCTGCAGATTTTGCCCGAATAATGGCTCGAGCCTCGGCCTTGATGCGATCCTTGGTGAGACGCGCGTCCAACTCTGGGTGTCGGTAATTCTTCACGAATCTCTCTTTCACTAAACTCATCCTTCCGAGGTAAAGACCCTTATAGAGACGTGCCTCCGCGCCTTGCGCTATCAGTTCCAAGTCTTGCATTATTGCTGCAAGGACACGTACGAGTCAGAAAAATTGTAAACGCACGAATATCGCTCTAATTATTTTAATCTTATTTGAATGATATATTTGACGCAGTCAGATCGTCGTGGATTTCACATGCAATCTGGCTATGAGCGCGTTCAATCCGCGTTCTATAAATTTCAGATAATTCAGATAATCTACATTCTTTGTCGAAATATTTTTATAAAATAGTCTTATTACTAATCTTATTATCGCATTTGTTGATTTCATCAGTCAAATGTATCTTATATATTTTATACTCGTGTGATTAACAACAAGAACTCTGGAGAAATTTGCTCGCGCTTTCGCTTACAAAGTCAAGTATCATATTAAGAGAAACTAAGACATTAAGAGAGAACGATTATTCCTTAAATATCATATATGCGTCATTTTGACATATTATTCTGTATTTATCTATTTTCGAGTAAATAATTACAATAGAAGAAGAGTTCAAAATTTATTTTTTAATTTTTGTTATATATAATCATTTTCTATAGATGACAAGGAATATGTATGAATATAAATATATGTATATAAATATTTGTAGATTTTTTCAAACATTAATTATTTGAGACAGTTGAAACTGCAACAAGACATTTTGACCTATATATGACCGAGAACAGAGTGAAAAGAAATGTGTGACCTACAAGGATTAATAATATTAGCGAGACTAGGATGATCAAAGTCTTGTTATCGCGAATGTTCGAGCGATAAGAGAGGCATTCGCTAATGAATCCTGAAGAGACAAAAAAAAATACGAGATCCCGAATTCTCGGACCGAGATTCGCTTGCACAAGAAGCGAAATGCGTACAAAGCGAAGGACAGGGAGAGAAGGGGAGGTACTAAGAGAGGAGAACGCGAGCTACTCGCGTGGCAAGGGTCGATCGAAATCCTGCGGTATCAGAGACACGTGCACGCGCATGTCCGAATAATTGGACGCGCAAAACATCGTATTCGCGCGTTGCTCTGGCGAGACCCGAGAGAGAGATACTTATTCCTCCCCCTCTCCAATTTATCGATGATAAGGCGATCGACGAATTATAAGCGAGATTAACCCGTTCGAGAAATGAAAGCGCGGAAACGTCACTTGGTCGATTAGCGCTACAGAAGCGATCTCCGAAACTCGGAGATCTCGAGGACGGAGCGAGATCCCGAGGGCAGGGATTCGCTTGCGCGAGACGAGGCGAGGCCAGGCGAGGCGAGGCGAAATAGTAAAGGGCGAGGGCGGCGCGAGGTACTTGGGGAGAGCGTGCGACTGCTAGCGCTAGCGAGGCGAGACGAGGGCGAAACGCGAATCGATCGTCGTATCCGCCTGCGTCCTGCGCGCTAATCGCTATCCCGGCGCTAGTATTCGCCCGTACTTTGTTCTCGTCGGTCCGCTACCCGTCACCGTCGTCGTCGTCATCGTTGTCATCGTCGTCGTGCGAGCGCTATAAGCACGGGCCAGGGCTCAGCGAGTGCAGCAGCATGAGGGACGAGGTGAAGATGGACGCGAATCGGCTCATCGCCGAGGTCTACAAGCGGCCGGCCCTCTGGAACCAGAGGCACATCTCCTATCACAATCGCGAAGTGACCAATCGCGTCTGGATGGAGATCGCGGCGATATTCAACCTCCCCAGTACGTGTTTCCCTCGCTTACGAGGGGCGAGCTCGCCGCGACGCAACGCGCCCGCAAAGTAGGCGCCGCGCGTCTCTTCCTCTTCGCCCATGCGTCGCGACTACTCGCGCGACCGTATATTCGTTCTCTCTCGCCGCCAGCGTGGATATGGGACTCTCGATCACGCTAATTGTGACACTGGGAGCAAATTTCGCCCACTGACGAATTGCAAAATTAGGAGAGAACACTGTAACCAGGGTGTCTGCTCGAAACTATTTGTACAAAAATCCCCCGATCTTCCAGGTATTCCTCGATTCAAAATTCTCTTCAGGTAAAGAGAATATTTTAAAGATCTTTCGGTGCAACTTTGTAAAATGGGATTTTTTTATTGTACGTATTTCCTGATACTTTTCATTTATACAAAGACATAATTACGAAGACAGAGTCACTTAAGTTTCAAGTGTTGGAATTTTCGAATGTATTGAAAAAAATTGTAGAGCGCTTTTGTAAAAATGTTTTTTAAATTTTCATTTTTTATCAAAAAATGATGATAAAGAATATGTTGCTTCATGTTTAATATTTTGTTAAAATATTGAATATATAAACAGACAGATATATATTTAAATATATAATGAATTAATTTATCGATTTCTTACAAAAAGTAAAGTATCAGAATTTAAAAAAAAATTCCCACACATACACACAAGTCCTAATAAGATTCCAGGAAAATTTCCTGATTTTTCCATGTATGAAAGGAATCGCTCAGAACTCCAGATTTTCCTGTTTTTCCAGGAAGTAGACACCCTGGCAACTATTTATTTCAAACGGATAATTTATAAAACTCCGCAAGACGACTCTCCATCAAATAACAATTTTTTGAGAAGTGCAATTATCTATTAATTAAATATATATCTCGAAAAAAAGAAAAAAGTAGCAAAGAAAATACATCTTTGACGTTTTGTCAGTATTTCTTTTTGAGATTGAATTATATTAAAAGTTACTATGATGTATTATTTTCTCTAATATCCTAATGTCACAATTTTTCTCATTATATTTTACGATAGTGTCTGGATCTTTGATGCAACAACACATCGACAAATTGGAGTAGAATCCTATAAATCTATCTATCGTGATCGTGCGATGTTTTCTTTAAACTGTGTTTAAAGAAACACAGCATTATATCATAGGTTACATCGTCAAATAGATTACACTATATCTCGCGTAATCAAATTATTACATATATATATTAGCAATATTTATAGCCGTATATTTCACGATGAATAATTGTTTTTACCTCTGATCATCGAGTTATTTCATTAAACTGTTCGAATTTAAAAATATGAAATAGATATAGGTTTTTGCACATAAATATTCAAATATTTAATTTCAAATGTCATTTCCTGGAATCGCTCTATTTTTTTGTCATGAATAAAACATGATTTTTTTATTCATACGATGCTGATGAATATTAATTTACATAATTATTCGAATTTGATTAAAAACAAAAGCTTCGGTACAAAAATAAGGTAAAGTACACATTTTAAATAGATCTTATAAATTATTTTTGCATCGAGCACGTACACAAAATTATTTTATATTCTATGAATGATATCTGTATTTTAATTCTATCCGTTTTAGAAATAGTTTGGACCTTATCTAACCTCACTTTTTGTTCGTGAGCCGTGGCTGTCATTCACAACGATTATTATTCACGTTGTTGCAACGATCACCGGATGTTTTTACCTGATGTATTCCGGAATCGAACGATGTCCGTCGTATATATGTCGATTGTAACCTCGATCGAGATTCAAACTGCAAATCTGTCAAATCGTAGAATGAATGCACGAGACACTCAGTCGATGGCGCATGCGCAGATTATGTCTCGATGCACATGTGATGCAATCAATAATCTCGTGCGTTATCGAGTTTCGATGTGATGAGACGTAATCAAGGATATAATCAAAAGAATCAAGGATTCCTCCTGTCTGAAAGTTCAAAAGTGTATCTCTCATCCAATATTCTTCAAATTTGATTTTCACTTTTCTTTTTACATTCATGGATTTTGACCCAAATAATCCTAAAATAAAAGAAAATGCTAAAAAATATGCTCGCATGTAATGTGAGAGAGTAAAATCATTGTTGCTTCGTACATTATATATATTCGTATCTCAAGCAATTATCTTGATAAAAAATAGCTATTATTTTTCTTATCAGCATTTATTTACAATCTGTCGATTCAGCGCTGAAGAAATTAAAACAGAACAGATTTATCTATATTTTATAGAGAGAGAAGCGAATTGATGCTTTACAATGATTAGAAATATAAAAAAATGTTTTTTTAATAGAAAAAATTAATAAAATAATTTATTTTTTACTTTTTTAAGATATAATATTTTTCTTCATAATTTTTGTTAATGCAATAAAAAAATTAAAGTTCTCATGTTTTCAGTCTATCTGTCTTTTCAAAGTAATTTTTAATAAGAAATAGATTAATGAGACTTTTGGGACAAGTTACATCAAATATAATTCAAATAATTTTTAATAGTTAGATGCATAATAAAACTTTTTTATTATGCATCTAATTAAAAACTACGTATATCAAATATGTAAATTATATATTGTATGTATTTGATATCATTTGAATCACAAAAATTTCATTAGTTCATTGAAATTATTTCCAAAAAGTAAAATAAACAAATTAATTTTTTTAATTTATAAAATAATTACATGCGAGTTATGGATGGATTAAGGAAGTCAATTGCAAGAGACGTTGGAATTCTTCAAAGATATTAAAAATATATATATATATATGAAAAGAAAAACACAAAATTGAGAGAAAAAAATCTATTTTACGAAAAAAAAACATTTAGTTTCTTTTCTATTTATATCTCTAACAATGACTTTTTCCAAATTCGCTTCATTATACCTTCAAAGCGGTCTTCCGCTCATTTGTTTGCAGAGCCGATGCTGAAAGCGAAATGGAAGGGTTTGCGCGACACATTCCGCGCCGAGCTCAAGAAGGACCAAGTGTACCGCAAGAGCAAGTTCCATCGGAACCGACCGGTATGGATTCACTTCAAGAGTCTGCAGTTCCTGAAGGAGCAGATGCTGCCGCGACCGCCCATCTGGGAGCGCAGCGTCGCGAAGACCGAGGACGAGCTGCAGCCGTGCGAGAGCGAGACCGAGAATGGTATCTCGGCATCCGGCATCGACGGCGGCCTCGATGACCGGGACGCGATCGCCGACCATCTGCTGTCGATGGCCGGCGACGGGAACGTCGGTCATCATCAGCTGAAGCTGGACGGTGATCATCACGGCCGACGTGGCACGGTGGACGTGAAGCGGGAACCCGAGGAGAGCTTCGACAACTTGGAGTTTCAGAACGTCACCGACAATCTCGCGGAAAATGAGATGATGCTGCAAAACATCTCACCCGAGCAGGTCCTCATGAGCGACAGCGACGGCGGCGTCGGCCTCACCGGCGTCGATCCCCTCGAAGGCAATCGCTTCGACGACAACTACTACTTCCTGATGAGCCTACTGCCGCACATCAGGACTCTACCGGCCGATCGCAGGATGCTGCTCAGGATACAGATGCAGGAACTCGTTTACAAGGAGGTTTACAAGAAGACCATCGACAGCGAGCAGACGGCAAAGACTTAACTGTCGTCGTCGCGTAAAGTGAACCGTATTCTTAAGCGTTCCTTCGAGCAACTTTATTTTTTTCCATAAGAAATCGACTGCTAAAAATGAAAAAAAAAAGAGAAAGAATATATTTATTCCCTATTAGTGTTACGCGTCTAATTATACGAGATACAAAGATTACTGTCTGACATAGGTAATTCGGAGAATAATCACACAAGATAGAGAAAACGGGTTCTTTTCGTATATTTATGTCATTTATAAAGGTTCCAAGCGAGCGTGTGCTTTCACGTTTGGAGCAATTTGAAGATGAAGAAAAAAAAAGGCGGAGTAAACTGAAAATTCTTTCCATTCTTTTTCAAAGAAAAAAAAGGGTTTCGCCAACACAATATAATGGTACCTGCGCCCCATACCTATCTACCTGTCCGCGTGTGATAGTACGGGTCATGGTTCCCCTAGGTAGGTCACCAACACGGGTCGCTCGCGTCACAGACACGGTTGAGCGACACTGGTGCTTTCTCGTACCTGCGGGTACGACCGTGACGCACACACCTGTGCGGTGTCTCCGGTGTAGTGTGTACGCGAGCAGCGCATGCGTATCCCCTGTGGCTCCAATGTGGGACCGCGTTTCCTTCGCTTTCGCGTTGCGACTCTGCGTACCCTTCTACCTAGCCGTCAACCTACCTACGTTCAGTTCGTCGCCGCCGATCGTCGCACCGTTATCCCGATCGCGCGTGTTGCTCGGCTCTCTGCTCGCCCGCTTCTCAGTTCCTCTCCTTTCTCTCTTTCTCTCTTTGTTTCTTTTTTTTTTCCTTCTCATCAGGAATAGCATCACGTTGTTGCGTAGCGTCGCCTTGTAGGTCTTTATTGTGCTAGCACAGGTGTTAGTGGCTTGTGATACACGAGATACGTCGACGTTATTGTGCTGCTGCAACATAAGATCGACGCAAGGTGAGTCAATTTGCAGGAATTTCGCTCGGAACCTCCGTATCGGTTTCGGTGTGTCCTGGGACGATTCGTCGTTAAATTTGCAGTGGAAAATCCTTTGGTCGATCTCTAGTCCTTTCCCAAAGAAAATATTATTTTTCCAATCTTTGACATTAAATATTTTTCAAAGTCTCGGGCTTTTGCCGGAGATAAAATTTTCGCATTTGTAAAACTTAATTCGCAAAAAAAATACCCTATTTTTGATCGCGATTTACTTAAGAGACGATTGATGTTTGAATATTTTTACTGATAAAAATCAGACTTCAGATTAACCAAAGAATGTGCCATTAATGCAATAATATTGTATTTTTAAAATGCAAGCAATGAAAATACGAGAAAAGAGAGAGAAAGAGGATCCTTTATTTTGAATGTGCAAACAAATGTGAATATATTTAACGTCGTTGTCACTGTAAATTCTATTGTACAGTCTTGGATGAGTTTTGTGTAATATGTATATGCATCTTTAAAGAGAGTTGTTAATTTCAACGTATATGCAATATGATGAGCGTGTCCAGTTTGGAAATAGAGCGTGTTCGTCCGATCTAGTCTAGCGTTTCATATCCTTCAACTTTGTGTTCGTCTCACATGAACACATCGATTGCGAAATCGCCTGAAAAACTAGCCGAAAAGAAATATATTAAAAACGCACATATTATTTTATTCAAATAAAAAAGAATCTTTCATATATTATACCACTTGCTTTTATTACATTCTTCTTTACACGTCATCAGAATGAACGTCGTTAAATATTCAAAATTAAAAAGCATAATTTGTGGATGGAAAAGCAAAAGCCACTTCTAGTCAAAAACCTGAAATAAACAGGGAAAACAAGGCGCTCAAGTTCGCAATAACATGAAATGCAAATCGTATAACATCAAAATAAATACCGTGAGAGATTAATCGGCATCGAAAAACGTTTAATCCGCTCGTCAATAAGCAATTTGATTCGTAGAATTGTACGGATATTCCTGTTGCCGTTGAAACAAAGATGAGATATCTGAAATTCTCTTGCGCGCGTTAAATATATACGTTTCTCCCGGTCTACTCTAAATAGGCGGACTGGAATTCTCGACTCTCGGCCGATTCGAAATGCGTCTACGCATTCCGTTCCGAGTGACAAGTGCCTGGAGACCGAAACGCTGGTCCTCTCTCGACGCGCGCGTGCTTGGTAAACAGCTCGGATTTGTGATTCGTAATAAATGCCGAGTGAGATCATACGATTGTAGGCCGATTTCGCCGTGTATCGTTTGGCAATTGGGCAAAAAATGCGAACTCGACGCGAATCAAGTAATATGACTCTTGCCAGAACATTAAAAAGTGTACGCTGACTAATAAGCTGCAATGTGTCAGCATGCTTTGATAATTTTATCATTTTTTTTTTTCAAAATGAATATGTATATGTATATAAATAACATTTTATTTCTTCTTCCTTCTACTCGTTTTTTTTATCAAAAATTAAGATATGAAAATGAATGTATTAACATACTAATCAAGTGCAATGGTTTTAAACATAAATATTATATGTACGTTAATGACTGTTCTTTTCCTGAATATTCGACATCGGCATCTTTACATCAGATATTGATTTGCGAAGCAAACGCTGTAAATATAAAGATAATATTTAAGATAGTATTTAAGGAACAATATGTACAGCATGCATCATTATTGGTTTCTAGTCAATGATTTAGGATATTTACGATATAGAAATATAAATGATAGACTATATCGTAAAATTTCGAAGCGTTAATCATTATATATGAATCTCTCTTTGATCCATTTTCGATTTCCAATCAATCCATTGTAACGCGAGTAATCCTTTCTCGCCGAACGAATAACTTTGAATGATTTTACTTTGAATAATACTTTTGTAAATGATTGCATGATATTTCAGCTTTCATCTTTGATTCTTCCTCGATTGTCCTCGTTCTTCTTGAGCGTCAATGTCCTCGATTAGGAACTGTTCTCACGCGATCGATTTTTATTAATATAGTATCGTACTTTATTGCTTTCTTTAAGTGTCAAGTATTTTACATCTGAAATTCTTATTTTTTTTTAAGAAATAGCAAATGCAAACGATGGCATTACAATTATGTAAAAGTGTTCTCTTATCATTATATGATAAGGCGTTAACATAAGACGTCAAATATAAATTGTAATTTTCAATTTTAGAACCAAATTTTTTATAAAATGAATAATTTATTTCTATAAATAAAAAATAATAATATTAAACTCGTCATTGAAGAAATAAACAACAATAGGCATATACGATTAAAAACAGGTTGTTTTATTTTAAGTAATTTTGAGTAATTTTTTAAAGATATGCGAATAATTAAAAAAATGTCTTTAACATAGATGTTTCAAAATTAACTAGTGTTTCTTCGCAAATATAAAATATCGCAAATAATTAAAAATTACGTCACAAAATAAAAATAATTTTATGAGTCACTAACAATAAGTATAAAATATGTAATTTATATTTAGTTTATACTAATTTAATTAAATCCACACATTATATTATAAAGATTTAAACAAATATTTTTTAAATTATTTACATATCTTTATTTTTTAAAATAAAACTGATCTGTTTTTTGCTTGTACATATGTCAGTTGTTCGTGCTTATTTCTTCGATAATTTATTTATTATTTAACGAAAATTATATATATTGATTATTAGAAATTTTTATTTTGCTATTATTATTATTATCGATGCAATAAAATATCTAAAGTAAATTTTATCTCTAACTAAAACTTAAAAGGAATACATGCAATTTTTTGTTTTCAAACCTCTTAGAAAAAAGAGAGAAGCAAAAAGCACAAATTATTTTCCTTTTTTAGTACATTTCGAAATAAAAGAGCTTTATGAATAATCGAATTCGGCCTCTGTGATCTCTCGAGTGGTTATTTCTCCCGTTAGCGACACGTTGCTATACTTTGATATTGATAAATATAGACAAGTGCTATTTCGAAAGAGACAGAGGTAGATAAAGAATGAAACATTTGGCAATATTCCAGCTCACGATAATACGATTAAAGCTCGCATGTTAAAATCTCTTTTGAACTTGACAGTCGCCTTTTATGGTGCACATGTGAAAACGGTACTATTGATAATGCAATCTGCCGATGCTTCATCTGTACCAGTATGCCACCATCATTTTTATCTTTAACATTCCACAGGCTACTCCAGAATGATAACTTTAATGATAGCTTCTTTTTGATAAAGTTACAGAACTTCCTTTAGAAAAAATTTTTAGAAAAGGACCAAAACTTAATATATTTCTATTTGATTTTATGCCTTTCTTACATATTTTTTCAATTTAATATCTAATCTAATATTAAGCGTTAATTTTATTCGAATGCAAAATAAATTTCTCGAAAAGCAAAATTTAATCTAAATTTAAATCAAAATAAAAATGCTTGCCGCAAATTTAAAGTTTTGCTGAAAGATTTTCAAGCAAACTCTAAATTATAATTAAAATTAGAATTAAAACTGCGGAATATTTTGCATATCCGACCTTTAATCGTGCTCATCGTCATTCTATCTAGCGAAATTCTTTCTTGCTGATTCACCGATAGCGGTTTCGCGTTAAACGGTAAAGAATCGCTTTGTTTCTTTCTGACTGATTAATATCCTTCAAAACGAAATAAATATAGTGCATTGCAATCTCGATAAGACACATTTACATTTTTAATGCACCAAGAATTCACGCGTACACATGCACGAAGAATTACATACCTGCCTCAGCTTATGTTAATTAGATGAAATCTTCAAAGTTTAGATGCTTAATGTAACCACGTGACTCACGCGAAAGATTGAGATAAGAGAGTAAATAATTCCCAATCATGTAACAACGCGCAGGCATCGTAAATAATTATTCATCTATGCGGATTGTTCTCTCCTTCGACGATTCTCTCGCGGGCTCGGTATTCACTGTACCGTGACTTCTCTGCCGCAGTTCTCACGCTTTGCTTTTACTTCGCGTCTCTAGAATGCATACGTTTAATAAACTGACGGATATCGCGAGATCTTACCGTCATTTCATGATCTGCGGGGCTGCATTACCTCATTGATCGAGCCATTTACCAGTCGATATCGGCAGATGACGTTGTGCAAGAAGAGAATGAAAGATTGAGATTTTCTTTGTTTTATTTGAAAGGAGCGGCTGCTCAGCTTAAATTTTCTGTAAGCTATAAAAGAATAATTAATATATTAATTCTGTCAAAATTTATATAGAACATTTACCTTTGCTTAAAACTTGCAGTTTAATAATTTGTCAATAATTATCCAGATGACGAAGAACCTAGAGAATATTTCTTAGAAATTGGTTTTCTACGTAAATTTATTTTTAGACCTTGTTATTAATTATTAGTATCAGGTTTCTGCTGAGAAATCGGGAAATTTCGCTACTCTTCTATGTAATTATTTTATCTTGTTAACATATAATCGACTCTTGTCAGTTTATATCAGCATTGCAAAAAGAAGCCATAAGAATCAGGAGGAACTATGCTTGAACAGTTTCAAAATTGAAATCGGAATATTAAGTGTTACTTTCATCACGCATTCTTATCTAGAACATAAATAAAACATAATAAACATAATTAACATAAATAAAACATAAATAAAACATAATAAAATACGCAACACGAGACTCGATATTGAGAGATCTTTCGCGATGCAATTTTCATTCTCCTCGTTACCTCGAATAAAGAACAAAAGCGTTGACAATTTTTTACCTCTCAAGATCAGCGACGTAAGTCTATATGTATGCAAAAAGGATCGCACGATAGAAGTTCACCTCGACCCCGACTCCTGATCGAGGGAGGAGAAGTTCTCGCGGGCAACGACTCGACTCACATCTCTCTCTCTTTCTCTCTTTTCTTGCCTCTTCCGTTGCACCGCCAGTTACTCCCGAAGCGGACGCGCTCCTGGCATACCTTGGGCCTGACTCACGGACTTGGTGTTTCAGCAGCGGCGGATGAGAGCGTCCCGTCGACACATGCTCGGATCCTGCGGAGGTGCCCGTCGCGGAGGATGGTGAGCTCCCGCACGCCCGACGCCAACGTCACGTCCACCGCTGACGGCGGCGCGGCCAACGACGGCGGAGCGGCGTCGTCGCGCGACGACGAGGGCCGCGCGACGAACGACGTCGACCGGGAGTGGAGTCAGAGCGGGCCGGCTTCTCTCTCGATGCCGACCGATCTACGCAATCTCGTCATCTCGCATCTCTCGGACTCCGGACGGTACTCGTCGGCGAGCCCGGATCACCATCAGGAGACGACGTCCGACGTCGCCACGATCAAGATCGGTTGCCACGACGAGGAAGAGAGCTACGAGGCCTTCGGATCCGTCGAAGGCGACTCCGTCGACGACGGGCCGGACTCACCGGGTGATAGCAGTTCCGCGCCCTCGCCTACCGGCACCAATTCTCGCAGGTGAGAGGATCTCGATGAGCTTTCGTGAGAAGCTTTGTGAGAAGATTTTAAAAGACATGGATACTTTGCGATAGAATGAATAACTTTGCGGCATTTCTTCGTACTTGTCTTTTCGATATAGCAGTCTAGACATTTTTCATCGGTATTTAAATAATTTCATGTCGCTATTGAAAATAAAGATATGTCAAATTAAATAAATTCATCATTGGATAGAATGAAAAGTTAAAGGAATGCGATTCGCGGTTTTTTTACGGTATAAATGGATTAATTATATATGTATGAAAAACCACTTATTTCTCTATGAAATCAAATATCTAATTATGAAGAAGTTTTAAGGAGAAAAAAATTTTATATAAAATTTATAATATATATACAATCTCTCTCTAAAGATTGATTGTATATAAATTTTGATTTTAGATTGTATATAAATTTATATAAATTTATATGAATTTTAATATATAATTTATATATATTTTATATAAAATTTATATACAATCTAAAAAAAATATAATATTTATATAATATTTATATAATATTTATACAATTATCTTATATAATTAGCAAAATGAAAGATTAATTTCCTACAATCCTTAAATTTCTTTTTAATTTTGTTAAATTTTTGTTAAATTTTTTCTCTTTCTTTTTCAAGTTTTTCAATAAGTGGAATATTTGAAAGTTAGAGCCAAATAACGCGCGAGCAAGTATCTCCGTAATTCGGAATCGCTTTACGGCTCTAATCTAGACAAGAAGAGAGCATAGCGAGCTTGGCCTTTTATTATGACAATTGCTTCCTGCCGTTATTCGCTCGATACGTAACATTAGTCGCGAAACACAGCGAGTTCTTTCCGAAGCTGAACAGAAACGTTGAAACATTAAAATCTAGCATATAATTCGAAACATGCCCATGTACGTATTACGCTGGATGAGTTATTATGTAAGAGCAACGTTGCATACAATGTCTATCACCTTGGAACAATACCGACTGACTTGCTATCTGTATGCGCAAGTCACATAAGTTACGTAATAATAGCAATGTATTTTTAAAAGTACCGCTTTGCAATACTTTTGTATGTATATGTGTGTGTGATGAGATAAAGGATTCAGTTGAAAACCGCGTGATTTCCTATACAATCACGTCACACGCGATTTTCTTTGAAGAATGACTTTTTTGCATGCATCTAGATTTGCCTCAACTTTAGCTTAAAATACTTCGCTAGTTTATTTATTGCAATTTTTTTTTATGGAATAATGAAAATTGTCGAATACATTAAAGGTGCATTTATTTGTACCAGAGCATCTCATACTGAAGATCCTATTCTCATCCTAAAATTTTCGATCTTGCAGAATTCGCTTTAATTACATTCTCTAATTTTGTAGAAATCCGAGAAGTCCGAACTCCACCGTTGGAAGACATTCCTGGCTGCGCACTTCGCTACGGAGAACGCCTCCTTGGTAAGAGAGACATGATGACTTTGGTCAAGAGCGGGATGTAGGTGCATAATTTCCTCTGGAAGAGAATTTCCGCCGTTCTTAAAAACCGCGACGGCGAAACAATGACGTGTCTCGGCGCTGCGTTGCGTGTGAAAAAAGTCTCGTGGGAAAGCGACTGACGACGTTAAATAACCAGTGCGTTAACGCACAACGGAGGAGATAAGGAACTTGTTAAATTTCTCGACAAAAGCGCTCGTATATCTTTTATTATTTATCTAAATGATGACAGATTATTGTTACGCAAACAATTACTTCCTGTTTTTCCATCGCACTTTGTTGACAATTGAAGCGACAGCCTGAAACAGAATTGTTCAATTAATATTCCATGACATTTTTGCTTCTTAATAAGTGGGATATTTTTGTTTGTGTGGGTCTTTATAATTTTTAATTTATTCAAAATCTTGAGAAATATAGGATATTAGAGATTACTTTCTGATGATATTTGTAATATATATGTATATTCGTAATATTTATATTTCATATTATTTACATATGATAACGAATAATAGTTACTACGGGATTTGATAGCAAGCGAATTTGATTGCTACTTGGCGATATATATTATGCACATAAATTTATTATTTACGTATATTTATTGCAATTGCTCACAGCTCTATTACGGAAGCCACAATTTGGCTTATAACCAAAAATACATCTGACCGTGAAATTTGGCACTGTGCGATCAACAAGTTCAGGAACGCGAATTCGTTTAAGAATAATCTATAAATAAGTGTAATCCGTAATAACATTTGTATATATATATATGTAAATGTCAAGGAAAATTTTCGTATTTGCTTACAGTTCGAGTAGAAAGAGACTCAGCTCCAACGCCTTGGCGAGGTAAGAGACAATAATATATAATTTTTATAAAATTTTAATTGATCCATATAAGAAATTTCAACCATATTTCTGCAATAATAAGAAAATTGATAGATTACAAATTCGAGAAGCAATTAATTTTAAAAGGATCAAATGCATGGATCTGTCTCTTTTAAAAAATATCAATCTTATCGAATTCAATCTTAACGATTCAAATCTTAGTGTGTTAAAGTTTTTCACCATTAATATCTGTTAAAATCAGCGCATTGATCGGCGTTTCATGCGCATTCCGAAAATAATTATTTCTTTTTTCTCCTATCTCTCGCGCTTTAATTGGCCCAACACACGCAAAAGGAATAGAGTAACCCGGACAAAAGAGTTCACCGGCCGTAGGACGATGCTTCTGCATCAACGTTAATAATTCCAGACGTCTCGCTCCTTTCACGGAACTCGCGAATCGACGGACTTTCTAAAACGTGGGCGTGCTTCTGTTACGTTACTCATGTTTTATACCCGCGATACTTCGATATTCGCGTTTCCTTCCGCGCTACCGTTTTATTCCTCCGAAATACGTGCCTTATCTACCCGCTAAAATGGCAAACATTTGATAAACCCACGATAGTCCAAGAGAAAAACATATCTAAACTAAAAAAAAATTGAAATTTTTTTTTCGTTTTTAATACAAATTAAAATAAATTCATAAGCCCTATCTTTAAATTGCGAAAACTTTCACAATTTATTTTAATTAAAGAACTTTCACACAAGGCACTATGTGTTTAAAAATCATCAATGATTAATTACTTTTTTCGAGTTGGAATATTTACATTTTTATTACGCATTTTGATTATTTTTACAAAATTTCTGCTTTCTGTAGACTATAATACGCGAATGCTTAATGCAATGTCCAAATAGGGTAATTCTAAAGTTTCGCTTTAAAATTCACAATTTCTTCGCGGAATTCTAAAGAAATCTCTGACGTGACATTTGCAGCCAGCTTTATCGCAGTGGCAGCTTTAACAGCTCGGGAATGGGCTCGAATTACGATGCCACGGATGACGTATACAGCGACGTATCCTTGGAGGACGTGATGGATCTCAGTCATAAAGTGAGTAAGACGTTGATTGTATACAAAATAATTTTTTATCCGCAATTTTAAAAATCAGAGATTCTTTCAGGTAAATAAACTCTTGCAAATTTCTATTTTATACTTTATATTTCTACATCGAACAAATTTTGAATGCGCTGAAATGTAAACAAAAGTGTCAAAGTACGACGCGAACAGAGTTGTAGCGAAAATCCGTTTGTCAGCTTTCGCGTTAGTTTCTCTGTTTAACCTGTTTAGAAAGTATCATCAAAATTATCGGTTTTTTTACCATCAAGAATGCAATCCTGAATAAATCGCATCTGAATCTTCAGATCGAAGCGATCGATCTTCTTAAATCTGTCGTCAATGTGCGCGACACGTTCCCGGCGACCCTTCAGCGACGCGAATCGAGATCCTGACAGGAACCATCAGCATCCCGCAGTACAGGCTCCTCATCTGGGCCCTCATCCGTTTTATCTCCCTCCCCCCTATGCTCGTTATCCCCCGTGCGATCCGTACGCGGCTTATCACTGTCAAGGCTCGTTTTATCCGCCACCGTGTTATGCCCAACGTGACATCATCAAGGAGGAGCCCGTGGCTTGGTCTTGGCCCGTCATCCTCTTCTTCATCCTTCTCGTGATCGTTTCGATCGGAGTTATTTACCGTACTTTTTCTCGCGACGCACGACGAAAACTCGCCGCTTGGCTACGCTTGCACAGGTTGCAGCCACAGGTAATCTCGCCTCTCGATTTATTATATTTCGCAATCTACTTGGATTCACGGTCTTGCAAAATTATATTCGAGCGGATCGCATAACAGAAAAATTGACGTCTCATATTTTAATCTCTATCTCGGTGTAATTACGCTACATAATTATTCCAACTTTTACATACGGATAACAACAGGGGCGGGTGCTGACTTGAGTGATCTGGCATTAATTAAATTATACATACAGATTTGTATATTTCATACAATTTTTTTGTAAAAATATACAGTCCTTTTTCTCAAACGTAACGTAACTTTGCGAAAACAATTAATTTATTGCAAGGATGAGTCACGAGATTGTTCATGATCTAGCATAAATGTTCAGATAAGGCTCGAGTTTCCTTGATAATTTCTATCCGGATCCGCCCCTGTGAAAATGATAAAATGCAAATCCCGTGTCTCTTATCAACGCGCGTTCCCGATATACTCGAGAGAATATTTAATAGAGAGAGAGAGAGAGAGAAAGGGACAGAAAGTGACATACATAGATAACGCACGTCGTACTTTTTCGCCCACCTTATCTACAGGGCTATAATCGCGGGGATCCGTAAAGCGGTCAATTTCCCGAGGAATCTGCGCTGATCCTGTCCATCTTTCTCGGCTCGTATATAGACCGTGAGGACGGAGACCAAGCAAGATGTGACTCGAAACTGTTCCGCGGAATTTCACCGGTGCAACGAAAGGAACGAAGATCGTCGCGTTTCTCGCGAAAATCGCGACGAATCTACTTCGCTGACAGATACGACAATAACGAGGTCTTTCATTAATCCTGATTACGAGGAGGACGATGACGACGATCGTTACGGGAGCGAGAATGAAGAAAGCAACCGGGACGCGATATTCATGAGACCAGGATCGATCCACCGTATACTTAATTTGAAATTTTAAAGAGCACGTAGAGGACAAGAAATATGAAAAATGAAGAGAGATATGCGTAATGATCGCATATTAAGAAGTCAACGAAAGCAAGTAATTACTTTTGGGAAAGATGTCTATTTTTGTTAAATCATCTTTGCATTTCGCGAAAAAACCTGAATCCGTCATAATATGTATATAATTTCATTGAGCTAAATTTAGAAACAAATTGTAAAGAAATGACATTTAATTAATATTTATAACGAATTATAAAGAAATGAATTTAATTAATATAACCAGATCGATACGAAATAATAAAAAACCATTTATATAAACGTGTTGCACAAAAGTGAAATAAAATAAATTTCAAGATATAAATTAAAATGGAAAAAAATATTTTTTTAAATTACTTATTATTATACAAGCTAATAAAATATTTCGCGAATCATCGCGTTCATTTATCACGAATAAATATAGAGATCTGCGTATCTAATCTAATCCTGTCAAAATTATATCTCTGGTGTTCCTATTTTTAGTTAATTTTAGAACATCGTATATGTATACATGCAACATACATATATAGCTTTTATATGAAATTTCACATTTTATAGATAATTTCGTATAAAAGAAACAAATGCCAATTACACATATTGAATATACATACATATGGTAACGCTGTCGCAATAGGTCGTCAATTAAATTAACAAGTTCACACATGTGCTCATGTAAAATAGATCGTAGCAGCAAATACGATTAAATTATATATCTTGAAAGAAAACTCGGTCACATTCAATGGAGCAAAATCTGGCGAGGTTCCATGGCGTAAAAATATGAGCCGCGATTGTTGGCAAAATTTTGCAAAACGCATTTATGAGTTTGCAAATTCGCGAAGCTTTTGACACAATTACACGGAAGGAAATATTCGCATGGATCTACGGATCTGCTTGAATGGGCGGACTGGCCCTTCGTGAGTTTTCTATTAATCGCGGGATGGATCTAGCATGCAAAGCTTACTAAAATTGGACATTGGTCTCGACATGATCTTCCATGACAATTCGATAATTCAGAATTTCTGCTTACAAGAAAATAATTCACATGACTGGAATATAATCCAAACAATTTTCATCGAAAAAGCTGCAATTCGGATTGTCAAACTCTTTGTGTGAGTTTCTAGAAAAATAAAATGATGTTAATTGATAAAAATTGGAAACAAATATTGATGACATATTAATAGTGACAAAAGAATTACGGATAGAAATATTAGATTGTCATGTATAATAACGATCCAATATACGTAAGAGCTACAAGATGGAAATTAAACGTGGTACGATCTCCGACGATGACACAATGACAATTCATCGTTTGTAAGCGCGTGCGCGACATGTGCTTGCTATTGTGCAATGTGCAACTTCGACATACGAGTGCTGATACACTTGCGGTAATACAAGTGAGCAATAAAGCAAGTTATCGTCTCAAACATTAATCTCAAAAACATTCACTATCGACGACCGATCATCAACATCGACTCCGAACCGGAGTCGAATGCGGACGTCCAGAGTAGTTAAGGGGCGTGTATTATTATCATCGAGCGAGTGCTTATCGACGACGCGATATCGCTGGCATAAATATGCAACTCCGATCACTAATGGCGTAATGCGAAGTAATATATCAAAATGACGCCCTAGAATATAAAAGAGTTGGAGCCATACACTTGGAAAAAAAGGAGAACGAGAATATTTAAATCGGAGTAACTCTATGACCTCAGCTTTTCGCGGAAAAATGAGTCTCGCGACAAGCGACTATTCCGTCATTGCGGATAAATATAGATACGCGCTTCGCGTGTCTACGGCATCGCAATGTATGCCTAATGGATAACACATCGATTTCCGTTTCGGAGACGTGTTATGCGCCGACAAAGTGTGTCGCGGGTGAGAAACGGAGGTGTAAGGGCAAGCTAGAGAACGTTCGGCGTAACACGGCCGAGCTGTCAAGAGCGAGGAGTTAGCCGACACGTGGTATGAAGCACACAAATAGCCTCGATGGTGACTACTCCCCAGACTCCCGGCCTGCGGTGGGCGATCAGATAGAGAGACAGAGAGAAGGAAAGAGAAAGAGAGAGAGAGAGAGAGAGAAACGTACGAACGCGAACGAACGTCGACGGACATGGAATGTATTCCTGACGCGTAGAAACCACATAGGACGTTGCTGTGCGTTGAAGTGCGCGCGTCTCTCTCGCGGAAGGAAGTCCAGAGTAAGCATCTTCGATGCGTATTATCGCGGCGCGGTCGCGCGTCGCGACGAAGGTGACGGCGACGACGACGGCGACGACGACGACGACGGCGGCGACGAGAAGGAGTCCGCGCGGGGATGACGAAGTGCGTTTGCGATACAGGCGATGACGTGACGCGATAACCGGGTCTACACGCGAGACACCGCCGTCGCGATGGAGCTGAACTTTGGCGAGGAGACTATCGATCCGTGCGATCGCGACATCCGCGCGTCCTTTTCCGGGGAGGGGCCGTCCTCCGGACCCGGCGCTGGCCTCGAGTACGACCTGTGGGAGGGTCAATTCCAATTCGTAGGGCACCAGGCAACGTCGCCGCCACGCAACGATCAACATCCACCTCGTCGTCGCGGGCACCGGCTCAGCGAGCAAGTAAGACGAGCAGATATCTCTCGAAGACACTCGGCAAGTGTCCGATGATCGTTCGAGGATCTTTTTTCACTCCCTTCGGACGCGCAAAAATGTATCCCGCGACTATTGCATACATGTATCGCGTGTCTATTTTTTGCAAAGAAATATAGACGCTATTTTCGTGCATCTTCGGCATCGACATAGATCTAAAACATCCATTTCACCTTCGCACTAGAGCTGTTCGTATTGTTTTAGTAATATTCGTTTCGTTATTTTAATTATGTAAAGATGTCAGAAATAGAAACGAGTTTATCGGGAAATAGTACATCTTCCGATGTTTACCCGTTTAATCGTATCAATTGGATTATCCTTATCGCGGGCGATATTAAATGAAATATCGCGCGCAATATTGGCAATATTATGACATAATAATTACGAAATATAATCGAGTGGACAAGACGAGACATTTTCATTGTGTTTTCTCGAGCCTGGCTGCGAAACGAATTATTCGAGTAAATAAGGTCAAAAGTAGTGTTCTGTTCGTGTTCATTGATACCTACATTTCCATTGATAGTCGCGGCGATGTGGGCACGCGTGCAATGTTCTTTAAAGGGAGTTCGCGTTTTCTTCCACACACTTTCTCTCGCGCCTACATGCTACGTATTTCTCGATCGGCGGATTTGCATTCTCTTCTCGTTATATTTTCGCAGCTGTCGCTTTTTGAGCCTTTTATGAAACCCGAAGGAAGAGGTCGTAATATTCTTCGATAGTTGCATCTAATTATAAATGACTTTCGTTAGTTTATCTTTCAATTATGCGCATTATTTTTTAATCACATTATTAAAATAAAAAAAAAGTAAAATAGATAAGTCTTATATATTTGTATCAAAAATATTATATAGTAATTTTTTTAATAACGTTAAAAGCAAAGTATAATTTCATTAATATTACTCCATTTATTTGACATTCATTTGTACCGTTAAAAAATTGGAAACTCGCTCCAGAGAGAGACTCTCTAGAGTGAATGGCAAACGCGATTATCTCGCGATTGTTTCGCGGAACGTTAAAGTCATCTTCTAAATGCCATAGGTTCAAATGATTCAGGAGCAAATGGATGCCTTAGCGGATACTAAGTCGGTCGGCGAAGAAAGGTACGCCCGAGCGAAGCAGGAAAATGCGACGTTACAGGCGCGCATATTGATGCTCGAGGAAGCAGCCAAAGATGCGGAAACGAGGGCCGAGGAGAGGCTTCAAGTGAGTCACTTATTTACTATTTGCCGAAGCTGTATCTAAAATAAACTTGACGAGTAAAATAACATGGACTTGTAACACACTAATTTGCATTTTGCATAAAATTGACATGATTTTAGTTTCTATTTCTCAAGGTCTTTATGTAGGTTGAAGTAAAAGTGAAAGATGAATAGATATACTTCTAAAGTGAAAGATGAATAAAATACTTCAGCAGAAAAATGAATTTTATAGAAAGATGAATATCTCTCAAAACAGAATTTTCGCATCCTTTTTTTCAGTCGTTTTAATCACAATTTTTCATTTAGAAACTTTTTCCTCCATCCTATTATAGACCGAGCAACGAAGGCACCGGGAATGGGCGTGCCGTATGGAACGCGAGCGACAGTTGCAGCTGGAAAACTATGCCATCAAGCTGCAGGCTGCGGAGGTGGATAGTTCCAGCCTGAGGGATGAGATCGCGAGAGTACGCGAGCAACTCGAGAGGGCGAGGGCGGACAAGACGCGACTCGAAAATGATCTCCGGGATGCCAGGAGGGAAGCGGACGCCGCGCGCGAAAGTGAACGTCACGCGATAAGTCGAGCCAACGAGGCTCATCATCAGCTGGACGCTATGAGAGAGGAACTTTCGTTACGGAACGAGGATCAACAGAGGCTCGAGGAATTGGTACAGCAAGTGGTTCAACTTCAAGCTCGAAATAAAAGTATGTTTAACAAAAAATTTAATAAATTATTGGCTCTGGGTATTAACAAATAATAAACTAAAAATAAAATAGGCAATAAAGAGCCGACGCGGATGTGAGGCGTGAGGTAGTACAAACCACTTCTTTTAATCCATCCAGTTTATTGGGAACAAATCAAACGTTTCGGACTCATTTGATTTGTTGATTTGTTCCCAATAAACGATGAATTAAAAGAAGTGGTTTGTACTACCTCACGCCTCACATCCGCGTCGGCTCTTTATTGCCTATTTTATTTTTAGTTTATTAAAAGTATGTTTATTGTTGAAACGATGTAAGGATGAATCGTTATAATCGTACTTGTTCTCGAAAATCTTTTTTAATGTGATTTAAAGTTTTTTTCATCGTGGAAGAGAGATTGCATTTTAATCTCTTAATATTGAGATTAAAATTATAAATATAAACTTTGAGAGATTTCATGAGATTTTCTATGTAAAATGTTTCGTTGATTTGCAGGCTTGGAAGAATCTCGAGACGAGTTGCAGGCTGCTGCAGCGTTGCAGGCAGGTCGTGAACTTTTGATGCTGAATCCTTGTAACAATAATGCTGAGAGAGGCCCTAGTCTCGCTGTGGAACTATTGGCTGGCATGAATCCAGATCAGGTAACTGTTTGATATCCGGTTATTTGAGATATGTCAATTGATAATGTAAGAAATTGAGATATATCAATTGATAATGTCAGAAAACAGTATTAACATTGATTTTCTAAACTTTTAAATTTTATAGGTTGATAACCAAGGAGAATTTGATGAGCTGTGCACGATGACTGAAGTATGTATTTAAGTTGATCTGGAATTTTACAATCTTTATTGTATACGCATTCTTAAGACAATCTAATTAATCTCTACAAATCATATTGTTACAGTTGAAACAAGCTCTAAAAGAACAACAAGAAGTAAATACTCAATTGAGAACGTATATCGATGGGATATTATTAAACATTGTGGAAAATTATCCGCAATTACTAGAAGTGAAGCAAACACACTGAAATGTAGCGCATTAACATTATCGTTAAATTGTAAATATTTTGAAAACAATTGTATTGTTATCTTTCTTCACCGAATCCAAGATTGGAGCTTGGATTAGAAGTTGGCTGATGTGTAATTATATTTTATACACAATGTTTTTTAACATGAAAGAAATTCTTTGCGCAAAAGCACGCGTCAGATTCGCATGCGAGAGAAGTCGATTTTAATCGAAGGCTTCCTCAAAGTAATAATATCGGAACAATGTGAAAAAGAAGAAACTTTGACTTGGACATTTCTTGTTTTTAAATGTCTTAACAATATTTTCGATTACGATGCAACAGTATATTTATTGCATCCTCTAGATCGAGATTCGCTGTGTTCGATCATTATTGCTTTAAGCAGAGTGTGTAGTGATATAGGAAAGAGACAATTTTTGATTGATTTTCTTTCTGAAGTAAATTCTGCGTCACATTGTCCGTGAATTTTCGAGCCGATTTACCACTGCCGTTGTTGCTAAGTTTTATCGCGCAAATTTCTTATTACCAGAGTGGTAATCTATCTCAATTATACGAATAATGTACACTAAAACAAGCAAGATCGTTAAAGTATTAATTAACGATAATATTGTCAAGTGTTACCTAAATGGAATCTTTCTATATATTATATGTATATAAATTTGACAACGGAGACGCGACTGTTTATGTGTCGCGAAAACTGTGATGCGTTAGAGTACCTTATAAAAAATTTAGATCAACAATACACATCATACAGAGTACAAGATTTTCATTTATAAATGAAAATCTTGTACTCTAGATCTTTATATCGAAAGTTAGTAATTGTGATTAAATGATTATATTTTGATACTTGTTGTTTCCTTTCTCATTCATTCATTACAATTATTTTCAAAAAATCTGTAATGGGAAAGGAGAGAAAAGATAAGGTAAGTCATTTCTTCTATAATTAATTTCTATCGAGTTTCATTGTGTTCTATAAAAGAGTAGTAAATTAAAATATTTAAAAAAAATTATTATTATAATAAAATAATAAAATTTATAAATATATAATATGTGCAATAACGCTAACTACTTTAGAAGAAACTAAGTACACATTGTCGTTAGCATTTTTAATATTTTTGTCTTTCCTTCTTTAAATTTACTAACACTGACCCCATTTGATAAAGATCTATACATTCCGACCATCAATTGATTAGAGTATTTCTAGACTATCTAATATTTATAGACATATGTATACATACATATATGTCGATCGAAGTCAGAGCGAAAACTGAAAGATGTCATGGTCTGCTTTTAGATGATCCCTGAAAGCGATATTTCTTCTATGGACATTGAAAACGTGGACATGAATTACAAAGTCAATGTCCATGAATGTTCTCAGAGGATAATATATAATGTGCACAATTTCTGGTTTCGTTCTGCGCTATGTGCACGAAATGCCGGTAGCACCAGAGTATAACCAGAGGATACTTAAGATTATTTTAAAAATAGTCTGTATGAATATCGGCGTATTATAAGTTACCGCCGGCATAGCTCTTAGGTCATTAGAGTACTCAAACCTGTTCACCCGGCAAATGCCTCTGTTAAGATGGAGATACGAGGAGGAAAAAAATTTTTTTGGAATATTAAATTATGGAAGTATTTTAATTTATCGATTAAAATTGATTATTTATTAAACAATTTACGGAGCTAATTATTTAAATTTATTCGATTATTTTATCGTGCTTTTCCGAAGTCAAATTCTATAATATTTAGTTTTGCATTTTAAGAGATTGACTTATAGCAAGCTAAATAAATAAATGATGTTGAGAAGAAAAAGAAGACATATAAATAAATATATAAATAATAGTGCGAAAAGAGAGAACATCCTAATATTTTTATATAATAAATTATTATTAATTAAATTATTTATATTTTTATTTATATTATTTATATTATCAGAGAGACATTATATATTACCCTCTGAGAACATTCGTGGACATTGGCTTTGTAGTTCATGTTCACGTTTTTAATGTCCACAGAGGTAGTATCGCTTCCAGGGATCACCTAAAAGCGGGCCATGACACCTTCAATCTTCTTTCGAATTAAAATAAATTTCTCCTTCTCCTTCATTGGCCAACGCTGATTCTGTTCATAATGCTGCGAGCGTTCGCAATATCAAATGAAACGCATCTCTAAAACGCATTTTACTTACTATTCGTAACATTTACGAACGTTATCCGTCTTTGTTTAACTTTCGGTCAACAACAAGAATGAAATGATATCGTAAGCGTTACAAACATCAAATGGAATGTGTCCCTAGTGTCTTCCGCGGACTCTCGGAGAAGAGGTAGAGGCGAGCGGCCGAGGAGTTCAAATGTCGTGTCGCGTGTATTGCCTGCGCTTGGCCAGCGAGGAACCAAACAGATCCATTTTGTGTCCGCTCGGCCACTCGGTCGCGCATTGAGTGTCACTGTCAGTCGTGCGCGTGCCGATATGACAATTTAACGGCGAAATCTGTTACGTTCCGCACGGCGCGAGAACGCCGAGGAAATATATGTAATTTCATACATGCATGCATTCCGTATTTTGTGATGCAATGTAATCACATTTTAAAATGATATTTAAGTGCAATCATGCGTCTTAGCTTCTCTAAAGTGTGATTACATAGATTTCTTATAGTAGAATTCATCTATGTGTGTCTACAAACTGTACAGTGATATACTTTACAGATGAAGCTTAATGGCTGGATGCTGGTAGAGAGATTCATTAACGAAACGGCATGCTTGTAAGAGCCTGGCCGCGCACTGTCACGTGGGATGAATGAGGAAGAACTGTTGAAGCGGTCTGCTGCAGAGCGTGATAGGATTTTCAGCTGCTATGACCGGGGTAGGGAGGGCACCCAGATTGATCCCTGGGAAGATCCTGGTTACGAAGTCTATCACACTACAGATAGATATGGATTTATACAGTATGCATATGCATTTAGATTTTCAAAGTTAGATGTGCATGATATTAACGTGTATATCGATAATTTCAAATCCTTATCTCACCTACAGCGATAAGAGATTACCACAGAAGCCGGATTCATACCAGATCAAGTTACACCATGTGGAGATGGAGAGATTGAAGAAATGGGAAAAGATGACAAAACAGTGGGATAGTGCCTCGACCAAGGAAAAATTGCGTCGTAGAATATACAAAGGAATTCCTAACAGATTTCGTGGCCAAGTATGGTCTCTACTCTTAGGCATCAAAAATCTCAAAAAAGAGCAAGCAGGCAAATATGAAGAGATGCTACAATTAGCTCGTCAATGGTCCACAGAGATAAGACAAATCGATGCTGATGTCGCCAGACAATACAGAGATCACATTAACTATAGGTGTGATACTGGAAATAATACAAAATCTTTGTCATAATATTTGAAAAGGATGATATATCATATTGTTATTTTTTCAGGGAGAGATATAGCATAAAACAAAAATCCATGTTTTATGTATTAGCAGCTTATAGTATGTATAACATGGAAGTAGGATATTGTCAAGGAATGTCTGTGTTAGCTGGTTTGCTGCTGCTTTACATGGACGAAGAGGACGCATTTTGGGGCCTTTCTGTGTTACTTGCCGATCAAAAATACAGCATGCATGGTTGGATTTTTTTCTATATCACTATAATCTTTTAACAATATTTTTATCATTAATTAAATTATTGTCCATGGGTTCATGAATATTGATGAATGGCAAGAGTAAAAAGTTATTAATGAAAAAAAAGTCTATTGAATACACATTGCTGTATAAATTTATCACGTAAAAAAAAAATAACAATAAAGCTTCTAATGTTAAAGGTCATGCCACCTACTGTATTTACGAACCTTTGGACATTATTGACATTTATTGGTACATTGAAATTTTATATTTGTAATATATTTTTTTGCAGGCTTTTATGTTGATGGATTTCCAAAATTAAATCGTTTCATAGAGCATCATGACAAGATAATGAACAAATTTTTGCCGAAATTGAAACGGAAAATGGATAAATGCGGCTGCGATTCCATACTTTATGCATTGAAATGGTTTTTTGTTGTTTTTCAGGAGAGAGTATGTATTTCTTTCTTTCTTTCTAGACCATATTTTTTTTAATAGCATTCCTTTTCTTTTCTTACACATTTTATTCTTAAAACAAGTTTTTCATAAATAAGCATTTTCAGTAATTAGTTTTCAATTATACATGGAATATAGCAAGCTATTTCATATATGTATTCTTATTCATTGAAGTTCGATGTATCGAATGTAGCATGTATAAAAACATTTTAAAAATTTTTGATTAGAGATTAGATTACATTTTTAAAATATTTAAAAAAATATATAAAAATTATATAATTATTATTATAACTATTGTGTCCTGGAATGAGTAACGAATATTAGTGAATGTCTGTAAGATATAAAATATTTTTAAAGATATTAATATCTGCTCGTCACAGACTCCCGTTAGTCTCGGTCTTCGTATTTGGGACATATTTCTATTGGACGGTGATCGTATTCTTCCGGCAATGGCGTACACCGTGATGAAGCTACATAAACGCTATTTGATGCCGATGGAAAGTCTCGACGAATTCTGCAACTATCTGCAAATCAAGTTAGAAAAGGACTTTTGTTTTGATGACGACACTGTGATCAGTACGATGGAACGCAGCATGGAGGAGTTAAAGCGTGCCAAATTAGATTATCCGGGTGTACCGTTGCCTCATGAACTGCCCCGTTTTCCATTTGGCACTTTCAAGGAGCCTTCGTTTACCAATAAGGTATTGTTAAAATGCTATCGTTTTGTATTTTTAAAGAAATTTGCTTTACAAATAACAAAGTATCTCTGACAATCTGTACAACAAACGTGATGAATAAGCAAAATACTAAGGAATGCGAATGAAAAAAAAAGCCGTAAATAAATATTGCAATAGGATTCTATCAATCCATATATCTGGATATTCACACACACACACACACACACACACACACACACACACACACACACACATTTCCTTATTATTAACCGAAGATTTTATACTTATTAATATTAATTATTATATACTTATACTTATTAATTCTGAAATATTTTTTTGATTGCTTAGAGGTCAAAAATTGCCTAACTCGTTTGCCTTTATTAAAGAAAAATTATTTCAATTTTTGACAAGACATGTATTATCTCTGCACTTTGTGTTTTAAACATAGAAACTAATATATTTTAATATATATTTTACTTTCAATGATTATAGTATGTATTATAATATTCGTACATAGAAGAAATCGAACAATAAAAGAAAGTATCGGAAATATTTTCTTCTCCATAATTTTATTATATTATGTGATAGCATTGTTTCATATTGATCCAGGTTGGAAGGCGAAGCGAAGAATTTAGCGAAGCTCAGCATGTAATGCGAGAATCCGTGGCGCAGCGCAGGGACATGGCACTGATCGACAACGGCAGGGAGAGCACTACACCTGTCGAACCGACTAGTGGCCTTGGCGGTGAGTTCAGCGATAGCCGTGACAATAGCATACACGATAATAGTACAGATAATAGTACCTCGCGCGTCGAACGTGACAGCGATTCCGAGGAGGAGAATACTGATAATACTGATTCGAATGTACGAACAACAGTTATCTACAATACTAGATTGTAAGCGGAACACGGTGCTTACGCGCTGCGACGATAAACTTCGCGACGCGAACAATTTTGCTCAATGAAATTTGATTGACGTCGAAATGTCGAATATATATAGTTTGTAGAAAGCCTTTGCCACACGCGATACAAAGCGTAAAGATATATTGTTTTGTATAAGCTAGCATATATACATAGTTGTACACAAAATTGATTTATATATATAGCAGTTCCTCGTATTGTATAGGAATGCATCAAAAGTATATAATAGGGTATTTTTTTATGTAATACTAAGTATATATTACGCATGTATTAATTTGTGATACACATGGTATTAATTTGCGCGATTATGCTTTGGATCATGCGATTATTAATCGGGACATTCTTAATGTGTTAAATGCACTTCACGAAATGCGATTCATCCAAAATATCTATAAATAAATCTCGTGTCACCAAATTAACCAAGCTGAGTGTTATATGATTTAACATAACACACTTTATCCATGCATGTAAATCAGAATATTGCTTTGTTGAAACAATCTTTATATATTAAAACAACATTAATATAATTCACCCTACGCAGTTTTATTATTAAGCTTGTTGTTCCTCTGACATTATGTAAATAAATAAGAGATCTATATATTATGCACGATCATTATTTTACCATGCAATCCTTACTGATAAGATTTTCGTTAATGTACTTTTTTTTATATTCACAAAAAAACGCAAATTTTGCTTTATTGCAATAAATCACTTAAAGTTTACATTTCTATTCATATATTAATAAGCGAAAATAAATTTCAGTAATGATTTCTAAATTCTAAATGCATGAAAACCGTATCTTGTAGTTTCAACCTCGCGCATCTAATACGAAAAATCTGTGTTTGTAGGAAGCAAGTTCTCGTTTGATCCGAGCCTCGATGACGGCACATCTCCTAACGGTTCTCGTCGATCGTTGGCCGAGACATCGGTGACGTCGACGGCTGATCTGTCGGTGTTCAGTTCAGCGACGCGTTCCCAGGCATTAGACAACAGCTTGGATACCCAGAGCAATATCTCAAACGCCAGCTCGGGCAGCGGTGGGCTACCGACGCCGCGTGCAACACCACATCAGCCTAGCCCGGATGTTGTGCGCATTTACGTGCCGTATGCATCGCCCGTGTCGGCAGCGGTCTCTTACAAGGACGACCTACCACGCACGCTACCACGCTCCCTAGACACCAATAAGATTCGCATCCGCGTTGACCCGGATCAGACACCCATCGTCGAGAATCTCAAACCGTTTTCCTTGGAGAGTCCGGAAGTGGAGCTGGACTTGAAGTAGAGTAAGTCAAGTTGTGTGCGTGCGGAAAATTACTGTCGAATCGAAATGAAGTGAAGTTCCAAATAATCGCGTGCATGTGCACATAGCTAGGGCATCCTAGAAGTCGCGCTTCTAGGTAAGAAAACAATGTCACAAGACGAGGAATTTATTCTATAAAGTATTGAAAAATATCGTCTTTTGGTAAATCGAACTTTAAGAGTAATGTTGTGTCAATTTCGATATTTCTCTTCTTTAATATTTTGTAAAAAATATTTCAGTTTCCAAAATTTTTTCATAACATATAGAGATCTCTTTTCATTTTTACTTATACATTGGATATCATACTGTTAGTATAAATGCAATCAGTATTTTATAACGTTCTAATGTATAGAGAGTATTCTTAAATCTTTTATCTTTCTTGGAAAATAAAATAATTATTAGTTTCTTATGAATGTGTCGAGAAACTTCAGCATTGAAAATCTGCATCTATTTTTGTCGGAGATATACTTGATCCAAAGAATTAAAAAAAAATGCGCGACTTCTGGCATACTCTATATATGTATATCTCATACCTTACAACAAATCGCGCATATGCGATAAAAAGAATAACAATAACAAATACGAGAGCCATCGTGTTAAATTTCAAGAGATTTCGTTTTAGAAAGCGTGTCAATTGAAGTATTAAAACATTTAGAAATGGAATAAAAATTAATATCATGTATACCGTTTTTAGAACGTAATCTTAAATACTAATTACACTACATGTAATCTTTGATATATCTGTTATTCTTATAAAAATTGTATTTCAATTTAAAAAGTTCAAGAAGAAAGTTTAGAATCAATTACACATTTAAATTTTTGAAGAATCTAAAATGTTCACAATTAATTGCATTCCAACTTACAAAGATTTAATGAGATCAGAGAATCTAATGTTTCAATTTTAAACAGAATGGAATTTATATAACATTGCAATTTACCAAAGTTAAAATGAACAAAATATTGTCGTTACAAACATCGTGGCCTAATTTACGATTATTCATAAATAGCTAAATATTGCATTACTCGTTGCATATATATTAATACACATCCGTATTTATCATGCAATTTTATTTATAGTTTTATTGGTCGTTTTTTGATTCCTGTGAAAAGAAGAAAATGATATGATAATGTATATGATAAAGGGTGTTCGCGGAGCCGAAATAACACTGCTACAGTATTTCGGATCGCCATTAAGAGTTAAGAGTATAGAGAATCGTGTTGTATATAAAACACAGATATATCTAGGGACAAATTAATTTTTTTTACATAACTATTATAAAGAATTGAGTTTCATTAGATATAGACACAAATAAATAATTAATATAAATCTCGTTAAACCCTATATAACTCTATAATTGGATTTTGTAATGTAGAGATGTAAGGAAATGGATTTGTCTCTGGATATAAAATCATCGCTAAAATTTCTGGTCAGAATTACCAGATTGTTTTGCGCGTTTTTCTGTTTAGATCAAATCTAAGAAAGGAACATCACTGCTTTGTCGACGACGATTTATTCTCCGAGCAACTGTAAATTAATAAACGAATTTACTTTAGTATACTTTTTCGGAGAAATGTCGTACGATGTACCGATTATTTATGCGTCCGCCACACGAGCTGATTATATTTGTCTGTCCTAATGGAAACTATTTTTACCGATTATATTAAGTATGCTGCCTTGATAACATTAATGTGTCACTTTGTTTTACTTAAGTTGTTGTCTTTCTTTCTCATCTTTTTTTATAATTCATACATTGTAAGAAATATACTTTTGTACATATGCATAATATTTAAAGAAGAAAAAAAGGAGAGAAAATAACTTCTTTTCTATATTAAATAAAAGAAACTTCTCAGATGTAGCTTGTTGAGTTTAAGTCTCTTCGTCTTAGAATGTGAATATTGAACAGTTTCTTTCTGTGAATCGAGATTGTTTTGCATTATTTGATTGTAGAGAAGCATCGCGCTTCAAATGTGCCCCTTGCTTCCGATTTCGCCAACATTCCTGAAATGCACGCAGTATTCCTCAATGTATATAGCCTTACGGCTTACAGAGCCTACAAAAGTTATACTCATGCATTAATGCGGACTCGACAAACAATCGATTGTTAATACCTAATAATAGTATAAGAAAGAAGCGATGTTGATTGATTAAATATTGAATGTTGATCTTTATCGTGTTACGCGAGAATAGAATTGATAGAATTGAATTGTCTATCATAAGAGTTCCTTCTCATTTATTTCCAATACGATCCGCCGCAACAACGTCGTAACAACGATGACCTTATTTTTTTTAACAGTTCAGGAAGATTTTTTAATATAGATAACAAAATATTGTACGTCATATTTTGTCAGATATTTAATAATTAGAGACTTGGCTCAAATAATCAAACAGAAAATGGCATAAGAGCCAATATGGCTCTTATGCCATTTTCTTTTTGATTTTTTAGTCAGATATGATTTCCGTTTCTTGCGTCGTGCATTAATTTTTTAAGCCGAATTTCATATACGTTATGCACACTGTGTATGCATAATGCAATTTTGCCAAGATAAGATAAGATAACATTACAATGATTGACACAGAAATAGTGAAAGGAGAAATAGATATACTAAAAATAGATATAGAGCTCTGATTGGTGTTACAATGCGCATAATCTGCTTGAAAAGAAAAAAAATCAAACTCGGTAGTCAACAGAAAGAATCTTTAATATAAAATATATGAAATAAGAGACTTTATATATATAAGAGCGAGGGGGAATTGTTGTACACTGATTAATTATATTAGTAGCTGTTCCGATAATGCTGGCCGTAGTTACAAATTTCATTGTAAAAGTCTGACGATGCGCGTTCTTGAAAATATATTTTACCTCGTAGAATTGTATACATAAATTTGATAACTCTGATGTTAGTACACTACTTGAATTGATATAATAGTCCCTGCTATGTACAACGATATTAATGATATTATAATTATTTGTTTATCGTGATTAAAGTGTAACTTAGTTTTTAAGAAGGACGATTCTGTAATGAAGCAATGACCAATCATTACTGCATTTGTTCGATCGTGAGACGAAAAATTCCATAAATATAAATTAATTCAATAAAGTAATTTAATGGAGGCGTGAAAAGAATACAAATGCTTCGTAAGAAGAATACATTTGTTTATCAGATCGAGATTATGAACATTGTGATATATTTTATTCAAGTCTAAAAGTACTTTGAAAAGAGTCCTCGCTTCAATATATTTAAACACAAAAATAATTTTTTAACAATCCATGCATTAATTATATAAATACAGTGTGTCTCAAAACTATTCTTTGCTTTCTAATAATAGGTTTTTCTCAAATTTTGAATTTGACCCTTGTCTTGATGTGAAAATTGCAGCAAAAAGTTAATTTCATTTAAACCTTGTTTAAATATAAATGTATAAAAAATTTGCATTTATTTATTTCATCAGAATTGGAAAAGTTGAATCTTTTTAATAATGTATAATACTGAGAACTAATGAAAATAAATTTCTACCAGATGATCATTTATCAAATTTCAAATATTGATGTACGATTAATAGTTATGAGATACACTATATATATTTGTTCATTATTCACATTCAGCTGACGAATTACAGTTCAAACATGTCTGAGAAAGAAGTGTATACAAACATTCTTAAGACTATTAGCGAGATATTTTTTTTATATGTGTATTAATGGAGTGAGAGATGAGAATCTGTACGTCGCGTGTTACTCTCTTTCTCTCTTCTTTCTTTATAGGACACAATATGTATAGAAAGACGTTTGTCCGACGAATGCAATACTCATTAAAATTTTATCAATTATCAACGCGGATCACATGTAAGTTGATTAATTGTCGAAACAATAAAATCTAATTGTCAACATAGCAAATTTATATCTCGTTTTTCTTCCATCTTTTATTTATGATGTAATTAAAAAATATTTTCATTTCAAGTTGATTTATCTTTATTTATACAAATTTCGTAAAAAAAATCTGATTTAGAAATATTAAAAATCAATCAAAGTGATTGAATAAATGTGACATAAATTAATAATAATAATCATAAAATGATTAAAAAATAATTTCCATTAATTTTATAATTAAATTCTTTTCGAGGATGATTCACATACACATGTACATTGATTTCCTCATTAAAAAAATATTACGTGATACTATACATATATATATATATATATATATATATATATATATATATATATATATAATTATTACGATTGAGTACAATTAGTTTACCTTCTTTTTCTGATAATTTAAAAAAAATACTGAAAAATATTATCACAGAAATCGATGAATACAGTTTAACATTTATAAAGATGTTGATTTATTTTTTAATTAAGTTGACCAAGAATTTCTAATATTTATTAGTTTGTAATGTTTTACTGAAAAACTATTTTTTATATTCTCTCTTATTGATAACTTGGTCATTTAGTTAGAAGAACATTTATTGCATGAAATTTTTATATGATCTCCATATAGAAATTCGTTGTCAGGGAACTTCCTTTTTTTCTTTTCTTATAAGACGCTAAGTATATACTGTATAAATTAAATATCAAATGGACATGATAGATCGGTCGAATATATTTGGCTTATAACAGGTTCATTTGGTTTATAACAAACTCATCTGGGCTTACTTGATGAGACACTCGTTAAGGGCTGGGATGGTAAAAATTGTCGCCTATAACTGGTATCACTTTGCCATTCAATATCATTTGTGGTCCAGTATAATAACGCCATAACAAACTACTGCCTCTCTTCAATTGGTTGTGGACTGATAAATGGGACCAGCAATGTAGCCAGTTTTTGTAGATTGGCATGTGTGGTGGTAGACCAGACACCAATCTTTAATAAATTTTAAATATATTAATTTAATCTGATGCGTTATTTCTGGGAAATATCAAAAATATCCTTAATTTTTAGATATCTTCATGTTTAAATCAAATGTGTGTTATTTTTTATTCTAAAATATCACAATAGATATTACTTCTATTATTTTCTAATTGTATAATTGTTTTTATGTATGTATGTATGTATGTGTATGTGTGTGTGTGTGTGTAATAAAACAATTTATAAGTTTTACTTACCCACAGTCATTCACTGCCATACAATGTGACACCACCAGGAATGGGTACATCACAGTAGTAGCCAAAAACTACAGACATTTCATTTTAGAGAAACATATTTATATATTAGTTCTAAAATATATAAATATGTATTAAAGTACTTTTCCCGATCAACTTACTTTCATGGTTGACGCAGTATATGGTTTCATTGTCGGTTCTTGTATAACATAATTATTTATAGCATATGTGGAGACACCAGCTAAAATTATAGCCGCGGCACTTCCTATAACACGCGGTATCAATCCTGCATAATATCCCAAGATTCCATTCTCTCTGTAGATTTCCAGGAACGAGCCAAATATACTACTATTTATAAAAATATAATAATAAGCAAATTTTAATTTCATAATAACAAAAGACTTAAAACAGAAAATTAAATATATTTTGCAGAAAACTAAGCTTAAAATTGTCAATTTTCTTTAAGATCCACAAAAGTGAATGTAATTATGTATAATTTGTGTCTTTATTCCATAATATATATAAATGTTCTTTTAATATTAAATTATTTAAAAGTCTTCTGAGATATTTTATCCTGGCATTCTAAATTTTATTATTTATTATATTAAGAATAATCACAATACACAATACCTATACTTTGTCTCTCCACCCACAAATTGAGCCATCATCCTTAATGAAATGACTTCTAGAGGATGACTAATTACGATCGCGACAGTTCTACCGATTACATCTCTTACTATCTCACGCATACATTTCTTACGTCTGTAAATGTGAAACATTATATTGTTATATATATATTTTTTTCTCTTTCTTCTCAATACATGTACCTTATGATTTCATTCTCATCGTCTTCATCTTCATTCTGTACCCAATTCTGTTGTAGATACTCCAAAGTTTTATCACACGCTATTGTGCTAACTGTACAGGAACATACCTTTGGTATCAGACCTCTGTAGCAGCCCGTGAAACCATCTATGCTCTTTATGTATTTAACTGTAAATAATGATATAATATATAAGATATAATAATATAATATAAATATAAAAAAAGAAAGTCATTTTTTATCTAATTTATATAAAAAACTTTGTGAATTAATATATTTATATAATATATAAAAAATCTTTTTTTTTTTTTTTAGAAATAAAAATTATCTTTTAGATTTTAAATTAAATTCAGACTTACTATATGTGAAGGCATTGGGTAATTTCAGCGCTGGTTTTCCAAATAATGTTACAGTTGGTTTTGGTGGGATAGGCTCATATCCAATCTGTAATATAAAATAAATGTACAATCCTTTTTCTGAAGGAGACTTTGCCTCAAGAGTGTATCAATTTATTTGCATGAGAGTATTCTATTGATAATAAAAATATTACCTGTATCAAAACCTTTGCATACTCGATAGGATGAGTGATCGCGTTGATCAGTATGCGGCCGGTTATATCCGACCATAAAACCTCTGTCTCTTTCGATTTCGGAGGCATACTCGATAAGTTTCTAAATTTTTTCTTCCCTACAAAAAGAACAGAGAAATATAATTCGCATAAAATTTCTCCTTCAAAGGAGAAAATTTTCCTAATATTAAAACTTGCCAGTTTTCATCGCTTAGGATCACAACACTTAATACCACTGGCGATAAATTTTCTCTTCTCTCAGCCCACCTATTTATCCTGAATAATCTCCTGCCTTTTCTCAAACCAAGCAGAAGGATGACTGCCAACCGGGTGATTGAGTCCAATTAGTAGTGTGTGACAGAATATTTCTATTTACACAAAAGTAGTCGAAGTGGCATCACGTCGGTGTCCCTGAACCTTCGGCGAATCTAAAGGGCAATCACGAGTGATAAAAAAGTGACGGGAGAGAACGCAATGAGAAGAGGATTTATCTGTCTGTTCTCGTCCCATTGGAAACCACCCTTTGCACCAGTCGATCGCTCTCAAATGGCCGTGTGAATGGGCCTTTATTTGGTCACTCAGCAGTGCCGATAAAACTGGAGAAGGAGAAAAGGTCCGCTATCATAACTATCAATAACGTAAATTACAATTTTAATTTATACTTGCAGATCCGCGTATTTTCTAATTATATTTCTAAACGTTCTTGCAATTTTTTCCCAAATTTTGATTCTCACATATAAATTTTATTTCAAGCCCGAAAAGGGATATTTACGATATACACTCACCAGGATCAGGATTACACATATAAGAGAAAACGTAGTGAGATTCTAGATCTGTTTAGGAATGTAAGTACGTTTGATACGTTCGTTTTATTAACATATTAATCACCCTGATTTCTTAACCTCTCAGGAACGGTTGTTTTTTTTTTTTTTTTTTTTGGAGTTTCCAATCGATCACAAAGGTAAATGCGCTGCCCTTCTTAAAAATCGAGCACGAGTTCGAATTCTCTATGTCGTGCTTATTCTACTCGAGATTTTAGGGAAGTTTCGGAATCGATGTTTCTCGCGAAGAAATGATAGGAGGAGCGACGATTCGTCTCAAGCCCCTTCGTCGCTTCTCGCGTGATTACATAACAATTGAAATAACTTTAACCTTCGAGCGCAAAAAAATTAATCAACCAATGCATTCGTAGAGTGTAAGAAATTCTTTATTCGTCTTCTCTTTATCTCGTTCATTTCTTAGCTTTAGCCTATTTTCGTGTTATTTTCATTCGAAGTAAAATCAGCTGTTTATTCACTCGAAATAAAATCAGCTGTTTGACTAGTTTGAGTAGTTTTATGCAATCTTGGTAGCGCGTATTGTTTTCGATATTTTCTTTAATTAAATTTACATGAGCTTAGTGTAGGGAAGTCAAATTTCGTTCATCATTCCTTGTCTATCTGTAATTTTTAATCTCAATTCTTTCAATTTTTCCAGTTTAATGGGTGCTAAAACATCCATTGGAACCTTGATTAGGCGCAACGTGATCAGTGTGCTATTCCCTACGTTCGCGGTGGTTACAATCACTGCAGATTTGAGACGCACGGCTCGCTGGAAGCGTCAACTCGCCGAGCAACAGGAACACTAGGATCGCAATATAAATTCGCAAAATGTGGAAATATTATTGGCCGCTCATCTTTCCTTTCGCAGGCTTTATGATCGGACATAAACTAGATCACATGGAGTCGGAGCGCTTTTCAATGTTCAGAGACAAATCAGCGTTATATGGTAGAGAATTGAAGCCTGGAGAGCCACCCTCTTGGGGCTATTAATTTACATATATTAATTTCATGTTTATCATGCATCGTCGAATCTTAGGTAATTGCAGAATTAATTCTATGTAAATTAAGAAATAAATATACTCTGCTAGTGAAATCGCAAAAGGATCATAAGGTGACAAATGTATCTCGTTAATATATATGCGCAATATAAATCATGATACAATATGGTTACTAATGCTTATATATAATTTGTCTTTTCTTTATCTTTCTTTTTATTTATTTTCTTTCGGTTTGGTAACAGTATATAATATTATTTGATAAAAATATGAACAATATGACACTTTATGATTATGCAGATGATTGCATATAAATGGATTGCAAATACAGAATTATTTTATTGAAAACTTGATATATATGTTGCATTTATGACTAACTATATACAAATTTAAAATTACAATATTAAATTAGAATACTATATTACAATATTAAATTAGAATAGTATATTACAAGTTTCTAGAGATCATTGACTTTAAAATGAGTAACAGAGAACTACAGAGTTTTTGACTGGTTTGGTTCTAGAGTAGATAAATTCTTTTATGCTATATTAATACTAGTATCATAAGTGTGCTATCGAAATATAGTAAATAATTTGTTTTTTGTATTTTTTTTTGAACTTTTTTTACCTTTTTCCATGACAATATTATACTTAAGGTTCTCCTTAATCTCAGCCGAGTTTTTCACCGCCAAATTATATGCTTGGCGTTTCTTTTGTAGCCATTCATCTGTTTTCTCGTTCCAAGAGATTGGTCTGTCTTTGGGATCAGTCTGATTCTGACGACCGCATTTATCACTGGTTGCCAGATCGAGGTACGAAAACAATTTTTTTTCATTGCCATTATGCTTCGCGTTGTTTTGCTGAATGTCATCCAATTTACAATCTACAAGTCCATAATTTTGAAATTTCGTGTTCTTGTCCTGCGAGGCGTATATATTTTCGCTGAATTTTTGGAAAACTCTGCCTTCTTCGACAATAGGTTCAAACTTCTTCTCAACATTGGCTACTTCTTGCGACTTTGTAACAACTGCATTACTCGTCTTACTTGTCCTCCGCTCGCTTGCCGATCTCGTAAACGCGTATGGTTTCTTATAAAGTAACGGATTAAATCGCTCCGACGTTCGTACGAAGGATGAATCTCCATTATCCGCCGACAACGTCGAGTTTAAATCATCATAGCGTATTTTATTGCGAGGGAATTGTTCTTTGTATTTCATACTAGCGTATGAATGAGTCCTGGAAATTGGGTTCGACGAATAGGATTGTTTCAATGGATAGTTCTTTGGATGTGTTAAATGTTTTATTTTTTTATCTTCTTCGTTTTTCTCACTTGGCTCAATGATTTTTTCAGGTGTCGAAGTTGATCGTTGCAATGTTGAAGTTTTTTCCACAGGTTGACAATCTCTCGATTTCTCCATTTTAACATCAGATTCCATGATTTTATGGGATAAAGTTTGTGCTACTTCTCCCAGCCTCCTCTCTACGAGTTGTATGTCTTTTTGATATTTTAACTGTTGATCTACTAGTTTTAATTTTTCATTGAGAGTTCTCTCTTTGATTCTGAGTTCTTTTTCTTTTTTGAACAATTCCCTCTCTTTTTTTTGCAGATTTATTTCCCTCTCCTTCAGGGCAACATCATGCTGTCGCAAGATCTCCATCTTGTGTAACCAATTTTCTTTAAAAATCTCATCGCTGACCTCCTCGGGCGAAGGAATTGTCGCGCTGCAACCATTCTTGAAACCGTGATGACAAAAATCGTTCATTTTACATTCCAAGAAATTTTCGCTTCTTTCGTCGATGGACATCAAACTATTGAACTTCTTAAATTGTTTTACAGGATAAAATGTATCCTGCGATTCGATTGACGATTGAAACTCTCTTTGTACATTCAGGTGCTCGTCAAAATCCTTGTCATTATATTTAACGTTATTGTTATTGAATTGCTCGTTAGATAAAGACTCATTGTTCTTAATATCTTTTATCATTTTTCTCTTAATTAATTTGTTGTCATTCATAAGATATCTTCTAGATTCCATGCATTTACTATTTGAAGCAGGCGATGTATTCTTTCTGTTTTCAGTATTATTTTCTGATATATCTTCATCTTCTCGCTCATTTAATTGGTTCGCAATCTTAAGATTGTTGATCTCATTGATTGCAGTTTGTAGCGAGAATTCTTTTTTCTTGTTTACTTCGGGTACGATGTATGTCTCGACTCTGTACAATATTGGTTTCGTTGTTGACATTGTTGATGATAAATCAGCAAATGAGTCTCTTGGATTATGTAGAAACTGAAGTATTGTATTTAGCAATATTTCTGCAAAAATAATGGACATATTAATTCATTAAATTGAATGTAAATAAAAATAATAAATTTATAGTAATATTAATCTTGCAATAAACGATACAATGATATATACGTAAGTGTAGAGAATAATTGAAAATTATTATTTATTAAGACATTCATTCATTATCATATTTAACATATAATAATTATTGAAGTGAGATTGTAAGTTTTGTGTCAACTTTAAAAATGTAAAATTGAGCATGTCTCTCGTCTAAATCCTATATTACACAATCTATATATTGTAACAAATTCGAGACAGAATTTTACTTATGATTTTAAATTAAGAAAACATTTAAACATGGTAAATAGGTAATACAAAACGGGTAATATCAAAAATACTTAAACGTCTAAAATACACATAAATTAAAATATATATATATATGCACACTAAATATAGCTGACGTTTAAAATTATAAAAAGAATTCTATCTTAAATTTTGTCATGAATTATAGTCATCTATATAAAATGAGTTTAAAATATAAAAACATTTTATTATTAGTAAATTATCAAATAGTTAATTCTTCAAAATATAAAATTGACTTATTAAATTAATTAATCACTTATTAAATATCTATGTTAGACAATATAATTATATAATATAATTAAATATATTATAATAAAATATATATAATTAAATGTATTATAATTAATAACATATAATTAATTATATTATTAATATATAATTAAGTATAATAATATATGATTAGTTATAATAATATTATTATAATAATTTTTAAAAATGTAAAATTGTGAATGTCCATTTTATTTAAAGTCCACTTTAAACGATGTATAATTATTCGATAAAAAATTCAAGAATTCTATTTAAAATTTATATGGTATAATAAAAGAATACTTCAACACATAAAATACGTACAAAATATATAAATATATATATATATATATATATATATATATATATATATATATACGTAATTTTACGCATAAATTTATAAAGAGAATTCTATTTTGAATTCTATCACAAATTATATAGATCATCTATAAAATGAATTATAAATACATAAAAAGACATTACGTAAGAACATATCTCAATAAAACAGATCTAAAAAAAATATTAAATATTAAATTTATAAAATAATCAATAAAATCTCTAAAATAAATATTCTAAAATCTATTTATCAACTATTTATTACAAAATTATTATTATTTATTTTAAAAAAATTGTATGACAATAATAGTATAACAATAATTTAATTAATTATAATTAAAAATTTATTCCATATCTTGAAAGATACTATAAATAAATTTATTCATATTATATTGAAAGAATATTAAAGACAAATTATAAAAATAGATATTAAATTTCTTTATTGATAATTTATGATTTTAAAATTAGTATAATTTAAAAGGTATATTATTGAAATGCAATTAATATTACATACCCAAAATTTTCGTACTCTGTATAAACTCTCTGTATAAACACGTGCAGCGTTCGGCGTGTGCATTTAAACTGAACTTTCTCTTAATGTTCGTCTGGATCTTATAATTCGAGATCTGCAGGCTTTATTTGTGTTTGATTGTGGTTGATTGTGTTCGAGGAGATGCTGCTCTCTCTGAAAGATAATTTATTAGTTTTTTTATAAATCAAACTACACATAATATTAAACATGTGATACGTAAAATTATAAAGAGATTTATATTTTGAATTTATATATATATATATATATATATATATATATATATTTATTTATTTATTTATTTATATTATATTTTCTCGCGAATTATCTTTTAAAATAAGTTTAAATATATTACTTATTACTAAATTATTAAGAAGATATTACTATCAAAAATATCGAGTAAAACAGTTAACTTTAAAAATATAAAATTACGTTGGGCTTATTCGTTTTATCTAAAGCCCACTTTCTATAATTAGTTAATTTTTCTATCTACTCACAATCTATAATTTGCGACAAAATTTAAAGTAAAATTCTCTTTATAATTTTATACATTACACATGTTTAATGTTTATATGTATATTCTGATATATATTTTGGTATTATCTGATATATTTTTTTATTTGTATATATTTTATGTATTCAAATGTTTTTATATTACATAATATGAAATTTATTAAGTGAATTCTGTTTTGAATTGTTTAAAAGATTGAATTTTCTTAATATATAAAAAAATATTCTACAAAAATATATCAAGTAAAATAAATCTATAAAAGAATATTAGATTTATAAAATAAATTCTATAGAAAAAATTTATAAGATAATAATAAATATTCTAAATTTTTTTACCAATTATTACAATCCTTTTTTAAAAACACAACTAAATTAATTTAAAAATGTTTTATCTCTTTTGAAAGATACTTTCCTTTATTCATATTATACTAAGAAAGAATATTAAAGGCAAATTATAAGAGAAAAAATAAATATTAGATTTCTTTATTATAATAATTTATGATTTTGAAATCGAAATGATTTAAAATGCATATTGCCAATTATTAAAATTAATGTTACATACATACTTGTTATAACTTTCACACTTTGTACAAACACGTGTAGCATTTCCGACGCGTGCATTTAAACTGAACTTTCTCGTAACGTACGTTCGACTAAAGCTTACGACCAGATATGCAGGCTTTGCTTGTGTTAAGGATTGCTCCTTCCTACCTGAAAGGCGATTTGTTGGGTCCTTTTTAAAAGCCAGTTCCATTGAACTGCGCAGGCGGATAAATTCATGATATTCTACCTGCAGCTCCTGCGTTACATGTGTATATGTATGCGTGTCGAATGTATCCTTGGTCTATTCTTTTTTTTATCGATTCATCGCTTTAAATGAGAATTCGAAAACTACCGAAGCAAAAAGATTTACTAACTACTTAAACATCGATTTATAACTATTAAGTCATTTTGTTTTGAAAATATTTTGTAAATTGATGATGCATAGAAAATTGAAATTTTTGTTTAGAAAATATTGTAGAAAAGAGCATTAAGTAAATATATGTATAATTATATATATATATATATATATATATATATATATATATATATAAAATTATAAATATATTCACTTAACATGTTCATATAATTCATGTTTTCATTTCTTTAATCAATTTTGTATAAATTCTAATTTAAATAAGAAGCGATAAATACAATAACGCTTTTTAATCTGAAAAAAAATTATTGTTATATTATCTTATTCTATATTTTTCTCTTTTTTGATTATATATATATATATATATATATATATATATATATGTATATATGTATAAATCTTTAAAAAAATATATAGCATATTCTACTTCTTATTTAAAATAAATTTATAATTTAAAATTGATTGAGGAGTAAAATCATTGTGTAAATTAATTGGATGAAAGAGATGATGATTATAATGATGTTATATAATTATTTATGTATAATATAAAATTATTTTATAACAATAATATTTATCTTATGATAAAAACAACAATAGAACAACAATAAAATTAATCTTTTTTATTATTATTGAATTCTTAAAACATATACGATATTCTTCATATAGCAAACAGTTTAAAACAATCGTGCAATAACGGACAACCAACATCGCCTTTCAATAAGCTAGTGATCATTAATTTTCTAGATTTCGTGATCTCCTAGTATAAATAATGCTAGAGGAACGTTAAAGTTCTATCTCGGAGTGAAACGTATTCAGGAACTTCTAGATGGCAGTAACGACGCATTTCCTGAAAGTGACTCAGGCAGAATAAAATTTATTCTCCAAAAATCGCTTTCCCGCTATAAAGCACTATAATAATATAGGAAATATCCCGTCACTAATTTATAAACTAGAAAGTACCATATTCCCTTCGTGGACTTCACGTATATTTTAGTAAGGTACGTTTTGACGGTGATGCGCGCGCATATCGATAAAACAATTTACGTTTCACCCATCAGTAACGTAGCTTTAAAAGCGCATCGAAATATATCCAATTAATATTGATCATAATTAGTATTTAATTTTAAATTTATATTTAATTCTATATCAAAAGACGTGTTAAACGATTCTATTAAAGACGCTCGATCGTCTCAAAAGCCGACGAATCTAATCTAATCGAGAACTTCCGAACTCTCCCTTTTTTCCCTAGATAGATACAGCCCTGCGACGCGCCTCCATCTTTGCCACGTCGAATGAGGAGAACGCCGTTTATCCCGCGCCAGTGACAGTCAGTAACGGCCGAGCTCCTCCGTTGCAACTAGGGAAGAATCGAGGCACTAGGCGAGGCTAGAGAACGCCATCGCTCCGACTGACTCCCCACCCGTTATGAGTGGACGAGCTGCGGAAAAAAACTATTTAGTAATTTCGCGCTGCGATTTTGGGTACATCCTCCCGAGGGCGGCGGATTTTTGTATACAACGTTAGCAACGAGATTCGAATATTATTCGGCGCGGATCACGAATCATGGACGGCGGAACACCACGACCAGTGGTTATCAGTAATCCGCAGGCGACGACCGTGGTGTGCAACCTCATGACCACGACGAGCCCGCGTCTCACGCCAACGGGGAAGATCAGTCACGCGAAGACCCGGGTGTATACGCAACGCTATAGGAAAGAATGGGAGCAAATGCAGGATTTCAAAGGTATTTCTATTTCCTCTCTCTCTCTCTCTTTCTCTTTCTCTCTAGGTGTCTCTTTCTCTCTATGCGTGTGTGCATGTGTCGTTCATGCTTCTTTGTTTCTAGGGTTGATCTCGCTTGGTTGCAAAATTCATTCATTGGAGTAGCGAGTAGAATAGCGCTCGATTGACCAATCAGAATAAAAGATTTTCTTATCCTGATCGAACACTATTCTGTTTCAAGGGAAATTTTGAAACGTGATCCTCACGGATCAATCGACTTCGCCGATGAATTGATTCATGGATTGACTTTCATCGATTTGGGTTGCGTTCAATTTATTGGAGTAGTGGCACTCGATTGACCAATCAGAGTAGGAAACGTGAATTTGTCCTGATTGGATTGATCGAGCGCAATTCTATTCCAAAGAGTAAATTTTGGGAAGGCGATCTCGATTGATTTTCCATTCTTTCCATCTCGTATTCGTCACGACGTCAAAAGAAAGAGATGAACGATTTGGTTAATTTAGACTAGTATTAATATATATTATACGTTGGTATACTCGTTAGTATCCCATTTTGTTCGCATTGGAACTTTTTTTGCTTTTTATCATGTAGAAACTAGTTGTATCTAGAAACTCAAATAGAAACTTGATATTAGAGGAAATCTAGTTAAAGATCGAAGATTGAATATTTAGCTTTATTATTGAATTCGCAAACTTTTTGATTTTATTCTAAGAAAATGATTGGCTATTGCGCGGACAATTGTACAGATTTAATTGTCAAAAGATTTTTGATGAGAAGTTTTTCTAAGTAATGAATGGGGAGAATATTATAGTTGCTGATGATATTTGGGGTATAATAAATAAATAAATAAATAAATATATATATATATATATATATATATATATATACATATACATACATATATATATATATATATTTGGTTTTGAGATGATTTATTGCTAATGAATAATTCTATTGCCTTTTTGCAGACATATTGTTTTAACAATACGTAGAGGAGAGTTTGATGCAATGAAAAAAAAATTAAGAAATTACACAGTACAATTTACTCATCTTACATTACAAATTGAAGAGCACTTTGATGGAAAACTATAATGAAGATGAAAATCAAACTGAATATTGATAATTTATCAAATAAAATTAAAATTTAAGAAAAAAGATCTTTGTTATACATGAATTAAATTTTAATGATATCATGGAATATAAATTTTCACTTTTAGAAATTTAGCGAGTTTATAAATTCTTCGAATATGACTAATTTTACTGTGTACTGTGTAATTTTACAGTTTAATATAGAAATAGATTAATAATAAAAAATATAATCAAAAAAGAGATTGAGAATTATTCTATTCCTAATTGAAGTTTCTAAGTGTTTCAAAATAACAAATAGCATTCTAAAATATCTAATTTTCTTTTTTTATAAACTTTAGAGAGTATTTTAATATAATATTATATACATATATGTATAATTCTTACTATACATAATTATATTGTATTATATGTATTATGTATAATCATAATACATTTTTATTCATAATTTATACACACACTCTTATAGAGAGATACACTTTTATCATATAAAGGTATACGTATAAGTAGAGATGATAATTTTGAGATACTCTTTATACAATGCACATTTACGAATAATAAAAATGCGGCAATTTCAAGATATTTTTGTTCAGGATGGCTGACCTCAGTGCCACATCAACCAACTCGTGCCTACTGCAACTATTGCAAGAAGAATTTGCATGCGCATCGTCTGTCGCTGCTAAAACATACATGTACGATGAAGCATCAGCGCGCGGCTTTAACGTACAAAGAAGAAAAGAAGAATTCTCGGAAGTGGGATGCGAACGCACTCGAAGTGGGTCTTACTGAGGAAGTTGAGGTTCTATGGATTGTTTTTTCATTGATCTTCACATATAGGATATCCCATATTTGATGGATCATCCTAAAAATATTTATCAAGAAAATGACTTCTGACATTTTTTATCAAATAGAAATACAGCCAGTATAATTCGTATTTTTGCATAACTACAAAATATTTTCATGAGTAACTGTATTAAAAAAAAAGATAAATGTAGGATAAATGTATATATATTGGACATCTTATACATGAAAATATAATGTGTACAATATTTTAGATTTTAAACAAGAACACAATGTATTAGTCATGAAAATTTATCCGAGAACAATTATACAATGATTGTGAGACAATAGTTTCTCTCTCTTTGATTTTTAATATATTATTTTGTAATCTACAATTATCAAATAATTAACCTTAAGTTACACATTTTTTTGCTTTGTTCCTGGTCACATTTAAATCACAATGTCATATTCTTATTATAAATTGATAGACTCAAAATGACTTATATATGTGATTTTTAAAGATTAATTAAGATTAATCATATGTTTTGAGATAAACGTTCTATATTCAGTATTTTTCTTAGTTGATAAATGATGTTAATCTTAAAGTACTGTTAGCTATAAAAAAGTAAAAACATAAATCATTTAAATTAAACTTTATAGTTATATATAAATTTTTTGAATTTTAGGCTGTGGATGATCCTCAGTCAGAAGGAGATGAAGAGAATGAAGAAGATAATGATGATTTTGTTGTTGAAACACTAGACATAGATGAGGAAGAAGAAATAGAAATACAAGATGTTAAAGAGGAAGCTGAAGAAATAATTGATGATGAAGAAATAATGGATGATGAAGAAGAGACAGAGAAAGAAATAGTTACCGATTTGTATACACAATTGCAATCCGATGATGAAGAAATGAAACCTGTAGCAAAGAAAACCAAATTATCCAATGTAAGTTATGTTATAATTATTACCTTCTATACATTATATGTAATAGAAGGCAATAATTTTGCTTAGCAAAGAATTTGTGTGTCGAGTTTTCTGCATTGAATTTTTATGTTATTATATAGCAAAAATGTCGGGATACATTGGCTGAAGCAATGGCTCATGTTCATAACGAATATCTCGAAGAGGAAGTCGAGGATCAGGGAGATGTACAAATGGAAATGATAGTAGAGTCAGCTAATCCAGATATACCTGTTCTTTCTGACGCAGCAGACAATGCCAAAGAAACTTTGAAGGAGAATGAAAAGATGGAAATTAGATCTGATATGAAATCGACAATTCTCGTAAGTGATAATTCAAATTTTCAATGAAAAGAAAAATTCACGCATTAAAAATTAATGAATGCTGCAGTCATCAAAATCTCAATGACTATTACAAAGGAAATCTTTCTATAGTTGTAATATATGGAAAATTTTGTTATAGTTGAATTTTTTATACTTAAAATTGCCATTAATTAAATTTTAAATAATATTATATCTAAAATAATATTATTTGATAGCAGGAAGATATTAAATCTGATTTAATCGTGACTTCTACGGGTCTATTGCCGGTATTGGACACGACTTATACAAACATCTCATCAACACCGCCTCAAAATATCAATCTTTTGCCGATTGCACCTAATCTTAAAAATAATAAAACTATTACCTTGATGTGTGGAAACAAAACGTTTACTTTAACCGGTGGTACGTTCCAACCGGGCACACAATACGTGTTAACTAAACTCAAGGGTAAGCCATTAATGATGGCCGATCAGAAAAAGACCATTGCAATATCTGAATCGAACAAGATCAAAAAAACGAGTCCACCTATTTCCACTAGCCAATCTCCGACTGTTCCTAGTACTAGCCAGCAGCCAATTATTAGTACTAATCAACAGTCAACTGTTGCTAGTATCAAAGGACTGTCATCTAAGAAAGTAAGAAAAAAATCCCTTAATTTTTTTATTTTATTCCTTATGTAGGATGTAATATAAGATACATGAATCGTTTCTTATAGGATGTAATATAGGATGAAAAAAGGTTTATATATTTACTTTTCGAAACATATATATATATCAAATTTTTTAAAATAAATATATAGAAATAATGATTCTCATTATTTGTTAAAATTTTTCAGATTTCAATGACTAAGTTTTAAGTTAAGATTTTGTTAAAAGTTTATCTCAAATAGAAAAAATAATGTTTCATTATTTATTTGTACTTCAAGTTTACTTTGTAATGAGTTCTTCATTCTCAATAATACATAGTTTAAAAGTTCTTATTTAATCTTTTGATTATTTTAGGTTGTTTTAGGGAAACAACCAATAAAATCTACTACAACGAAAAAATTACGTATTTCCACTTACGTTGTGGACAACACAAAAGGAATTCCCGTTAGTGGTTTACAAGTCAGTTTATATAAACTGATGGATGGAAAATGGACTTTCTTGAATGAGAGGTATGTAATTCTTTAACTTGTATAACTATTATATTATTATTTATATTACTGTCACTATTTATTTTCTTTCACTTTTTTTATTTATTTTCAACATATAGTTTTTATGTTAGACAAATGTATAGGAGCATTTTTCTTTTAAATACTTTTTTGAATAGAATTAGCAAAATCTCCATCATATCTTCTTTGTTTTTAAATTCTGTTTACAATTTCTGATGATAATAATTTTGATTGATTATTTTTTAAAATTAATTATTTTTAGTTAATATATACGATAAATATTTTATTATTAAAATACTAACTTGATATTTTAATTTTAATAATATGTGGGCTAAGAAATAAAGTATATACATATATTTATATAAAATATTAAAATGAAATTTGGAATGTGTTGAAATTATGATAGGAGTCATAAGTGAATAAAAATAAAATTTTATTCTAGCAATACAAATGCAGAAGGCTACTGTGTCGATTTAATGGAGAAGGTAAATTGCACAATTGGCCGTTATAAGATTCATTTTGATGTCGATAAGTACTTCACATTGCGAAGAATAGAAACTATGTATCCCTTTGTGGAAATCGTATTCGACGTGAAAAATCCAAATGGTCACTATCACATGCCACTTTTATTGAGTCCATTTGGTTACTCGACTTATCGCGGCACCTAAAGTACAATTTTTTATCGAACATATACTTTTACAATATAAACAAATTGCAAGCGAAGATTTTGCGATTTGTATTGCTCGCATTGCGAGAATGTGATTATCTTCACAATAAGTATAATATAATTGACATTTATCATATTATATAATTGATAATATAATTGACATTTATCATATTTCTTAAAAAATATCTTTTTTGTTATTAATTATGTTATTATTAATATTATTAGTGTAATTACTATCTTATATTACTATATGTGTGTCATATACAATAATAAATATAAATAGTATGTTAAGTATAAGGTATAAAATAAATATAAATATAAGGTATGTTATGTTAAAGTATAATAATTACACTAATAATATTAACAGTAACAAAAGAAAAAAAATTTTAATTATTTGCATACTTTCATAAAAATAAGATGCGATAGATAGAATATTTATTAAGAAGTATTTTTGCTATAATATATATAACATACAAGAGTTAATGTGTATATAGTTAGAATTATTTTTATTATAAGGTGAATTTTTATGACAATTTGCACAAAATAATGTAAAAAAAAGAAAAAATTAACTTAAAATTATAAAACGTATATTAGCTTTAGAAATATAAATATTTTATTTTCAGCATCTTATTTTTTTTTTATCTTTCAATAGTTTCTTTTTTTTTCTGATCTAAAAATTTTCTTTTTTCAAACGATACATTTGGTAACAGCTATGTGTGCTATATAGTATTGCAAACTGCTATCGCTATTATTAAATATACATAATTTACACATATATTCACACATTTACACATATGTATAATATATGTACACATGTTTTTACACGTATTTTTCTAAAAAATAACTTGTTAAATTGAAATAAAGCTGGCATTAATAAATATCAGTTTATCTATGCGCGACGTTGATATTTCTTCACTTTCGACCTTTAATATCTCTCTTTATCTGTATCTGTTCTTTAAAATTGTACATTAGATCAAAGTGAACAGTGAGTTGTATTTGCAACATGAGTGTTCGACGTGACGACAATAGAGTAGGTATCTTAACGTTTTTTTAAATCTCGTTAAAATATATGAAAAAATTAAATATATATAGTATATATAAAAATGAAAAATCAATCAGAAATAACAAAAGTATCTAATAAGCAATATAAAGACGAGGAAACTATGCTAACGATGTAAAAAGTGATGCACAATTATTTTTAAAAGATTTGTTTAATTATCTAAATGTATTTTCAATCGCTTGTATCATCATTAGTAGCTGTCCACAATTTATATGTTGCATAAAAAAGAATATATGATATTATAAAATTAAATTTTTTATCAAGTTCTTATTCCTAATGAAACCAAAAGTAGATTATATTTATTTTTTGTTGAGTTCTTTGAAGATTGAAATATGATTTTTAATATTGCAAATGTATTTTTATGAGACGATTTTGTAATATTATCTATTTTTTTACATGATGTATAATAATTTGTTGATAGTTATATTTAAGATCCGAAAAGAAATGAAAATGAATATCTCAATAATTAAAGAAATTTTTTAAAAATAATTGCTTATTATTTAGTTCTTATTAGCTCGTTTTCACTCGTTTTTTATATACGATAAGCAGTCCAATATAAAATTGAACATTTGAATTTACATTCTATTATACTTCTTATCGTATATGGAATCTAAAATATTAATCTTTCTGTGCACGAATCTTTCATCAATTTTTTAAACAATTTTCAAATTTTGTAAATTTTTAATTTACAAAAAAATGGGTATAATATCTTATAATCATATATATCGTTATATAATATAGTCTTACAATCATATATCGTTAGTCTTATAATCATATATCATTAGTCTGTAATTTTTTAAAACTTTAAAGTTAAATATAAAGATTGAATATATTTGTTTAAATTTGTATACTATAATCATTTGTATTTATATGTTTCTTTTATACCTCTTTATAATAGATGATCACTTCTGTAAATCCGAATGAAGCGAAGTTAAGTATTACTACGCACATTTTGGACGTTAGTAGAGGGTTGCCTGCTGACGGTTTGGCAGTACGTCTTTACAAGTTCGAAAATGATAAGTGGATTTTTTTAAAAGAGAGGTATATATTCTGCATTATACTTTTGGTAAATATCTTTTCAAGATTTTTTTCTAAGAAAGAGATGTATAGAAAGATATGTATATATATATATTATATATATATATATATATATATATATATATATAATATGTATATATACATATATATATACATATATACATATATATATATATATATATATATATATATATATATATACTATCACGTATTTTTCTTATTACATATCGTACTTTTTATTTTTACATTGATAATATTGATAATGTTATTTTTCATGAGGTAATTGCATCAAAAAGATACTTTCTACTAGTTTAAATTTATTTAATAAATAAATAATAAAAGTATAAATAATAAAAGTTGTTGACTTTATATTTATCACGTTATTAATTATTACTTTCTCTATAGTATAACAGAATCAAATGGACGTTGTGCAGATCTACTACAGGACGAGGAAGAAAATTCTATGCCCGGTAGATTCAAGATTGAATTTCGAGTGAATGATTATTTTAAACGAAACTCGACCAATTCGATGTATCCGTTGATTGATATAGTATTCGATGTACAAAATCCTCATGAACATTATCACATTCCTTTGCTACTGAGTCCTTTCGGATTTACTACATATCGCGGCTCGTAATCGATATTATCTGCGATAATGGATATTCTAAAACATCCTTGAAGGATTTACTGAAAAAATATATTTCATTTGCATAGATAATACATGCCGGTCAAATTGCGTAAGAAAAGATATATGATGGAATAAAATAACGATAGTACAAGAGGGAGACTTATGAAAACTTCATTACATAAATATTGTAAAAAATAAACAAAATCAAAATGATTATCAAGAGTTTATCTCGTTAAGTGTTTATTATTGTTGATATCAGCGTTATTTATTTGACAAATTTTACATCTTTCATCCTTTTATATCACAAGACAAATTTATTTTATGCGAGCTGTAAAATTGATTTTTTAATTTTCGAAATTTTATTCCAAGATAAATGGCCAATTACTTTCAATTTATTTGTATATGATTCAATTCTATTCCTTTTCTATTTTTCGCAAATTATTTATAGCATGCATTTATTTGATATTAATGCTTTTTAGAAATATATACTCTATACAATATACATATTGTATAAATGTATATATATATATATATATATATATATATATATATATATATACACCTGGTATAATTAAACATTTTCATGATTTGTTCATTGTACCCGAAAATCTAATTAGAGTTTCGGTAATTCTCACAAAATGTAACGATGTCCAATCGAAGCATTAAAATGATAAATGTTAAAATTTATATTGATTTTTCAAAATGCTCAAATTATTATACAGAAATTTATCATATCGTTTCTTTATCGTTAAATATGTCATATGGTTTGCATTAGATTACTTCTTATCGACGACTCATCGTCCTTAGTAATCTTATCCTGTTGTTCGAATACATGTTTTTTTATAGAAGATTCTTTTCTTTGTCAAAAATCAGAATCGAATATGAAATTAAGTCATATCATTACCACCTGACCTATTGCTATTTTTAATTTTCAATTAAATAATCATGAGATCACTGTTAAGATACAAATCTCAAATTCAAACCGGTTTTTATATTAACAGATTATACTTAACGGAGCGGAGTTTTAGCGAATAACGATAACTGATATATTAGCGTAATTTTTTACAATATTTGTATAATCTTTTGATTACCCCTTTCTTGTAACTTAAAAATAACAATAAGATTAGTAAATTTGTTAGATATAAATAGAATTTTTCTTAAGCATATGCTATATTGATTGATTTTTAAAAGAAATTTTTTAACTCAATATTTAAATAACTAAAACATCTAATATAAGTTTACAAAATATTATAAATATTTAAAATATTTATGTTATTTGGATGTTGCTGTATATTAATATATTTTCTGACCTATCGTTATTTTTAAATTTCAATTAAATAAATAATCATGAGATAACTGTTAAAACACAAATCTTGAATTCAAACCGGTTTTTATATTAATAGATTATTACCAGAGCGGAATTTTAGCGAATAATAATAACTGATATATTAGCGCATTTTCTACAATCTTTGTATAATATTTTGCTTCTTACATCTTTTTTGTAACTTAGAAATAACAATAAAATTAATAAATTTCTTAGATATAAATAGAATCTTTCTTAAGCATATGCTATATTGATTGATTTTTAAAAGAAATGTTTTAACTCAATATTTAAATAACTAAAACATCTAATATAAATTTACAAAATATTATAAGTATATTATAAGTATTTAAAATAATATCTTATTTGGATGCTGCTGTATATTAATATATATTTTCTATTTTAATGTATCTTTAAAATAGTATCTTTAAAAATATAAAGGCTTTTTATTCAAGCATTAAACATATAAAATACAGCATTATTTCGCTGCTTAATTGATCAGCTATCGTCTGTAGAAGTTTGCCAATGAAATTTTACTTTGTATATGTAATAGTTATATGTATGTGTACAACAGTAGAATGTTCTTCTACTACTCGTACGATTTGTCGTCCTCGGTTAGTCTCATCTTCTCGTTTGTGCGGGTACATGTTTCTTGCGCATTTTTCTTTCATTCGTCGCGAAAAGAGAAGTCGAAACCGGATATAGTATTAATTTTCTTGAACCTAGTGAGATAAAAATTGATCGTGTATTAAACAATAAAGTTATTAAAAGCTTTTAAAATCAAATATTTAAAAATGAAGAATTCACGCATGTCATTCATTCATTAAACTATATATTTTAGAAAGAAATAAAAGAATATGATTCAAAAGCCTAACAACAGTTCCCAGCATCACATTACTAAAAGAATCAAAATATCTTTCGGTCCTTATCGAGATTCTGTTCTATCAGCATTAATTCTCTTCGTAACAGACATATGCGAGAGTATATTCTGCAAAAGTAACTTCTTCGATCGTAAAAACTAAGATAAAATGATTTTTCATGATCAAATCATCGCGAATATTAATGTAATTTTTTTATAACGATATTAACTATATTTTCCAATTAATAATTCACATATCGTCGCATTTGAACATCTGACTATAAAATTACTGTAGATAAGAATCAGATATGTATTTTTCAGGTGTAAATTCGATCCATAATGATAATATTAACAATGTATGAAAAAAATTTTAAGAAATTTTGGTGTTATGCGTTTTTTCTACTCATCGCTTCGTTATCGAAATCTGAGCAAAGTTTCACGAGCAACGAAGAGAAAAATGATAATATAACGATACGATATGAGTTAGACTTTACAACAAACTATGGCGACAAAATAAAAACACTGTCTTATGATTTGTATGAAAAATCTACTAACAATACGCAGTACGACAATATGCAGAATGAATTTCACACCATTTCCATGAGTAATGATGATGACACGATACGATATAAACTTAGCACACCTTCTACACAGAATCATATGAGTGATAAACAAATACCGATGGGATCTCAAACGAATTCAACAAATGCCAACTATAAAAGAAATTTTACATCACAGGAAATTTATGGAAATTTGATGAATATTGAAGACAACAACAATTCTACGTCACACGAATTCTTTGAAAATTCCAATAAAGAAAGCAATATAAGTAACATCGTTTCATATGAAACATGTCAACTTGACAATATTACTTGCATTCAACTCTGTTGTTCTCCTGGCGATCGCCTAGATGACGACATATGCATCCCGGAAAAAATTAAATACTTTCTTCCGAATGTGTATAAATACACGAATGATTCGTTGCAGAGCGAAAATAAAACGGTAGACGAATTGTTTCAACTGACTATTTATGATCCATGTCAGGAAAATCGCACTCAGCTTCCCAATGGTTCTCAATACGATTACATGTTTTTTGCTAACGGTTCTCTTTATATATCTTGTTACAAAATATTTGCTAAATCGACATCATATTGTCTCGCCATTACAGAGGGAGATAAATTCGAAGTAACTATCTGCTCAGAGACTCGTGACGAGATCCTTAATGAAATAGCTGATAACTCGTTGATTCAAAACATAAAAATCATATATTTGAGCTTCCATATTGTATCTATACTATTTTTGATATCAATATTTCTGGTGTATTCCATATTGTCAGATCTCCGGAACGTACACGCTTTCATGTTGCGCAGTTATAGCAGTACCTTGTTCGTCGCATACACAATCCACATTGCACATATTTTTATTAAATTGGATGCTGTAGAGTATCCCATCTGTGTTACAATAGGTATAGTATATCTAAATCACATAATTATGCAATCAATGCAATATATGTGTTTGGTAGACATACTAGTGCACATTCGCCAAATAATTATTCTCTAATTGTTCTTTTTAATAACTTGAAAATAATTTGTTAAAATTTTAAAAATGCAAGGATTAATAGTGAGTAAAATTTAAATTTTAGTTATATTTTGATATATAACTTTGACAAGCGCGTATATATAATTAAGTAAGCTTTTGTAAATATATTTTTTTGTATTTTAAAAAAGTTACATCTTGAATTGAATTATTATTTAATTTAAATCAGTACGTATTTATTACATATGTTAATATTTATTATATATATTAATATAAAATTTTAGTTCAGAAAAATATATATATTTTTTTAAAGAAAAATTATAATGGGAATTATAAATTCCATTTTAACATGTTCTTAATGTTTAAAATGTTATTTATTTTATTTTCATAGCTTTCTTCACTTACTTTTTTTTTTTAACAAACTCTTTCTGGCTAAATATAATGAGTTTCGACATGTGGTGGACATTTAGGTAAGTTGTTAAGTTTTTCATATTTTAACACGCATTTACATTGTAATTTCTTTTATTTGATTTTTATTTTGATTAAATATGACGTGTAAATTACGTTTTGCAGAGGATTTTCTTCGTTACAAAGAAACGTCACAAATCGAGAAAAAAAAAAGTTAGTTCTTTATTCGATTTATGCATGGGGTATACCTTTTATCCTCGCTATTATCTGTATCATTATGGATTTTGCTTCCGAATATTTGCCGAAAATTTTGCGACCGGGATTTCACGCAGGTGATTGCTGGTTCGCTGGTAAGTAAATAGATTGCATCTATTATAGAATCGATTTATTATATATCATTATTTTTTATTATCTATTAATGTTGCATTTTTATATATCATGAGAAATAGAAAATTCTTTACATATTATACTTACAGAGAAAGAAGCAACTTTATTGTATTATTACGGAATCAAATGTTTCTGTATCATTAGTAGCATTTGCTTGTCCATTTCTACGGCAGTGAAGATCGCGCGTTACGAAAAGGAAACAGGCCTTCGTTTGACAGATTCAGAAAGCAAGCAATATAATAACAATAAAAAATGGTCTGTATCTAATAAACATTTATCAATGTGTAATAATCTATCTTGTAAATGATATTCGTGTCGATATTTTTAATAACATCTCTATTAACAACATTATATAATTAATCAATTCTGATAAAAGAAAGGTATGATAATTTGTGTGACAGTATTTTTGCTTCTTTTTTTCTTTTAATTGTTACCTTTTTATAAAGGCATATTATGTTGATACCGGAAAGTCTCGAAATGTGTTGTCTGTTTTTCGCATTGTTGATTGATTGTTTTATTCGCTTTACTCGTATCATTTAAATAATTTGACAGTTTGACAGTTTGTAAAATGTATGTAAAATTAAGAAATAATTTCAAGCCTTATAACTCGAGGTATATCTAAAGAAATAATACTTAATTATATATTTATTCGGAAAGCTCTTGAAATAAGCTATAAGAATATACAAAAAAAATGGAAAGTTCCATTTAAAAAATCAACTTGACCTTCATATGACCTTGAGTACTTCATCTACGGTCAAATTCTTATCATGATTAAGTACATTTTATTTAGTCCTACAACTTTGTTCCTTACATATTTTTCATTATAGTTGATCGTT